ACCACGTGTAGTCTGTTGAAAATCAGCTGACGTTTCCGAGGACCATATCATCTCAATTTCAGGGTCGAAGGTGGCTTGGCAGCGGTTTCTTGCTCGGCTTATTCTTCGACACTGAAGATGGATGCAATATTTTCCTCCGAAACATCGGTTGATTTTCAACGGAATACACAGCGTTATAATTCAGAACCTTTCAATTTGTGAGTTATCTATCATCCTTTCAACGCTCTCTAGCCCGTGTTACAGAAAGCACCGTGAAATAACTCTCTAGGAAACAATAGGCGATTCTGCTACAGTACCTGGTTTTCCTATTTCCCTGTAGAGGCGTTGTCCATAGATGGCAGCACAGTCGGGCAGTGAGTTACAATGCCATACATTTTTACCCAGTATCAATGGCATGCATGTTTGTTACGTATAACGCGCGCTTCGCTGTACCTACCTATGACATATACCTGCCGGTCGGTCATTTTCACGACAGTGAATTGACTGCCGCTACGTTCATGCGCATGAGTATGTGTTGTGTTTTTTTCTCATTGTTGTAACTTGAAATTAGTTGTCGATAATATCTGGACGAGGAAATTTTCTGGCTTTCGCATTACCCAGCATTCGTGCCTGGTCCATCCGTTTCCCTCTCCCCTCCTCCCTCCCACCAACCAGTACATTCAAAATTAAACCCTTGCGCCGCACAGGGGGTTCATCAGTAGATGTCCCCAGGACATGCGGAAACTCAGCGGGAACCGTGGCTATCCCGGCGGAGGTTTTTCACGGGGGTTTCTTAGTCCTTCAAGGCAAATGCCACAATGTGTTTCAAATTAGGCCAAGACCGCCTCCTTTCATATCCTTTCCAATTAATTTCTTGCTAATTGTCTCGCCGTTCTGCACCAACACGCTGATGGCGCCAATACATCAACAACGGATTAAATCCGGTTGTGAGGCTTGAGGTTGCATCAAGAGTACGTCCTACTGGCATGTGACGCCGTTTAGTTTGGTAGAAATTCGCCAAGAGAAACATGCTATCACAGATTATGTCACGGAACTCGGTAGGTTCGTCGTACACGACGTGTTCTCGCGTATACGCTGTTCATCTTTTCCTGAAAGAGGTTTAGAAGAATGAACACGAAGCTGTTGAAGTTCAAGAAGAGAGTTCAGTACCTCGGACGTAAAAAATGACAATTACTGACCAGAAACCTGTTGAAGGTACGGCCCTATTTCTCCATTTACTCCAATTAACCTCTGAAGAACGTAATTTTCATTAAACGAATTTCGAAGATGGTCTATGAAAATAGGCAGCAAATATTACGGTACGTGAACGCTTTCATGTAGACTCGCTGTAGAGGTATAGAAGGGAAGAAGGCGTTCGTTCCATAATGCTGTATTTGTGAGCCGGGATAACGCAGTCGGTGTAGCGACCGGCTACGTGCTGGACGGTCAAGGTTCCATTCCCTGCAGAGGAAAGAAAATTTTCTGGGCCCCACACAACCTCCTATTCAAAGGGTAATGGGGGCTCTTTCCTCGGCGATAAAGCGGCCGGAGCATGAAGCTGACCACTCACCTACAACTAGTGCCGAGGTCAAAATGCGTGGATCTCCCCCACACGTCTTCATGGCATAGTGCTTAATTAATTAAGCACAGGGAGAACTTTACCTTTTTTTTAATGCCATGTGTTTCTAGTTGATGAACCAGGTTGACAAAAGGTCGCAGTCACGTTGGCTACGTAAGCAAGCAGCTGCATAGGAACTTAACCTTTATTTTTAACAGGAGTTGCTAAGAAAGGAAACATTGTCTATTTATGCAGTTTTGAGACACGCAACTAATTCCAGGAACACAATTAATGCGTAAATCTGTACTGAGAAGTGATTTGTTAGACCTCGTAAACTGACATTTCCTTTTCGCAGAACAAAAAAATGCAGTTCCTAAACTCCCAATTGAACTTGTTTCAAACAACTTCTTCCAACATCAAGTATGCAGCTGGAAAGCTGTTTCTGTGCTTAATTAAGCACCACGGTTAAAAGGCAGGTTCCGGTGTGGAGATATAGCTCCACACATTCTCAACATCCGCGCTAATTGGGTAGGAGTCTGGGTGGTTTCCAGAGAATTTACAGGGAGTAACTGAAAGGTGCGGACGAACTTTGGGCACGAATGCCACATGCCAAAACAGGAAGGTGTCCGGAAGCATTGTAATTTGCGAGCTACAACTGAATACTGTGTAGACGCCTGGGCAGGGATTGTTGGTGATTGTTTGGTAGGCCCGCATGTGTTGCCACGTCAGCTTACAGGCAACCCCTAGCGATGTTTCCTCTTACATGATCTGCCAAAGCTACTGGAACATGTACCACTGACAGTCAGAGCACGAATGTGGTGCAGGCATGATGGTGCTCCGTGCTGTGCGAGATGTTCTCAGTATCACCTGTCATGGCCGGAAACGTACAGGAGGATACTACGTGGCCTCGTCTCTCCACTCCAGATTTTAACCGTATTGGGTTTTGCCTGTGGGGACACATGAAACCCCTGTGTATGCAGGACCCCCTGACAACGAAGAGGCACTTCTCCGTCGCATTGTCCGTGCCTGTCAGACTGTCCGCAACTGCTCCGCCATCTCAGAACGGCTGCGGCGGTCCATGATGAGACGTGTCGAGGCGTGCATTGAATCTCATGGAGGACATTTTGAGCACTTATTATAAATGTACTTTTTCAGCTATAACTCACAAGTTAAATGTTTCCGGAAAGATGCTGTTATGGACATATTTCTTGCTTTGACATGGGGAACTCATGCCCAAAGTTTCTCCGCACCTGTCAATTATACCGTATATATACACACAAGCATACACACACGTGTATGTGTGCGTGTTTCGTGTGATTCCTAGAATAAACAAGGATATCTCTCTAAACAACATTATCCATTGGCCTTCGTGAGAGGAGTGTTTCCTGTGAGGTGCGAACTGAATTTATAAATTCTTGTTTCTGAATAAACTTCAAACTCGAAAAGGTCACTATCTGGAAAGCAGCAGGCTGTACAGAAAGAATGCAGTAGAGTTTAAAATGCCTTTTAACTGATTACCCAGCACACTTAGAAAACAGAAGGAATTGGAGATAAAGCTCCACGCTATCTTAACCACAGAACAAGGCGAACAGTTAGCTTACCACTGCCGGGCAAATACACACGCAACGGAAAGGAGATGCCTCTGGGTTCTGGTAACAATGCTCCTGGATTGAAATGATGACAATTCGCATGAACAAAATAAAATGCCTGCCACTTTTTGTAAGGGCTATATCTAGTCGGCATAGGTTACAGTCTGGATGCCCGAGGATTCTTGGACGTATCGGTCTCTTGTCTATAGAGTCCAGGCAAGCTCTCGGGCCCACAGGTGCCAAGTGCACTTTTTAATGGGTAAAACTGCCGGGGCGTGAAGTTAAATGCTCACTTTCATCTACTGCCCAGATTAAGACTGAGCGGAGTTATCCCTTCACCCCCCCTACGTCTTCATGCCGTGATATTTAATTGAGAACAAGGATAAATTTTGTTGCTTTGTAAGTTAGAGATGTCATTTTATCTAAGCGTCAGTCATTTAGAAGTGTCAGAACTAAAGCTCCACTCACTAAATTGAGGCGAATTGTTGGTTTCACGCTCCGGCTCATCTGTACCATATAAAAACCAACAGCGATGTTCCCTTGTCTTAGTCCGCACTGTACAACGTCGAATGATGTGATGATTGATGAATAATGAATTGGAATGGATCTAAAAGGAAGCTGTCGTGACCTAGCTTTAGAACTATTAAAGCTTCAAAATGGAGACACTGACGAAAATCATAACAGTTTCATTCATGATTTGGATGACTATGAACACTTCTTCATGTGGGTTATAACGCCGCTTTACTTGCTGCCTGCTTCATGCCGGGTTCTTGCTCTGTTCTCTTTCACCGTGAAGATGGGAGCAATGCGTTTCTGTGATACCACCGTTGACTTGCACTGGACTGCACGGATTTGTACCCCAGCAGACAAAACTGTTCTCAGTAATGGTAACCGGTCTTTGGGACGAGATGTGAATCTCTGAACCCACGAGTATGAACAACAGACGGGAATCGAACTCAGTGTGGCAGAGCTGCTTTGTAATCATCCCTTTCTCTTATTGCAGGTCTATAAATTCTCCGTTTAATTTTACCTTTATTCTTGTATGGGGGTGTGTTTTTGTCTCTCACATTGAGGGACGAACGTAGACTGATGGTATTTGAGAAAGGGGTGCTGAGGGGAATATTTGAACCTGAGAAAGAGGATATGACAGGAGGCTAGAGAAAATTACATAAAGAGGAGCTTTACAATTTGTACCACTCACCTTCATCCAGCACCGAGGCCAAGAAAGGCGGAAGTATGACGCCACTCCTCCGTATGTCATCACGGCATTAATGCTTAATTAATTAGGCACAAGGACAAATTCACCGTTACCTTGCACTTCTCCACATATTATAATGATGCTCAAATCAAGGAGGATGAGAGGTGCAGGGCATGTAGCACGTCTGGGAGACAAGAAGAGTTCTTCTAAGTTTTGACAGGAAAACTTAAAGGAAAAAGACAACTTGGAAGACTTGCGTGTAGATGGTACAGCAATATTATAGCGGATCTTACAGAAGGACGATGGGAGGACATGAAATGGGTTCATGTTCATAAGGATAGGGACCGCTGACGGTGTTTTGTGAACACGGGAATGAACAGTCGGTATCCATAAAGTGTTGGACAACTATTAGCTTTTCAAGAAAGTCGCTGCTTCATTGAGTTACACGATTTCCCATCGTTTGCTATTATGATATAAAGTTCATCCCCGTGGTAACACAACACTGACACTTGCAGCCCCTGGTGGTGGCCATATTGTATCCGGAAGGCTGACAATGACGTCTCACAACAATGTGAAGCAATTAAGTCGGAATTCGACTGCAGATGGCTCTGACCCGGTGTTGTGGTTACTATTCAAGGTTATGGTGGAGGAGGCTCACTTCTTGGAACAGCCTTCAGGTCGCCTGGCCGCGTCGCATTCCAATATGGCTGACGGTTCGGAATGTGGTGGGTTCTGTCGCTTGAGTTAGTGCAGTGAAGTTGTGTGAAGTGTTGGAAGCACTAATGGTTGCACACGTTTAGTAGGAGAAATGGTGATGTGGATGTCATGTCACAAAGGGATTTGTCAGAGGTGAGTTCTGTACCGCAGCTTAACATTCCAGGAACGTTGTGTCGCTGGAATTTGCCTCCAGGGCACTCGGTACTTTCACTGCTCATCCACCATTGTTGTAATCTGGTCGTAGTTTTTCTCATGCACTACAGGATTGAGATTTTGTTTACAAATGTAGCTGTATTGTTCTGTCAGTAGCTCAAGGACAGTACATATCATGTTAAATCCGTTGAACCACAGTGGTTACTATATGTACCACCTGTTTTAACATTACGAAACTGCGTTTTCCCCGTACAATGTAGTAAAGTTTTCATATGAGTCTCACAATAAACAGCTTTTATTTCTGTATACATCATTAACGTTACTGATGTTTTCCATGGAGACGCAGTGTATTTCCTGTGTGCTAGCTCCTGGATTTTTTAAGTATTTACGTGAATTTTATTCTTCAAAGGACATTTAAAGCTATCACAATGTAATAATGGGAACTGTTGTCATAACAGCCACCCTCCCTCTTCCGACATAAGGTTGGCTGGAGCTTCCGCCAACCGCCGAACATCACGAGAGTACGGGACCTACTTAAATTTGTGCGGAATGTCTTTAGGGCCAGCTTTCAGATATTGTTTACACTGATTGGCAGCATTATCTTGCATCCTCTGTAACAACTACGCTTTCCATCCTGGCTGGGCTGTAAAAAGACCGAGACCTCGGATTGACCCTCCCCCCCCCCACTCCACTGAAAGGGACCAACACAGGATGATTCAAAATATGCTTCCTCTACAACGCATCTGAATGCCAGTCCCGATCTGTGGAAGACCGTAAGCTTTTTCGTTCTTATTTTTCTTGTATTTAACGACGACTAATTATCCATATTGTTACACAGCTTTAATCGAAATTTTGATTATTAATGATGACTGAGTAAGGACGCGGAAAGCCCATTAGCATTTACATCGAGGGACTGAGGAACACGGCGAACCACAGACTAACCCGTCTGAAGGGTCTAGATATGAACCCGAGATCTCCTGAATACGATGCTGAAGTTGTAATTATATCACGGCAGTTTCAATGGCTTTACATGGTTTACCCAGTTGCCATACGGCAAATGTCCAGGTAATTATATTAACCCACTGAAGAGCCGGTTTGCCTGAGTACAGTGGCTATGCTACGGGATAAACGATCGAAGAATCGAGTTTCAATTCCCGGCTGGGGCAAGAGAGCGTCAAGACCATTTCTGGGGCACATCCAACCTCCTATCCCATGGGTACCGGGGTTTCTTTTCCCTGAGGTCTAATGGCCTTGGCTTCATCTAGTGCCGAGGTGAAGAATTCGTGGAGCTATGTCTCCATTTCCCCATATGTGTTCATTGCGTGGTGTTTAACTAAGGACAGGGGCAACTGTACATTTTGCCTTTGAAACAGTCGTGTGTGTGTGTGTGTGTGTGTATACTACATACGAACGGTCAGCTGTGATGTTAAGAAATTTGACACCGGCTTACTTGACTGAAGTTTACGCGGTTTTCCTTAGACCCTCTAAGTAAATGCCAGAATACTTTCCAATTCATCCACACACACACTGGACGCTGTACACCGTATCTACGGAAGTAGTCGTGACCCACAGAGAAATTAAGAATCCTCACGTTGTTGGTCTCGTGTTATCAAAGGAAGTAGCGATTGTTTCCTTCGAGGAAGTAAGTACTGAAACTTTGTAAACGTTTTAAGCGAAATTCCCAACACATTACCCGCCCTCTGAAGGTATTTTTACCAGGACAAGCAGGCACTGCTTGTGGACCTTCGAAGCGGGAAATTCTTCTGCCCTTCCCCTATAAAATGTAGCGTTTCTCTTTTCCACGTCTCCCAGGCCGTCTCTGGGGTCTACCCAGCATCATATGCAGTGGTTACCGGGGCTAAAGCGACCGGGGCGCGAAGCTGACCACTCACCTCCAATTAGTGCCGAGGTCAAGAAAATGTGGATCTATATATTCACCCCCCATACGCCTTCATGGCTTAGTGCTTAATTANCGGTGCACTTTCTGTTCTTGCTCTTTTTAGGCTTCAGACGCTTGTGACCTCGGTTGTGTCTCCAGACGATCCAGACGCTGTGTGTCTGTGTCTTGTTTAACGGCGCTATTAAAAAACTCAGAACTGTGGCCGTGTAGTTGCCTGCTTCCCACCGTGGGATTTGTGGTGGACAGAGTGGCACTGGAGATTTTATCCTAGTACTATACTGAGTTCTCAAAGCATCCTTAACCGTTTAAAACTGAATTTGTTTTACGCAATATAAGTATTCAGTCCGTACCCCACAGGAAAATTACCTCTCCACTACAAAGACCAACCGGTTTATTGTGAGAACCGTACGAAGCACAAATATACTCTGTGGCCATAACGTGGTGTTTTGATACGTTAAACAGGGTTAAACAAGCCATAAATTAAGTCATTATCGCTGTAGGCTACATTCTTCTGTTATTTAATAACGCTAGTTCGAATGAGTCTTATATGTATATCGTTGAAATGTGTGGGAAGGTTACGAGTGTTTACTAGGCAAGGCTTTAGAAGAAACGTCTTGTGGACTCTGTCCTGAGACTCGGAAATTTTCTGTTTAAATCCAAGAAACAGAGCCCAGTTTTGGGGAACTCGTAGTCACTTGGCTTTTCTACAAACTCGCCGCTTTTATGGAACCCGAAGTTTCATTACCGTGTTCAGACGAATCGAAGTAATATTTAAAAATTCAGTTCGTACCTCACAGTTAACGCGCTCCTTCCCTGCCCAAGAGGACAGTGATACTCGTAAGGAGCATATAAATACTCCTTCCGGCAGAGTGCAGAGTGTCCAAGCCGGAGTTACTTATATTTACCGTTGCCTATTAAATGATTAATATTGCCCTCCCGTCTACGCGGTATCCTCGCAGATGTTCAGAATTCTGGACTAGAATTTTCCGTACATGCGTACTACATGCATTCCCGTTGCTAATTCAAATCTACGAATGCGTAGTGACAGGCATTGCAAGGCGATTCGTAAAGAACGCCTGGAAGCCGACAGGTGCAACATTCCTCACAGCACGCACGTAGCCACGGCCCGCCCTTGGGAACGACAAAAACACGGGTCTGGTCAACCACAAGGAATGTCGCGGGTTCGTGACTGGATCACGGCCGTACTGCTGGCGTGCCTCGGCTTAAACCCACGCTGGAGCACCTTGCTTCCTACTGGGTTCGAGTGTCAGCCCCAAGACCAGCTGCCCTGAGTAGTGAGGTTTAGTAGTGACGCCGTGTAGTTCGGTATATTGTCAGGCTTGCCAGCGTATCGGAAGAACCTGTTTAGGTTACGGGCTGGGCGACCACTTTGGGTTCGATTCCCGCCAGAAGCAACAGATGTTCTCCTACCCAATGTGTATCGGGGGCTGAAAAGGCAGGCGAGGCCTCAAACGGACCGCTCAGCTCCATCTAGTGACGAGGCTAGAGAATGCAGAGTCTGTCTCTGTATACAGCGTCGTGTATTCCGCTGAAAGTCGAGTGGCGCCGGTTTCTTGCTTGGCTTATTCTTCTACGCTGAAGATGGATGCGGCGAGTTTCTCCGAAACACATGTAGGCTTTCAGCAGACTAGAAGATAGAACTGCTGCGAGAAACTCAAATCTTGCTAAGTTACAGAAACTTAACCCCAAACTGTGTTGGTCGGAGCGTGTAGGAAGAAGCAGATGATAAAGCAGTGGAAGAAGAGAAGGATAAGTAGAAGGAAGGCAGGTATGAAACAACAGTGAAGGGAAGGAAGTAGACGGAATAATGTGAAGGAGAGGGGAATCCGAAGAGGAAGACAGGAGAGGTAAGAGAAGAACAAGGCGGATTCAGGAAAGAGGGAAATAGGAACATGAAAGGGGAAGAGCAGAAGAGATAAGAGGAGGAAATTAATGGGGTAGCAGAGGAGAATAAGAAGAAAAAGGAGATACAGAAAGGAAAGACGGAGAGCTAAAAAGGGAGAATAGACGGGTGGCCGCGCCATAGATCAGGTTTCTTATCTCGGAGCCCCGAGTTTGATCCTAGCACAGGTAACGTGGGATTTGTGGTGAACAAAGTGGCATTTAAGCAATTTAACCGTGTACTTCGGTTTTCCGTGCCAATTCTCATTCCACAGCCTGCTGCATACTCGTGTTATCACGCGGGCTGGTACAGTGGGCTGCTTCGTGGCCGCAGTACCGAGTGGACTCAGTCTCACCACCCCCACAAAAGAAAAAAGTCTAAATAGAGGCTAAGAGATGAAGAATTAAGGAGAAAGAAAAAGAGAACGAACGTGGAAGCGCCTCCTACCCAACGCATACCTGGGGGTAAAGCGACCGGGACGTGAAGGTGACCACCTCCACCTAGTACTGACGTCAAAAATGGTGGAGCTATACCTCCACTCCCCCAAACGTCTTTATGGCGTGGCGGTTATTTATTTAAGCACAGGAACAACTTTACCAATTTACCAGCATCAAATGTTGCTGACTTGCAGAAACTGTGCTTTGGCGCGACTGTACGTTTTTTCTCATGGGGTGAGACTAAGTCCCTTCTACTGCGGCCACTATTTTGCCTATTTTTATCAGCCCCAGATGATAGGTGATGATTGTGGAGCAATCTATGGACTGAGAATTGGCAAGGGAAACCGAAGTACTCGGAGAAAACCTGCCCCAGTGCCAGTTTGTCCGCCACAAATCCCACATGACCAGACCTGGGACGCCGAACTGGGAAGCCGGAGACTAACCGCCTGAGCTGTGGCACGGCGCACTGCTGTACGTGAAATAGTGCTTGAGAACTCGGCGGTCCCCCATAAAGGGAGTTGCGACCCACATTTTGAGTAACTACGCCTTAGCCCTCTCATCTGTTTATTTGCATGCTCCACTGTTTGTTAATCTGCAGCACAGTTTAGCCCGAGGTCTCCGCGTGTCTCGAAACGCGGACTTGGGTCAGTTAACGTCACCCTCTCTTTCGTAGTTGTCCTCAGTCACGATCCTGCGCTGAACATTGCATCCAGAAGCGCCAGACGTTCCGAGAGAGCTCACTTACCCACAAAAGTGAAGTGCCTGCTTAGGTTCGCGGCGCAGCAAATTCCGCGCCGACTTCATAGTGGGCAGAACCCGCTTCGAGTACCAGCCAGAGAGATATTCTAGCTTGCAGCGTCGAATGGTACGGGAGTTATGAACGAGTACGGACGGTCGTCTGCATATAAGTCAGTGGTTTCTAAAACATGCGGTACGCCTCCCCTGGGGAGGTGTGATTTATGCCGGGAAACATATACAGGATGTCCCAGGAGGAAAAGTCAATATTCTGGGAGGTCATAGTATCGGTCATTCTAAGCAAGAAACCGTATATTTACATGTGTGCTATTCCGATCGGTTTCCGAGGTAGAGCTGTTGTACAATTCCCAAATTATTAATAAGAAAGAGATGTTTCTGGTTACTTACTTACTCATGGAGCTGAGCCCTTCTTGAGGAGCCGCCAATTCTGCAGCTACTCAAGAATTTCCCACCACAAAAGCTCCTGTCGTTGGAATAGATCAGGTTGACGCGGTTCCCCGTCTTACTTCTGATAAGAAGCCACTTACGTACTGTTTCTGATAAACTCCGTGATTTCAGTCCGCAAGCGAACCATACCGACCAAAGTCGGGAAACCACTGATGTAAATTAACCATTTTAAACATGAAATTCATTGAATAATATTTAGAACCCATGCTCCCATGGTCAACCCCTGGGGGGAAGGGTCATGCGTTTTCCCCTCTGGATTTGTAGAAAAAAAAATCAAAATTAAAGGAAATATATCGAATACGAATAATAACAACTAACTTTTCTAAAACATTATTCTATCCCGAATACTTTAAGCCGATCAGTAAAAGTGGCCCTAAACTGATTAAAATTTGAAAACAAAAATTTCTGGACTTCCTTTTAGGAAAATCGCCACCACCGCCCGCCCATGCATCCTCCGGTTAATTTTGAAGTTCTCCGTAACCCGAAACTTTCTGATTTTGAGCTTATTGAGTATGTACATGACCCAGCACGTGGGCGACGCGGCAACAATATAACGTGTGCTCCTCGTGTTCCCATGGCAACCGATTCATGACTGATACGTGAAGTGGACCTAGCGCACGCAACAGCTATTATTGTGGGAAAGTCAGTGTTGCCAACATATACATAGTGACCTCACCCTTATCTCGGTTGAACTTCTCTGCAATTCGTTGATCATTAGCGCTGCCGTGGGGGGGGGGGTAGCGGGACGCGATGTGGACCCATCCTAAACATGAGTACATGGAATGTTGCATTCGTGAAAGAAAAACGACTTGATAGAATGAAATGTGTGTGTATGTGTGTGTTCGCGCGTACGTAGAGGGGGGAGGGGAGGGGCCCCCCCGATAATATCTTTTCAACGAACTGGGCGACTTCTATTAAATTCGACTTGCAGATAATTACATGAATTCTCTCCGGACACGATGTTTCCAATACGTAGTCTGTCGGAAAAATGGCGGCTGTGCGGAGCCGTGTTATTTACTCGATGGAGGATCCAGGAGTCACAATCAGATTTTTGTTGTTTTGTCTGGCAGTGAAACGCTGTCTGGTTGTCTGAATTACGATGAGAGATTACTATCGCTTGGAAACAAGGTTCTCCTGAAATATATTCGCGTAAGATTTCATGTTTCTACGGCCGTGACTATGAAGATGCCATCTTCTGGGATGTGACGTCATGTAGATCTTGTGTGAACCTACGTTTCGGAGGGACGTATCGCCACCTACTCAACGCTGGCTCCTCTCTTGCTAATTTTTCTACCCTGAAGTTAAAGGCGATAAATTCATCCGAAACGTCTGTTCAAACAAGATCTACACGGTGCCAGATCCCAGAAGACGGCATTATTCAAATATATTCGCATCTAAAGAGACTTGAATTGGAAATTTGTGGAAATTACATGACCGATAACTTCTCCTGATTATATTAGGGTAGACTGGACATGCAGCTCGGATGGAAGGCAGTAAATGCATGCAGAATTTTGGTGTGGAAACCTCCTACTGTAGGGCCACTTCGAAAACAGCGGTCTAGGTACAGAGGTAATGTTTAAGTATTTTAGGGAAATTATCGGCGCAGTGCGAAGTTTCATAATTATGAAAACTGGTACATCCTGGCATGCGATGCCGTTCAGCGTCCCAGATAGTTACCGGCGTTTCGGAGGAACGCGCTGCCTTCATATTAAGGATACAGTAAATTGCTGATAATCCGGTTACAGCTAGTCTGGATGTCGGATAAAAGAAGTAAAGTTGTCTCTGTGCTTAACTAATTAAGCACCACGCCATGAAGGCGTATGGGGAGTAGGTGTATAGATCCACATTTTCTTGACCACGGCACTAGTTGTAGTTGAGTGGTCAGCTTCACGCCCCGGCCGCTTTACCCCCAGGGAGAGAGCCCTCGGTATCCATTAGATAGGTTGGGTGGACCCCAAGCCGGTCTGGACGACATGGAGAAAGGAAAATTCTTGACCCTACCGGGGCTCGATCTTCGACCTTTCGGTCGTCCACCCTGTAGCCAGTCGCTATACCGACTGAGCTACTGGATGTCGGATACTCCGGTTCGAAATGTGAAAAATTCTGTTCACTGTTGAGCACGTGCTTTAAAAGACACGTGACATTTAGGAAGACAGATGAATCACTTTTCTGTTCAGGCAAAACTTGACAGGTTCCTTCAAACCTGCAATTTCTGAGAAATGTCTACAAATTTACGTTAAACCGTTTAAAATATTCTCTGCAGTTCGCCCGGTTGTATTCGGGACAGAAGAATAAACATATCTTTTTGAAATAATTTTAATTGTTTATTTTAATATGTAGTATATTTCCATTAATACACGTACAACTGGGATAGCTCAGTCGGTATATTAGCGGGCTGCGTGCTGCACGGTCGGGGTTCGATTCCTGGGAAGAGGGAATTTTTTTTTTAAACTACAGCGTCCAAACCGGCTCTGTGACCCACCCAGCCTCCAATCCAGTGGGTACCGGGGGCTTTCCCCAAGCGTGGAGATGATCACTTACCTCCATCTAGTGCTGAAGTGAAGACTGAACAGCTACACCTCTGATCCCTCATGCATCTTCATGGCGTCGTGCTTAATTAATTAGACACGGGGACAACTTTATTTTTTCTGTCTTCTGTATTTCTCTTAATATTTAGTAGATTTCGTTTCTTTGGGGGTATGCGGTAGCGCAGTTGGTCGAGGCACACTATGCTACAAGCCGGAAGGTCGCGGGTTCAAGTCCCAATGAGGTCACTGGGTTCTTTCAATTGACCTAATACTTCCAGCCGCACTATGGCCCTGGGGTCGACTCAGCCTCTAACAGAATTGAGTACTAGGAATATTCTTGGGGGTAAAGGGCAGCCGGCGTGTAGGGCTGACAACCTTGGCGCCATCTGTGAGCCGATTGTCTAGAAAATGTGGGAACCTCTACATATCACAACCCTATGGGCCTCTACAGCCTGGGACAGGGATACCTTTACTTTTTAAGATTTTCTTTCTTCAACTTTTTTCTAAATCCAGGGGCAGAAGCCTAACTAGCCTGATCCCCCTCATCTCCATGAGTCTAAGGCTCCCATCATGCAAATACAAGTTTTAAGGCCATCAGACCAATAAAATGACTTAAAATGTGGTTTATCTCTTTTAAAAATAGTTGCCAGAGGATCTTATTGATACATATGAAATACTCTTTTCTGTAAAATTGTTTGTTTGCAGAAGTCAGTGTAGCCGTGTGGGACTAAAACTGATTCTGTCTTTGATATTGGTCCATTTTGAGTGACCACAAGAAAAAGCAAGGGGACAACATTATTTGTTTGACCCAAGAATTAGACGAGAAGTTCAGTCTTCTCACCATCCATGCCATGGAGTCCTGTATTGCACGGCTGGTTGCGGTGCCGTAGGAATAATGGAGGAGTGGAATTGGGCAGGAAATGGGCGACGGGGGGGGAGTGGAAGAAAAGATCTGCGCTCATATATCTAAACTAACTTCTGGGAGGCCACCAGTCATTTAGTTACCAAAGAATTTCCAAACATTTTATGGAATCTGAATGTTCATTACTGTGTTCACAAGAACCTGCCACTGGGCCCCATCCTGAGCCAGATAAGTCCAGATCATACCACTCCATCTTATCTTCCAAAGATACATTCTGATATGTTCCCACCCATATCTAGATCAATGTACTGATATAGAAAGGCAAAGTGTGGAAGTTACAACAAGAGAAACAGAGAGGGAAACATTCCTTAATGGTGTATGACAGTTAAAGGCACAAATTGGAGAAAGCACATATACACGGGGGAGGCCATTGAAGCGATAGTATTGTGGGAAACGGGAGTTAGGAATCTAAGGAGGTCAGGTTCAACACTGAACAGGGGATTTGCCCTAGATGTAGCAAAGAGGAAGATTGGAGCCATGTAATAAGGTATGAAGGGATGAGGTTTTGGACAAGAGATTTAGGAATTCCAGTGCGGAAATGGTTATTATGAGGATGGTAAGATGAAAGAATTAAGAGTAATGACAAATAATTTGAATGTATATGATTAAGTAAAAAAGTAAAGCTGTCCCTGTACGAGGCCATGAAGGCCCATAGTGTTGTGAGACGTTGAGGGTCCAACATTATCTAGACAATCAGCTCAAAGATGGCGGTAAGGTTGTCAGCCTTACGCGCCAGCCGCGCTTTACTCCACAGGAAAATTATTTATTTAATTCCTGATACTCAATTCTGTTAGAGGCTGAGTGAACCCCAGGGCCATAGTGTGGCCGGAAGGATTAGGTCAATTGAAAAAAAATCCAATGACCTCATCGGTATTTGAACCTGCAACCTTCTGACTTGTAGCATAGTGCCTTAACCACTACATAAACAAAAATAAGAGAGGTTGATGGGAAAATACATGGGTGATACAGCAATGAATGTAGATGCTGCTAATCAGGATATCCACCAGATTGCCTTTCATGCTTGATGAACAGGTGGAGCCGGAAGGGACGTCGGAGCTGCCGGCAGCAAACAAGGCGCTGTTCCTGGACAAGGTGCGGCAGTCAAATGCAGCGTGCCAGAGTGGGGACTACGCCACAGCTGTATCTCTATATACAGACGCTCTGCAACTGGACCCAAGCAATCACATCCTCTATTCAAACCGCTCTGCAGCCCTTGTCAAGATGGGGCAGTTTGCCCAGGCGCTGCAGGATGCCATTCGGGCCCGCGAGCTCAACAGCAAGTGGCCCAAGGTACAAGAACACAAGCTGTTACAGATACAGGTGCAGAAATTTGCATTCTGCTTTTCAGATTTCATGTAGCAGGTTTGAAACTAGACTGAAAAGATGTGTGTTTTTTCCCTTTGGAACGATTTTTTTGTAATGTCAGTCTATGTATCAGTTTGTAGCCTGATATTAGGGGATCTGTTAATCAAGTCTGATATTTATGGTGGTCAGTTTCATGCCCTTGATGCTTTACCCACTGGGCAGAAGCCTGTGGGCACTCTGATTCTGAAGGTGCAGACAACATGATCCTCCAAAATGGTGGTGTATGTGGTGCTGTCACTGGCCAGACTATATACTTCAAATAAGCACAATAGACCACTGTAGGTCGCGGTGCAAGGGCCGAGAAGGCCTACCCGTCATACATACATACATGTACTCCAAATGGTGTGATGATGATAATGAATGATCAATTGGGAAGGATTTGATCCCAGCAATTGCCTTGAGGGAGTCTGGGAAACCACTAGCAATCTGTCAGGATAGCTGGAGTTCCAGTCAACATATTCCTGAATGTATGCCCAAGAGTTTTGCCACTGTGCTAACCCACTTGATGTCCAAACCCAGAAGTCACAATTTGAACCTGCATGGCTATGAAAACTAGAAAATAAGTAATTCATTATGATATGTTACTTTTTGTGGTTACTTGCTTCGTAAGTTAATTCTAAACCAGAGCAGGCCAAAGAGTAACTGATGAAGATGCATGCATTTTGACACTTCAGCCACAAGTTGCTGCTTTATGGAAATGTCTGAGAGAACCAATCGGTTCATCTCGCCAAATGACAAAAGTCATAGAGGAACCGTGTGGAGGTTCAAGTTTCCTACGATGATGACAATGAATATTAAAATCATGGTCTTCTGGGATGTGGCACTCTTGTAGGTTGTTACCACTGTTACGGAAGAACCTGCTACTGCTATCTTCAGGATAGAAGAAGTGGTCAATAGATGCAGAGGGCCCTTGTGGAATTCTGAGAAGTGGCTAACAGATTTGGTGGTTTCAAATTGCAGAATACTGCGATCTTAAATGCTAGAGGATTTAAATATAATGTTGGTATCAGTGGTGTGTATGTTATATAAATACACAGGATCATTTTTGAGGAATTTGGTTTTATACTCATCAGTTCCACAGCTGGTAATCTGGTTATCAAGGCAGACCATGCTGTGGGAGCAGTGAATGCCTACATAGAGTCTGTAAGTGTGCGTGTTTAAAAAAAGCCTTCACAGCAAAGAGTATTAGCATCACAGTCTTCTGAAGTATGTAACTGTGTAGTTTGATGACAGATCTTGCTGCCTACGTGGAGCATGTCGGCATCTATCTGCTGAAGTATATGGCACTACATCACACATCATTTTTCAGGTCTCTGTTTTGTCTGGTGATGTGCTGAAAGAGTTGTGTGTTTGACAGGCATACTACCGACAAGGGGTTGCTCTGCAATGCCTGGGTCGTCATGGCGATGCCCTTGCTGCATTCAGCTCGGGGCTAGCGCAGGACCCCAAGAATGCACAGCTGTTGGCAGGGCTTGTGGAGGCATCCATGAAGTCTCCCCTCAGAGGTGTGTAGATAGGGAGCACTAGGTAGTGTATATGATATTGTCATGTGACTGACTATAGACAGTGTTTGGATTGGTAATTGGATTTATTGAACTCTTACAGAACCTTACTACAAATAACTATAGTGCTGCTGCTAATTCACACCCTCTGCAGTTCACTACAGCCTGTATGAATTTTTCTCTGCCTGCTGTATCTTCACTGGTTGTCACTGGTAATGGCTTCCAATGTCATAGCTTCCTCAGCTTCCATGTTCATGTCCTTTCTGGCTAGCGACTCTCTCACAACTCATTCCCAGGCTGGCAGCCATCTCACACCAACCTCGTACTCATCTCACTGCCATCTCAAGACTCTTGTAGTCACAGCTGCTCCTCATTATATAGCCTCAGCATGGACTGCAAAGAAAACACCTCTCCCAACAGTTTTCTATTGTTGCATCACTTAGCTATTGCATGGACCACATAGAGAACTCTGCTTCCTACTTATGCCATTGTTTCATGTTATGAATCTGTTGCAGCCATTACTTAGCAGCAGCTGTTGTGTAGCTGCTTATTTTGCGGTTGTTGCCTAGCAACAGGTCTCCATGCCACAATATTGTAAATATCAGTTTTCATGTCAGAGTAATTATGTCCCAAGCTTACAGTGTGATGCCATGCAGTTCAGAACATAGGTACCTGTGTTTCAGAGGAATATGCTGCTTCCAGTTTTCTACCTTGGAAGATGGAAACAGTAGGTTCCTCTGAAACGCAAGTAGCTCTCTGCTGAACTGCACTCTTCCCTTATCATGAAGTATCCAGTTCTCCTTCTACTACTTACTCCCTTTATTTGCTTGTTTTTCCCTTCTGTCCTTGCTTTCTCTCCAACTCTTTCCAGGGCCTCCAGTTCCAGTTGGCTTCCTCATAGATCCTGTCCCTGCTCCTTGTTCCCTAAATTAAGCACAATTCTTTGCCACCCTGCTTCCTCTTCTGCTCTGGAGATGGAAGCATTTGCTTCTTCAGAAACTGTCATACTTCTCTATGGAATTGTCATAACATGGTGAGTTGTAAGTGGCATACTAAACCAGTGTCTTTTGCCACTCAGGTACATTAGAGCCAACATTCAGACAGCTGGAGACCATGAAACTGGACAAGTCACCATTTGTGATAATCTCAGTGGTGGGACAGGAGTTGCTTGGTGTGGCCCAGTATGCAGCAGCTGTCATTGTATTGGAAGCAGCCCTCAGGATTGGTACCTGCAGCCTCAAACTCAGAGGTTCTGTATTCTCAGCCCTGTCATCAGCGTATTGGGCACTCAACTCACTAGATAAGGTACATACACACACACTAAGATAGTAAATCTGAAATGTGACCTCCAGCTATTTTAATGAACAGTATGAAAAGTCAGGATCAGTCAGTATAGTGATTAGGCTACAGGCTGCATGACTGGGGTTTGATTCCTGGTAGGGACACAGATTTTTCTCTTTTTTGTTGTGTCCAGACTGGCTTCGTGGCCCACCCAGCCCCCTGCCAGTGGTATCAGTTTTTATCCCTGAGGGTGAAATAACTGGGACATAAAGCTGATGACTCACACCTATCAAATGTCAAGGTTAAGAATACACGGATTGAAACGTCCACTCCAGGATCTGTGTTCATGGCATGTTGCTCAACCTTTGCATCATGGGCAGTGGAATACTTCACTGCAGCACAGTTGCCCCCTCTTGTTTAAATGACCTGTGGCTGAAGCTGTGCTTTGAGTGAAATGCTGTATTTAGTAAATATATGTATATTGTATGTATGTATAATATATATGTATATTTCTGATCTGAACCAAGCCCAATATAAATAGTTCATTATTTTCTTATATTTAGTACATTTTTAGTAAATAACCTGCATTTATTGTATAAAGAAATTCACTTTCCAAAAATTGTACCCTTGTTTAGTGTGTTTGTGGTTGACACAAAAATTCGTAGTTTCTTTCTGTCCAAAATCTTGTCCTAGAACCAATTTGGTTATTTTATACCTCATTACTTATGCTAGAAATGAATTGTATCTATTTGCGCAGAAACAGTGTGCCTCTTTATGTAAAGGAATACTTTTATCATAAATGTATACAGTAATTCTTATAAGGAGAAGAACAGTTTCTATAATTTTGCATAATCCTAATTCATTGAAAATCTCGATTAGTGCATGGAGAGCCATTCACCCAAAGAGTCATTAAATATTTTTTTTTGTATAGTTATTAAACAGGAAACTCCCTCTATGCATCCTGGAACCTCCACATCAAATCGGTATTCTTTTTTTAATTCAGCCATGGTAAATGTTATGCTTCAGGACTGCTACATAGTGTGATGCTTTGCTGATGTAGATGTCTCTGGTTTCAGGCTATAAGCTACATGCAACAGGACTTGGCAGTTGCAAAGACACTAGGAGACATTGCAGGAGAGTGCCGGGCACATGGCAACCTTGGGTCAGCATACTTCAGTAAGGGAAGTTACAAGGAAGCACTAACAGCTCACCGCTATCAACTTGTACTTGCTATGAAGTGCAAAGATACGCAGGCTGCTGCTGCCGCCCTCACCAGTCTCGGTGAGTGCCTGAGATACTCTTCTGTTTCCCACAGGCAAATGCTGGGATAATACTTCAGTTAGACTTGGACCATTTCCTTCCAAATTCCTTCCAGTTCATCATTAATCTCTCATCATACCATTCGTAGCTACATAGTCTGGCTATTGACATCATCATAAAATGAGCTTGCAGACAGACAGTACTGTAGCATGACCATCAGAAAGCCACCTGAAAATAATTCATCTGCTTCAGAGGGAGAGACTAATGTTCATTGCATCCATTTGGGCCAACCACGCTCGACCCACTAACAGCCTACATGCTACAGTTCCTTTTAGAATCGCTTGAGCAGATCATTTAACAACTACCATGAATTGTATATGAAGCTGTGTTGGATATAAGCTGACACTCCCTTACTCTAGTTTCACTGTTTTGCAGAGATATGAATCCCCTGAGTGAATTAACATGAAGTGCTTTCACTATGAACTGTTTCTCTCGCTGTTCATGATTGTGTAGCTCACTTGCCGTACTGTGTGAACATTCACTATGTGCAGGTCACGTGTACACTGCAGTGGGTGACTACCCCCATGCACTAGCATCTCACAAACACTGTGTGAACATTCACTATGTACAGGTCATGTGTACACTGCAGTGGATGACTACCACAACACGTTAGCATCTCACAAACACTTTGTTAACATTCACTATGTACAGGTCATGTGTACACTGCAGTGGGTGACTACCCCAACGCGCTAGCTTCTCACAAACAGTGTGTGCAGCTGGTGAAACAGATGGGGGACCGTCTACAGGAGGCAAGAGAGATCGGTAATGTGGGGGCTGTATACCTTGCCATGGGTGAGTTCGAGAGTGCCGTCGACTGCCACTCGCAACACCTCCGTCTAGCACGCAGGCTTGGCAATCAGGTACTCTATTATTATGTATCAAGGAGTTAAATTTTCAAATTGTTTGGCAGATTGTGTCTTTCATCTTATCAGTGTTCTGGTACCTTGTCTGGTTTCTTTCGCTCAACTTTCATGCATTCAGTTCTGTATCTCCACTGATGTAAGATGTGTTTTTGTACATATTTGATTTCACCACATTTTACAAACTTCAGAGGGTGAAAGGGTTAGAGTTCTCCCAAGAACCTTCATGCAGTAAGGGCAGTTTTGTTTATTCATGTCTGTGTGGTTTTCATAATGAGGATAGCAGTGATTGAGTCACTGCAAGTCTGGAACTTGGTGGTCTAATGTACCAAGAGAGCCAGGGAACTGCTCTGTGCATGAGGCTGTATGAAAGCAAACTTTTTGTTATGTTGCAGGTGGAGGAGGCTCGTGCATACAGCAATCTTGGGTCCTCACATCATTACAGACGTAACTTTGCGCAAGCCATTTCTTACCATGAAAATGTTCTGCGGATTGCGCAGGAACTTGGGGACCATGCAATAGAGGCAAGGGCATACGCAGGACTGGGTCATGCAGCTCGTTGTGCTGGGGACTATACCCAGGTGTGACTCGAGACCTACTCTCTGGGGAGATAGCCATGATATTGAGGATTTATAACAGCAGAAGCTGATCTGTCTGGTGTTGTCCAGGTGTAATGCACACAATTAGGAAGTTGAAAATTTATAGTGTTGTTCTCTATCATTCATCCTAGTGTAGTGAGGTTTCCCTGCATCATTGGAGCTTGGGGGGAACACCTTTGCTTCCTGTATGTGACAGTCTGTTACAGTTTTGGAGATATTTAATTTTAAAATTTTAATTCAATATGTGGAATAAGTGTCATATATTATTTCAAAAGTTAAAATTAAATAGCTCAAAAACTATATCACATGGATGTATAGAGTAAAGAAATACTCTTTTTTTTTTACTCAAGCATGAATTGCTCTGAAGCAATGAGGAAAAAGCATCTTTTAGGAGGGTCTTGTACCATTATGCCAAATTTGGTCAAAACAGAGGCAACAGTATGGAAATCAATAAAAAACAGACACAAAAACCTGCTCTTCTTTATACAAACGAGGTATGGTCAAGTTCCTGGACTGTTATTGTTGTAACTGCCTCAGAGAAAGGAGATGAAAGGGGAGGCCAAGGTCACACTTCCACAAGCCTATTGCATCAGTCTACCACGTGACACTGCGCTGTGAACATCCATTGTGTTTATGCAAGTGCTTTTTAGAACTTCATGTAGTGTTTTGTCTGTGATGGAGGGGGATTCACAGACACACAGACAGCATGATGATCTCATAAGCCCACTTTTATTTCTTCGAACTAAGGAAAGCAGACTCACTATGGCCTGTTTAGAATCTGGAAGCATGTAAATTGTACCAAAATTAAAATTATTTGCAGTTATCTTATAGTAACTGGTGAAAACATGAAAGCTTATATGAGAATAATTATTGAGTAATACAATAATATGATACATGTACATATGTGAATTCCATTATAAAGATTTGAAGTTGATACAGAAATGAAAGAAATTTGATTTAGAAAATAACCACTGGATGTCAATGTCATCCTGGCATTCAGTTTAACCTGAGAATATGTAACTATATGTTGCTGGTAGTGAGTGTGTTTATTGGCCTGGGAAGGGAGATAAGATTTGATACTTGATTGAGAAGGCCTGCAGAGGGCACTTAAGAAGATGGAGGTGTAAATGGAGAATAGTGATTTGTGCCCCCAGGAAACAGATTGTAGTGGCCTGGATTGCATATACCTGTCTTAGGTTAAGGTCTGATACTATGCACCTTCTCTTAATGATGGCAGGCGAAGCGATGGCATGAGCGCCAACTGGATATGGCTTTAGCATCACGAGACAAGGTGGGCGAGGGTCGAGCTTGTTCGAATCTTGGCATTGTGTACCAGCTGCTAGGGGAACATGATGCAGCACTCAAATTGCACCAGGCACATCTCAGCATAGCTCGGCAGCTGCAGGACCGTGCAGGCATGGGGCGTGCCTATGGTAATATTGGAAATGCTTACAGTGCCATGGGCTACTATGAGCAGGTACCAATTATATCTTTTTTGGATCAGTTTCCCTTTATGTTTGATTTGAGGATCTCAGAGTGGTGACGGTGAAGAATTCTGTTTTCTGAAATATAATACAATGTAGTCTGGTGAAAGTCAACTGAAGTTTCAGGGAACATTTCATCTCCATCTTCATGGTTGAAGAGTACACCAAGCAAGAAACCAGCGTGAAGCAAAGTTGTGCTTGCCCTTCTCCTTGACCCTGAAGATATGGGTGATGTGTTCCTATGAAACACTGCGCTGTCCCCCAACTACAGGACCTTTCAACCTAGAAAACCTTACTCTTGACAGTCACCACTGCTGTGAGAACCTCAGTCCACAGCATATTTTGTTTCAAGCTTCAGCATGCTACACGTTTCATTTGAGGGGCATCTGCAGAGAAAATGACATCTATACAGGATGTACCATAATTACATGCAATGAATATAAGGACCCTGTTCTGCTCCTAATATCAAGTAAAAAATTTCTGTTTATACAGTGGCAACAGCGTGTCATTTGACAGGGTCAGCACTGGCATGTAGCAGACTTCAACCCATCAGGTTACAGGTAGTGCTAGTGGTAAGGTAAAGCTATCTCTGCATCAAGCTGTGGAGGCCCATAGGATTTTGACACATCAGGTTTCCCATATTTTCTAAGACAGTCAGCTCACAGTTGGCAGTGAGGTTGTCAGCCTTATGCTCCAGCCAACCATCCTTTATGCCTAGGAAGATCCTTACCCCAGGGCCATAGTGCGGCTGGAAGGATTAAGTGAATTGAAAAATGCAGTGACCTTGTTGGAAATTGAACCCATAACCTTCCAGTTTGTAGCATAGTTTCTCAAACATGCTACCACATGCCCCTTGGGTGACATGATTGGCAGTGATGACATTGATATGGTTTTCTGCACCACACAACACAGAAGACTGTATTCTTGAATGGCAGAAAATATGAGGGGAACTTTGGGAAGGATGAAAGGGCAAGAAGGGGGAGAGGTGAAGTGAGAAGCAGGGGGGGATATTATCCTTACTGTGGTGCGTTGTGCAGGCTATCAAGTACCACAAGCAGGAGCTGACCATCTCCAAGGAGGTGAATGACCGCAGCTCAGAAGCATCAACCCACGGGAATCTGGCTGTAGCATATCAAGCCCTTGGTGCACATGAGATGGCCCTCCTTCACTACCGTGCACATCTGAATACAGCACGTGAACTAAAGGATACAGCGGGAGAGGCATGTGCTCTTCTCAACCTTGGAAACTGCCTGTCTTCCCGCGGTGAATTCGGCCAGGCAGTTCCTTTCTATGAGAACTACCTCATGCTGTCTCAGGTACTAAGTGGCAGTCACATGTGTTTAATGTAGCAAGGGAATATGTTCCCAAAAAGAGGGCCCATGGACATAGGGACTGGTGGCAGTCTTACATTAAGAACTTGTAATCATGTAAGTTGAGACTGCAGTCTTCTGGCATGTGATACTGTTTATTTTGGTAGGCTGGTGTGATCACCTTGGACAAACTTCCTACCTTCATCTCCACAGAGAAGGCAGAAGGTTCCCTGGAATGTCAGTGTCTTCCAAAATATAGATTATCACATCCCAGAAAGGTGTGGTGTCAGGGCCCAGGGAGGTGCTTGTTGCAGTATGAAAATAAGAACTTGAAATCATGGGATTTATACTCTGACATTGACAGCAACTTCACATTGTTGTGTCATAATCATATGACTATCAGGCTTTTCATATATATATGTTGGTTACGTATTCGTGTTCTTTATAGCAGTGGTGTCAATAACTGAGATTAGGTAGCAAAGTGATGAGGTGGTGAATAATTAATTTGAAAGGATGAGAAAGAAAATGGTCAAGTCCTAAGGTAAATCCTGGCATTTGCCTGGAGGGACTGAGGAAAACCACAAAACCCTCAGTCAGGATAATCAGTGACTGAAATTTGACATGTTGAGATATCTGTTGGATAAATGGAAATTTCTGTTAGAAAATTATGTGATTATGATGTAAAGTCTGTATATTTACCTTCTGACTGTGTTTGTGTTTCGTGAATCATATGAGATTGTTACAGTGAAGGATACAGAACATGTCTGCAATTTTTTGTGTGGAATCTTTATTTATTTTTGTACATAATATGAAATTGTGAATAGTGAAAACTTGTGATTTAATATTTTCTGAAGAAATGGAAGCAGTTCTTAAGTGGAATGGCATTTTCCTGTCTGTCTATGAAACCAGCACAGTCTTGTTGATCCTGTCAAAGTTCAGTTCAAGTTCAAGTTCCTGTTCATTGTGGTTTCTGTGTCTTCAGGCTGATGACCAGTCCTTGTTGATTGCTGTCCTCCCAGGTTACACATAAGTACATGTAAACTTCATAGTGTTAGATCTGTATTTGTAAAATGTTAAATTTTAATTGTGAATTGTAGAACAAACGTTACTCTTTAGCATTCTTGCACTAGAGCTCTTCTGAAGGTAAATTTTTGGAGGCCTGCATATTTATAATCGCAGACCAGGAGAGTGTTACTTTTCTTTTAAGTTTACTACACAGCATTAAAAAGGGCCACATGGATATCTTCAGATGTCCTCAACATTGGTGCTGCCTTCCTTTGCCCACTTTGCAGTGCGCACTTTACAGTATTTTATATTGACCTAAACTGATATACAGGTATCCCCTGACTTACCCAGATTTTGTTTGATGTGATTTCATGTGTGTTTTTTTTTTTAATTTAGTTTGTTAGAGAAAAATAAGAAATGAGTGCAGAGAAATTGCACATACTTTCACATATATGACCAAACTTGGTTACTTTTCATTGGAAACAAAGTCAATTCTTGAAGAATGCAGTCTTCTGGGATTTGGCACCGTGTATATGTGGTGTTAACCGACGTTTCGGAGGAACGTATCGCCCCCATCTTCAGGGTTGAAGAAAAAGTATAAGTAAATCTGCAAGCGACAACACCGTGAGACACGATAAAGCAGTCTGCTTTATCGTGTCTCACGGTGTTGTCGCTTGCAGATTTACTTATACTTTTTCTTCAACCCTGAAGATGGGGGCGATACGTTCCTCCGAAACGTCGGTTAACACCACATATACACGGTGCCAAATCCCAGAAGACTGCATTCTTCATAGTCACCGCCGTGAAAGCCTCAAATCTTACAAAGTCAATTCTTGTTTGTTAGATCACTTGTTCATCATTGGTTATACAAATCAAGGTATGTACATGTTGTGTAATGGCCGTTTAATTATCTCATACATGCCTGAGGGATGTCAGCCTTCTGTTGTTAAATAATTGTTTTATAAAAGTTATCTGTAATTTCAAAATATTGTAGAAGAATCACAGTCTTATCATTTGGATCTCATGCCTCTAAAGATGATTAAAATTTAATGAATATTGGTCAAGCCATTTTTGAGGAAATTTGACATCTTGCAGTTTGGGCCCCTAGTGTATGCACTGTTATTGGCTGATTGGTACTAATTATATAGCTTCATTTAGGGTGATGGTTCTCATAAACCACTGAAATTTAATCAAAATTTTTTATAAAGAATCACCATTTTGTTTTTTGGTTCCCATGTGGAAGGCCCATATTTTTGGAGATTGATTCTGGACACTGGACACTGACACTCATAAGTAGCAAATATGAATAATATGTGCCCAACTCTTCAGGTGACAGTGAGGATCACATCTCTGTGTCAATATATACATGCATATAGACAGGCAAAACCCACTTTTGTGTATTCTGGACTGCCAAAAATGTGTCTGCTAAAATCTCCAGATCAGTTTGTTTCACTGTCACAGCACTTTTTCATGTACACTACATGTATGCAAAAATGGAAAATAATGGAATTACTTGAAGAATGCTGTCTCCTCAGATGTGATGCCCTAACTCACTACTTGCTTGTGTGCTAGCCCTGCTTATTCTTCAGTCCAGAAGATGAAAGCAATGTGTTCCTCTGAAATGTCAGTAAACTTCTACCAGATTGCATGGCATCACACCCCATGAGATGGCACTCCTCAGCCGTTGCCATGAGAATGTCAAATCTCATAATGAAATTATTTGTCTGAAACATGTATTTTTCAACGAAAATAAAAGACAGTGAAACAAAAGAACTGGCAACAATTTTGAGTTCTGTGAACACCCTGTGGGACACACTTACCATGTAAGTTGGGGAATACTTGTGCTTTTCATTACCTTACCAATTTATTTCTTTAATACTATCTACTGTTGAATAATTCAATTTTTGTATTTATATTCTTGCAAAGTAATTTGTTGTTGTATGCATGTATAGGTAATTGCAAGTGAATTACAAACTGTTGTTGTCAGATGATCAGAGCTCTGAGGTTCACATGTTTTAAGTTGGATCAATAAATATTCTACAGTGTTCATGATATACTTTGTATTCTTATTTATGTGTAATATTAACAATATTTACCTCATTATCTCTAGTTATTATATGAGTAATAAAACTGCACGGTTCATTTGTTAGTCAGTCCAGAAATTAGACATTTGTTAGGTAAGTCTATTACTCTGTATTAACTTGGACAGTCACTTGTTCCTTCATTTAATTTGTTAGTCCATCAGTAGGTCAAACAGCCACCAGTTTCCCTGTTATACAAGCTTTTGTATATTAACTCCCCTTGCCTTATTCCATATTCCTTTCCCATCCTACATATTATCAAATGATGCAGCAAGGCCGATGTGTAATGCTATCTCTGATGAATGACATACTCACACAGTCAACCATAAACTGTGTCTGTTGTGGTATAGTATATTACACTTCACGTGTCTATATCAGAATATTACCAATACTCACTAAATAGACTTGAAAACTAACATTGCTCATTCATACATGATTTACTACATAATTTATATTCATGCATTGTATTAATGCTTGACAGTTTGTTGCTCTGGTAACCCAAAATTGTATAATGACAGTGATAAATCTCACACTTAAAGACTTTTCTAGATGTGTGAAAGGCAAATTTCCTTTTTTGGTACATGTAGAAACTGAGTTTAGTTCTGCAAAGAATGAAGCTGAGGCCAATACAGCATCAATGAAAAGCACATATATAAAACTTAACCCTTCAAAGCACAGTGGTAAATATAAGTTCCACCCTTAAAAACTCTACATTTTGTTCACACAATATATTTATGTTTTATTTGATTCTTACAATACGCAGCAATTGTTTACCTAAACAGGATTAACTGGTTGGTCTTTGTTATGGAGACACAGTGTGTTTACTGTGAGATACAAACTGAATTTTTATGCATTATTTAAATTAATTTTAGGCCTGCTGAGTAGCATGGAAGAATGTTTATTTATAGGTTGTACTGACTGCTCATGGTTGTGATATTTGTGATGTGTGAAATATGTTTCTATCACATATCCGAGGCTGTGTGCTGTATATCAGATAGTGCTCTGTGTCCAACAGGAGCTGCATGATATTGAGGGTGAATCAAAGGCATGCCACTTCCTGGGATATGCGCATTACTGCCTGGGGAACTTCCGAGAAGCAGTGCGCTACTACGACCAGGATCTGGCCCTCGCCAAGGACTTGCAGGACAAGATGAACATGGGGCGTGCATACTGCAACCTTGGCCTTGCACATCTTGCCCTCGGAAACTTGGAGACAGCTCTAGAGTGCCAGAAGTATTTTCTTGGTAGGTGTTCTGTTTTGAGACCAACAATATAGATACAAGAGATTGGAAATTCTCATAGTCACCATGAACATTACAGTCTTCTGGGATGTGATGCTGTGTAGTCTTGTAGTTTGTTACCTGTGTTTTGGAGGAACTGTTGCATATATCTTCAGTGTGGAAGAGTAAGCCAAAACTGGAAAAGTAGAATGGATATAGTGAGACACAAGACTCTGACCAGTGTCCTGAGTGAACCAACAGGAGCAGGAAGACTTATTCAAACCCTCAGTTCCAATCCTTCCTGTCACTGTATTCATACCAATTCTCCCCACACTCTGCTTACTTTTCTATTCTGAAGATGGAGGCATCAAGTCCCTCTGAAATGTTGGCAATGATCTACCAGACTGTGCATCGTCAAATTGCAGGAGACAGTAACTTTTACGATGTACTTGCTGCACAGTCATTTCTGGGAACAATATGAATCTGCTATAAAATTTAAGAGCCATATAGCTCAGTCGGTATAGTGACAGGCTACAGGCTTGATAGCTGGGGTTCAATTCCTGGCAGAGGCAAGATTTTTCTCTCCTTCACAGTGTCCAGCCTGGCTCTGGGGCCTACCATACTTCCTATCCAATGGCTACCAGGGGCTGTTTCACCGGGGGTAAAGTGACAGGGCCATGAAGCTGAAAGCTCACCACCATCTAGTGCTCAGGTCAAGAATACTGCAGCTACATCTTATTGGAATGATGTTTAATCAGTTAAGCACAGGGATAACTTTACTTTGTACGTTTACTGGATGGATATTGCTTCATGGTATTTTCCTCACACATGTCTAGTGCTCTGGACATGTTGCTGTGGATGTGGAACACGACCTGCCCCTGAAGAGAGAACAGATGATGATGCTGAGAGAAAGCTTGGAGCAGAGTAATTAGGTCTAATGCTGTGTTCAGTGATGCATGACCACATGAAATTTGTGGCAGACCAAATTGTACTGGAGCACATTTTACCCTGAGTTTATTCAGTTTTCCTCTCACTAATCACCATTCCACTGAAATTTTGTGTCTCGCATACCTGTTTGTCTCTACAAAACTGTTACTTAAAAGTTCATCATTGAAAAAGATCTATGCTAGAGTGCCAACCAGTGAAGTATGATCGAAATATGACCCCAGAAACACGAAACAAACTTTGTCGATTATATATCGACATTTGTCTATGGAAGCACAGTCCCCACGTTGATTATGTTGACATTTGACTGGAAAGGGTTGAAGTATGCACTCAACTGTGAACAACATTTTTCACATTTTACTCCAGATTAATTGTAACCGGATTAGAGATAGTTTATTCTGATAAAGTATAACGACTGAAATGTCTCATATATAAAATTAAAATTAGTAGCTGTACAGTTCTTGCTCTTTACCAAATAATGTCAGAATTATTAAAGCAACAAGGGTAAGATTTTGCTATCTCTATTCAGCAATTGCTCATATGATGAAGCATCTCCCGGGCAAGTTTCGAGCACTGGGCAACATTGGGGACGTTCTCATCAAGATGGGTAATGTGGAGGAGGCAGTTAAGATGTACCAGAGACAATTATCATTTGCACGCCAGGGACGAGATCGTTCACTTGAGGCAGCTGCTTATGGGGCCCTGGGTCTGGGACACCGATTGCTACGCTGTTATGACAAGGCTCTCGGCTACCACACGCAGGCAAGTTTACATCATCATCATCATCCATGAGTACCCATTTATTGTTCCTTAATTTGGAGTTTTTTCTCTCATCTCAGTGATCCAAGGTCACTATCTCAGTGTTAAATTATCTCAGTTTAAGATTTTCCTCAGTTTAGCATTCAAACCCACTGGTCTGAAAAGAAACTTACATAGGATTTTGTTGTAACTAACTAATAGCATTAAGCTAAGGCCTTTCTGATAAGCTGATAGTTGCTCAGCTGCCCATTTCCCAGCATTTTATAGAACCGGCATATTATTTTTACTATTGTAATATTTTATTATTTCATTACAATTAAAAATGCATTAAAACGTTAAATGCATTCAAGCATCAAACACAACAATGTTTGAAGCTATCCACTGTTCACAATGATAAATTGTTTTAAGTTTTAGTTTTCAGCAGTAAACTTTACTGTATATTTGTCTGAATGATAGTGTTACTGCAGCATTCAGAAGCGCACCAGTAGATGGCACTGTGATGTATGCTGATTGCAGGAGTTGATGCTGCGGCAGGAAATGGGCGATCTGAAGGGGGAGTGCCGTGCACATGGACACTTGGGGGCAGTCCACATGTCACTTGGTAACTATACAAATGCCATGAAATGCTATCAGGAGCAGCTCGAGCGAGCCAAGGAGCTCAAGGACAGTGCTGTGGAAGCTCAAGCTTTTGGAAACCTGGGAATAGCACGCCTCAACATGGGGCATTATGAGGATGCTATTGGCTACTTGGAGCAGCAGTTGGCAACCCTAGAACAGCTCTCCACTTCAACGGCCATGCTGGATAAGGTCTGATGAAAAATGTCACTTTCAGTGTCATGCACTGTCTGTGTTTTTAGACCTGGCTACTCTCAGCATAATGTGCAGTGGATTTGGTTGAGTCAACTAACTGAGAGAAGGATTGTACAGTGTGTATGGGTTATAACAAGGCCTTAGTTATGGTGTGTCACCCTCCCTCCTTTGCCCCCAAAATGCAGCTTCAACCACTACCTTGCTACTTCTACTTCTTGTCATGCAGACCCAGAGGGCAAGTCTAGAAACACAGACTGTACATGTATTGCAGTAGAAGTCTGCTGTAATGGCAACTTAATCATGTTAAGAATAGAAGTGTTCTTCAGTTTTAATGAGTGTACTTTTTCCAGTTTTCCTCTAATGAGTATTTTCTTTTAGATGGAAGAGAGAGGAAATGCGTACAGAAGTTTGATTGAGAATTCTATTATACGAGTATATGTGAGGATAACATTGATATAGGTCTTAGAGAAATGGGAAGTGAAGTGAATAAAACTAGCTCAGGATTTATCAAATCTTGGAGTGTTGTATTAGTATTGATTAATGTTTTGTTTCAGTATTATTTATTTCTTTAAATATGTATGTGTGTGTGTTTATTTATTTATATATTTATTTATTTATTTATGTACTTGTTTATTAATTAATTCATGCATTCATCCTTGGTTTATTTAATGACACTTTCAATAGTTCAAACTACATAGTTTTGAATGATTTATGATGGATGTGGAAGGAAGTGGTTGGTGTTTAATTTGGGTTACTAGCCTGGCATTTACCTGGAGGAACAGAAAACCATGGAATACTTCAGGATATTCAGTCTCCAGGTCAATATTTGATTCTGTAGCTTCCTGAATAGTGTTGCTTATTCGGTGGGTTCAGTTCACAGAGAACAACTTGGTTGTTGATGACTTATCAGGCATATGCTGTTGCACTGAACACTAGAAATGGCCCCTCATAATTATTCTAAACTAACTGATATCCAAAGTCTGTGACCAGTCCAAGTAAGGGCTATTGCACAACTCAGGGGGCAATGATAGATGAGTATGATGCAATGGCTGAATGATGATTAGTTGGAGACAAGCTTAAGAAACTTGGAGAAAAATATTCTCCAGTTCCACCTTGTCCCCCACTAATCTAACATGAATTCACCTGTGACTGAACACGACTGTGTAACTGTCTGAACTATGCCAAAATATGAAGTGTGTCTACAAATTTAGTGGTTAAGTTATCTTAATTTTATCTCTTGTGCTTTCAGGGACGAGCATTTGGCAACTTGGGTGATTGCTATGATGCTCTTGGAGATTTTGATGAGGCTGTCAAGTGTCACGAACAGCATCTTGCTATAGGTTTGAAGCTGAAAAGTGCACGGGACCAGGAGCGGGCATACCGTGGCCTAGGGCACTCTCATCAGTGCCTAGGCAACCTGCAGCAGGCCCTCGTATGCTTTGAGAAGAGACTTGTTGTGGCTCATGAGCTCAATAATTCCGAGGCCAAAGCGTCTGCATACGGGGAACTTGGACACATCCATAGTACTCTGGGGAATTCTGAGCAGGCCATTTCATGCCTTGAGCATCAACTGGCAATAGCAAGGTAAGGGAGTTATGCAAGCACTGAAGTATTTCTTTCACATTTGTTATGATGAGTACTGATAGTGTGCTAGATGTATTCTCTCACATGACCGCTTGTGTCAATTCAGAACAGAAGTCCAACATAGATTACTTTCATCTGTGATGTGACACCATGTAGTCTGGTAGGCTGTTACCAACATTTCAGAGGAGGCTTCTTCTTTCATCTTCTGTCCCAAAGATGGAGATAGTGGGCTCCCCTGAAACATTGGCAGCAGTTTACCAGACTACATGACATCACATTCGAGAAGGCAATGGCTCTTACAGCCATTGCTTTTGGAACCTCAGATCCAATAGACATCTAGCAGTTTAAAGAATTTCTCGATCTCTGTCCAGGCATGATGTGCTGGCTAAACTCTATTGGTATGCATTGATGGGGTCCAGTCACCAAGAACAACTTGTTTTCTGAAGGACAGTGGGTTGACACCAGAGAACACTATTGTAGCTCTCTTTTCCTTTCATGTATTATGGGCTAGACAACTGAGGAATCAGGTCTAAAATTTTGCGACTGTGGTATATTAATGCATTTATTGTATTTCTGGACATTATCTGTCATTTTTTTTTATTTAAAATGTTCACATTTTTGGATAGGGACTAGCTCTGTTAACTGGACCCAACTGAGTAGGTTACACTTGAAGATGGAGACAGAATCCAGCCTCTGAAACGTTGTGTGTTTTAAATAAATAAACAGGACAATGGATAGTGTTCAAAAACACAACAATTTTATTGGAGAATCACGGTTTGATTCCCAGCAGGACCAAAAGTTTCTTCTTCTCTTCAGCATCTAGGCAAATTCTGGGACCCACCCAGCCTCATGTCCAGTGCACACCATTGAATCTTTTCCTAGGAATATGGGAGCCGGGTCAAATCTGACCACTCACCTCTGTCTAGAAAGCTGGACACCATGATGTCTGTGAGTGGCTTCATGTACTTAACCTTGTTCACAGGGAACTGAAGGATAAAGTGGCAGAGGCTGATGCAGCATGTGGTCTGGGAGCAGTTTACCAGCAGATGGGGGAGTACTCAACAGCCCTGCGTTACCATCAGGCTGATCTGGACACTGCTGAGGAGCTAGGATTGGCAGTACTGCAGGGGCGTGCATGTGGTAATCTTGGCACTGTCCATGAGTCTCTTGGTAACTTTGAAGAAGCTGTGAGGTACCAGGAGCAGCATCTGTCAGTTGCTGCACAGACCAATGACAAGCTTGCCAAAACAGTGGCATATAGCAGTTTGGGTATGTACCCGTGCAACCGTACACTCGTCATGAACAGAATTGGCTCTTCTCAATACATTCTTTGCCATTTTGTATTTCTGCATTGTAATTGCGATTGTATATCACATATACGGTCTAGAGTACTGTGATGTGGGATGGTGTAGTAGAAGTTTCAGAGGAATGTACTCAATCTTCAGAGTTGAAAGCTAATCCAAAGAAGCAACAAGCAAGTAGGAACTTACTCTGCTCACATTATTAAAAAATTGGAATTTCATTGGTTGTTTTATTGACTATTATTTTATAGGGTGGAATTCACAGAAGTATTCAAACAAGGGGCAGTTATGGAGGTCACAAACTCTTCTATGGGAAAACATCTCATTCACTTCTAAGGCAAAGACAGAACAGGGTCTGAGGAACTCTGCTTCCACCCTGGGCAGAGTCAGCCACTTCAGAAGCAGAAGCTCTTCTTGCAGGTTGCTTGCATGGCTTGTGGGGGGGGGGGGGCAACAGAAGCATCTCCACATATGTAGAACAGCTGATGGTAACCCTACTTGTTGCATTTATCTTTAATTCATAAAACTGAATTTCATAGTCAGTTACTATTCTCTTTGTGTTACCGACTGACCACTGTACGTTAAGACAGCATTATGGGCCTCTCAGAAAGAGCCATGTGCAGGAAATGTGGGTGGAAGGAGGAACCATCTTACAATACGCCACACTACTTTGTCAGTACACAGCTTTGGTTAGGCATAGAATAAGGATTTTTGGCTCTGTGTTGATAGAACTGGACAGCTTCTGTGGTCTAGTGGTCAGAGTTCCTGCCTAAAGATCCAGAGGTCATGGGTTCGATTCCAGGCGCTACCAGATTTTCTGAGAATCAATGGGTCTGGAACGAGGCCCTCTCAGCCTCATGAGGATAATTGAGGTGATATTTCAAGGAATAGCAGCTCCGGTATAGAAAACCGAGATTAACAGCCATGGGGATCCGTTACGCTGACCAACTGACACCCTCTAGCCTCAAAAGTTGGCAATAACTTTGCCAACAAGTGGCGGTCGCTCAGTCGGTATAGTTTGTTTGCTGACTACAGGCCACAGAGTTTGTCGAGAGAACTGACAGATCTTATGAGGACCTTGGCCAGGATGGCTCTTACTCTAGTTACAGCTGTCCCTCTGCTGTCTGTACTGATAATAGTCGCACCTTTGATTTCTTGCAGGTCGCATCCATCATGCTCTAGGGAACACCAGCCAAGCAGTAGCGTACTTACAGCAGGGTCTTCAGATTGCAGAGCACCTTGGTCGGAGGGAGGAGGAGGCTCGAATCCGACATCGCTTAGGATTGGCATTGTGGGGCCATGGCGATCTAGATGGATCGCAGGTGCAGCTAGAGCGAGCTGCCAATCTTCTGGAGTCAATTCGCAGAGAGGCAAAGGGCTCCAGTGATTACAAGCTGTCACTATTTGACCTACAAACTGCTTCTTACCAGGCCCTGCAGGTACTTCCTTCAGCACATCCATGCTCACCATTCAAGTGCCTTTCTATGGGTCATATTCTCTGACTGGCCTGCTGGTCCTGCTATATAGCCTTGGCAAGAACTGCATGGAAAAGACCATGTCCTCTATTGTTGCCATGGAAACATGTTTATCCTGCTGTTGCCTAGCAATGGCTGCCTCTTCTTATTCCTCTGTTCTGGCTTTCACCCTTCATGTCTCAATATGAATGTTACACATTCATTGTTATCATGATCACAGTGCTTTTCTTATGGAGGGAAGAGTGGAAATATGTTTCTGCTCAAACCTATGCACATTATAGCAAAATCAGCAATCATTATGGGGTTTCTCTCCAAGTGGATCATCTTTTTTGTGTTTGCTAATGTTTTCCATCTCACACTATTTGCGAGAAACAAGGTGGGATGGATGGGCAGATGGACTTTGGCAATTATACAGGGTCTTTTTCAAAGAACCCAATGGACTTGTGGCACCAGAATCAGTTTCACATGATCATCTTTCACAGATACAGTGCTCACAAATGAAAGAACAAGGACTTCAACAAAAACAGTGATAATATACCTGGACAGAGTGTTCTACACTCCAACCCAAATTGTAATATAACCAATACAACATATATTCATCGATGATAATTGAGGCATTTTAAGAAATAAGAAAATATCATAACCCCCAGTGCTCACATCTGAAGGAACTCCAGTACAGACCCACAGCAATAAAACATGACAGCAGCCTACACTACAACATGGCCAAAAACTATGACTTATATACGAGGTGTGTTCAAAAAATGACGGGAATTTCCGTATTTTGGAAAAAATATTTATTCATTCGTCTACATTAATGTTGTCGCCTTCAAAATAGTCCCCATTCGATATTATGCACTTACGCCAGCGCTTCTTCCAATCATCGAAACACTTCTCAAACTCGATTTTTGGGATAGCCTTTAGCTCTTTCAGCGATGCGCTTTTAATGTCATCTATGCTTGTAAAACGACGGCCCTTTAAGGTTCTCTTTATTTTTGGAAATAGGAAAAAGTCACACGGAGCCATGTCTGGCGAATATGGAGGCTGGGGCATCGTTACAGTATTGTTTTTGGCCAAGAATTCACGAACAAGCAACGAAGTGTGAGCAGGTGCATTATCGTGGTGCAAAAGCCATGAATTGTTTTTCCACAAATCCGGGCGTTTTTTTCGGATTGCCTCACGCAAACGGCGTTGAACTTTCAGGTAGTACTCCTTATTGACCGTTTGACCTTGAGGCAAGAATTCATGATGCACTATGCCATTAAAATTGAAGAACACAGTAAGCATAACCTTCACGTTCGAACGCACTTGTCGAGCCTTTTTCGGTCTTGGCGATCCAGGATGCTTCCACTGAGACGATTGAGCCTTAGTTTCAACGTCATATCCGTAAACCCATGTTTCGTCACCTGTTATAACACGTTTCAGTAATTCTGCATCATCGTTGACTTCCTTTAGTGATTCCTGAGCAACTTCCATTCGCCGCTGTTTTTGTTCAAAATTCAGCAATTTTGGAACAAATTTTGCTGCCACGCGTTTCATACCCAAAACATTCGAAAAAATTTCATGGCATGAGCCAATCGATATGCCAACATCATCAGCGACTTCTCTGATTGTGATTCGGCGATCATTCATAATCATTGCTTTCACTTTTTCCACGTTTTCATCGGTTGTTGATGTGCTGGGGCGTCCGGGGCGCTCGTCATCTGCAACGTCTTCACGGCCATCTTGGAAACGCTTATACCACTCGTAAACTCTTGTTTTACTCATAACAGACTCACCATAGGCCTTTGTTAACATTTCACACACTTTGTAACACTTTATTTCATTTTTTACGCAAAATTTGATACAAATTCTTTGATCCATTTCTTTTAACAAACGAAAATCGCCAAGCTCATAAAAACACGTCTAACCTTAGCGGCTGCCACAGACAAAGTAAGCAATGAATACAGCTGAAAATTTTATTGTACTTCAGGGGCATGTATACCAACATAATAAAAAAAAAATTTTGACAATTGGACTCTCCAAACCCGCGAAATTTTAAAATTCCCGTTATTTCCTGAACACACTTCGTATGTCACTTATAATTAAGGCATTGTGACCAATAAGAAATGTTATAACCACATATTTGAGACTTCAGTATTTTAATATTGTAACCAAGATGAGTACAAGGACATTGCACTAGTATGTAAATAATGTACAGCACAAAATGCACTCATATGTAAACACTGGCCAAAATGAAAGCAAATAAGTCACTCATGTGTGTACAATACCTGATGATGGCCAAAAGGCTGAAACCAGTTGGTTTTAAATTTTGACATTTATAATTCTTACCTTTTATAAGTTATATCTGTACATATTACATATGTAATATGTATATATATATGTAATATATCTGTACATATATAATCTCGTATTACACTGACAGAAAGTAAAATAGTAAATATAATACAACAAAACGTGATGCTGTGATACAATATTCCACTGAAGGATGCTGCTAATATAGTTTCTCCTCATAGCGAGTGTTAGTTGGCTTGGGACGACAGGAGGAGGCACTGTTGGTGGCTGAACGAGGACGTACCAGGGCATCTGTTGACCTACTGCTTGAACGGCAAGGCTGTGGAGAGACTGGGTCTGGCAACAGGGTGGATGACAGCGTGCCAACTTCAGTGGATCAGCTGGTGGAGATTGTCAACAGGCAGAAGGCTTCTGTGCTGTACTACAGTCTGGCAGCTGGTTCGCTCTACTCCTGGTTCATTGTTCCTGCTAGAGGTACACCACAGTAACTTCATCTTATGTCACTTGAGTCAGCTTAGAAGGGGCCGATCTCCTGTACATTCTTCTGCTTAATCCTGTTGGTTCTCTTGAGGCCTTGGCTCTAGCCTTCTCATGCTTAGCTTACTCATCTACCCTGTAGATAAAGGTAGCAGGCAATATCCATAAACATAATATTTGTACTAATGTACCATTGTCACAGACTTTTGGATCTTATTTCCATAAAATCAACATTACACGACTTATGCAATTAATATTCAGATTCATTGGTCCCAAAGGAAAATTTCAATGAGGATTTTACTTTACATATCTAAGTTAATGAAGCCATCATATCAGCTACGTGTATATGCAGTGAACTTCTCTTGGGCATTTAGTTGCATCTGCATGGAGCGAATTACTCTTCCAGAGACTATCTCTGACTCCTTCGTAAGCATTTGTTGTGATGAGTGGTGTGACTGTCTGTACACACAGTTACCTTGGAGCCAGTATCCTTTTTTTTTTAATTAATTCATTTATTTACATTTCATGGCTAGAAAGCCAGTGTGTATAGAAACAGTCAATGACAATAAGACAAGTCATGTCAAGTACATAACTACAAATTAATTATACTTAATCTGTCACAGTTACTCTTATTATCTGAGATAAATCACAATGAATAAATCATTAAACATTTATACAATATATATAAAAACATGCATCATACTAATCTCAAACAAGACTACAATAATCAGACATAAGAATATGCTGCTAGCTGTCCAGTATAAATAGTCCAAAATCGTTAATTAATATTGAAATTAAAATATTCTTTCGATTAGTAAAATGAATTTAAAAGTAGAAATCTTTTTAAGGAAAATCAAAATTGTTTCATATCATGAGCTAAGTTCTTTGTACTAGAAAGATTATTAAAAACATTAACTCCAAAATAGTATGTTCCTTTTTGAAATACTGTTAAATTACATATTTTATATTGGAAATTGTTATTGTATCCTGTATTAATGCTATGAATCTCAAAGTTAGATTTAAATTGTTCTCTGTTTTTAACGGCAAATAATAACAGAGAAAATACAGTATATACTGCGATGAATGTCAGTGTCCATGAATGGATCAACAGGAGAACCATCAGTGGAGTCTGACATTCAGTCATCCCTTCTAGTGCCCCAATTAATGTTGTCTAACCCAAAAAGTCTGGGATCCTAGTAGCCTGAGATTTGAGGTCTGGATGGTGTCGAATATTAACCGGTTCACTTCTAGTCCCATCACTTGATGGATGAAGTTTACTGCATGTAGTGTGGTGCAGTGACAGGCTGTTGCTACTGTGTATATAAATGACATGTTCTCTTCCAGATGACTCAGAAATGCAGAGAAATTTTTCGTATAGTTTGTTGAAGCTTAAAAGAACCAAAGCATGAATTGTTTATTCGCTTGTTATGTTCTTATCTCTTTTAAATTTAGTATGTTTCAGATTTAATTTTTGTTGACAACTACCCAGCCTAACAAGTGAAATCCCATAGTTGGGATACAGTGGTGAATGTGTTATGATTATAGTTTTCTCAGATTCAATGCAGTGAAGTTTAATGCAAATGTCTGTGAGAAACCTGCTCCTTCCATCTCTGGAGTAGAAACATGAGTAGTTCATTAGTTTAAACTAGGCAGTTCTCTTGATACAAGACAGACTGGAAACCTTGTAGAAAAATGAGTGGCCTCTCTAAAACATCTCTGAATGTTTTATCACACTTTGAGTATGCAACCATACCAAAAAAGAGGCCTGTGTGTTCGGTGATATTTCCAATACAGAGACTTTGGTGCCAATTGTGTATTGAAAATATAATCTTGCAGCTTAGCGGCCTCCGTAGTCTAGAGGTAACGTTCCCACCTAATGACTCGTGGTACGCGGGTTCAGATACCCGGCAGAGGTCTTTGAATTTTTAAGGGCAGAAAAATTCAGGGAACAAGTCCTCCGGGAGGGACTTTAAGCCGTATGTCCCATGTCGTAACTTTACGGCACGTAAAAGAACCTCATATCTCCTAAGGAGGTCACTGAGCCAAATTTCAGGACGTTTCCCGCCCAACAATAGTCTCTAAGGCCTCTGATAGATGGGGGAAGCATTATAGACACCATCAACCAAGTGGAGGCCGAACTCGCTTGCTCGGCGGGACTGATGGTACGCACCATTATCGGTAGGATATAGAGACTGGTAGAATATCATAGAGGGAAGCACAATGGACCAATACTGGCCTAAGTGCATGAGGAAACCCACCCTCTCCAATAACTAACTAACTAATCTTGCAGCTTTCTAATGATGACATAATGATCTCTGTCACCATCTGATGATCTCACACCCTCAGAGATGTTTTAGACACAGTTTACATAACATAACTTGCTGTTATTCAGGTGTGGTAAGATTCCATGAGGTGTCAGTGAGTGATACAGAAGCAGAGTGTGAGCAGGAGAGTGGCAGTGAGGAAGTGCTCACCACAGCCGGCTCACTTCTAGAGCATTACATTCAGAGTGTGCGTGACAGTTTGGGGGTGGAGTTACACACAGCCACTATGTCTAGGTAAGGGAAGTTGCTCCTACCCTTGTTGTTGCCTCTGCAGAAAATCTTGCTGGCACATGAATTTAATGCAGTCTCATTGTTCAGCTTTGAGCATATTTGCTAATGTATGCAGTCATGTGTGATAGCATGTATGTATGCTTCTAGATGACTATAATAGGGAGTGGTTGGTTTTACACAATTTTATAGGAAGATTGTACAGTGTTATCAAAATTTAAGTAAAGGTAAAGGTAATACTGTCCCTGCACTTAATTAATTAAGCACCAAGCTGTGAAGAGGTAAGGGGGAGTGGAGGTATAGTTCATTGAGAGTAAAATGTCAATGCTTTGCTGAGTACCATGCCCTGAAGACATGTCAGCACTAAATGGAGATCTGCAATTAGCTTTGTGCCCAACAGTGCCATTGGATATCAGGCTGGATGGGTCCTGGAGCCAGTGTAGATGAAAGAAACGCAGATTTTCTAGTACAGTGGTCACTATGTGGGCTCCCTGTTTTTTGAAATTCCTGTTTCTGGTAATACTCAGAGGGTGTGTGTATTCCGAATGAGGCATAAAAGCAGTCATTCTGTGTAGGATCTGCATAGTCTGGTAGAAGTTTACTGATGTTTCGGAGGAATGCATTGACTCCATCTTCAGGGATAAAGAGTAAGCTGTGCAAGCAAGTAGCAAGTGCTTCCTGCTTGTTTGCAGATATCAGTCTTTATCCCAGAAGACGGAGGCAGTACATTCCTCTGAAACATTAGTAAACTTCTACCAGATTGCACAACATCACATCCCAGTAGATGTTACTTGTCCTAGAAGAGATGTGTGTGTGTGTGTGTGTGTACCAGGGTCCGCGGAAGTGGTGTGATGGGGCAGGACACTGGTGGAGCATGTGACATGGATGCATCAGACACATGGTCACAGCACCTGGAGGAAATAGGAGACAGACTGAACCAGCAGGATGGTGACCGCATGGGATTCTTACGCATGGTTAACCGTAATCATGTCCTCAACTGCAGCAACTATAGCCTTAGCAGCCTGTTCAGGTACATTGACCACATGGTCACCACTTTCACTCACAGCAGTTCTGCTGCTGGCTTACTGCCAAGCAGCACACTAGCAGTTTGCAGTGTTTTGAAGGCAAAGAAATGTGTAACAGATGATTTTCATATCACCTGCTCCTGACAGAAGAGAAAACTGTTTGTTCAAACTGCATTCTGGAAGAGAAATATTTTATCTTGACTTTGGCAGTCTGGAGAAAGCAGCAATAAATGGCTGACCTCAGATAGGAGCACAAAATATTTGAAGTTCTTCAGTAAATAGCTGTTGACAAGCAGGGCGGTAGTGAAGCCAGGGTGGTCCAGCATGGCACCCTGGTACTTTCTTGAGTGCTGAGGTGCCACTCTGGCACTCCTTTTGATCACCATGATGTGTAATATAAAGTTCTGACAGCTTTCTTAAGCTCTGAATGCAGAAGTAGAAGCATTTCATGAGCTGTTCAATTCTGTACCCAAAAGCATAAAACAGCTTCATGTCAAGATTTATACCACCATTTCTGAAATGGTATTCTGTGGAACATTGGGGTTACGTGAAGTGAAATTATGGGTTATGTAAGAACATTTCATTACAGCATAAAAAAGGATAAATTGCAGGTGTGTTGCATGTTAGATTTTAAGCTTGATTTTTTTTTATACTTGAAACATGAATTTTTCTGAATTTGTGCAATTTAATAGATAGTTGAGCTCCAATCCTTATTTACCATTTATTTACTAGTATTCCTACTTATTTGTGGTGTAGGTTTTCAGATTCATAATTAAGAATTTTATTAAGGATTCCATAAAAAAATATTGAGTGCAAAAGAGTTCCATGGCCAGATTAAACTAGGAAACGCAGATTTATACACATTTATTTCAACCTGGAGCATGTACCATTCTGCCATGGTACTTTCATTTTTAGGACTACAACCCTGCTCATAGACAGAATTCTTAATGTGTAAATCATGTGTGAAATATTATAATTTAATCAAGTTTAACATCAAAGTACAACATTCTGTAAAGTGTGGAGAAAGTAACAGTGATGGTTTACACTGTGATTGAAAATTATAAGTAATAATTTATAAAACACAGTCAGGTGAGAAAGCTCAGACCATAAATGTTACTGCATTTATGCAGAAAGTGAACAAGAGCTTCTGAAGTGCGATGTGAAAAGAAAATTGAAGGTTGTTGTCCTGTGGGTTGTACACTGTATAATCTCATGGATATTTTTCAGTGTACTGGGGGATCCTGCTGCCCTCATCTTCATGTTAGGACAGAAAGCCATGCAGGAAAAATGGTAAACATGTGGGGTAGGGGTGACAGGCATTGGAACTGAGACTGAATGAGAGGGAGTTGTGTGAAACAGGTGGGATTGTAGGGCCCCAAAAGGGCTGTATATAAGAATACAGGTAATAGGTAAACTGTGAAGAGGGTAGAGAAAGTATAGAGAAATATAAAATAAAATAAGTAAAGATGCTGTAAATATAAAATAAAAGCTAAATGCTGGGAAATGGTAAGTTTGTAAGTTTGTTTCCACCATCAACAGCTTTGTAAATTCAACCCAAGTCTCCAACAGGATTTGTGACACAACTTTCTCGCCCCATTGCAGTCTTGGCAGTGTGGGGGGCAGCGTGGCAAGTGGCTCAGCTAGTCGTCCCGGCAGCACTCGTTCCAGGCGACCTCCACATCAGACGTGGCAGGGGCCATCTTGCCTCGGATCTCTCTACCAGCTCCTAATAGCTCCATTTGAGGATTGCCTGCCTGCCACCTGCAGCAAGTCTGGAACTGGGACTTGTACGTACAATATACAGACTGCAGGCAACTCACAGTACACTTCACATATATTCATGAAAGTCTTATACATGGAAACTCCCATTTAATGTTCCTTGATTAAAATTTTCTGCATTTAACATTCAGTTTCAATGATTCTAAGTTAATAATCTGTCTTAAGTTATTTCCATTGAAAATTTTCCTCAATTTAGTTCTCACATTTACTGCTTCCTAAAGAAACGTTAGATGGGGGTTTTACTGTGTCTTCACCCACCATATGGCTGGTTACTGTAGCAGAACTTTAATACATAGTAGTTGAACTTAGAAGACAGAGTAACACTCGGATACAGAAGAATATCAATTATCCAAATCCTGATTATCTTGAATTGCCAGTTAACAAAATCACAGCAGTGAAGGAGTGTGTCAGCTAAATAATTATCATTGTTGGACTTTTTCAAATAAAATGTGTAAAAATGTTAATTTATAATTGCATTTATTTATTTTTCATGTTTGACCCTATAACAGTCAACATATGAACATAATGTAGCAGTAGATTCCTGAGGTTGGCAGTAGCCTTCTGACAGAGGATGGGAAATGGCCAGTATATAGTCAATATTCAAGTGATGCAACAAATCTGATGTGCTCTGTGTATAATTTTGTGCAGTGCCACATGGGAAAGGCTGTAGCGCACGCCGTGAACTGCTGCTCGTTCTGGAGGGAGAACTCTACCTGGTCCCATTCCCTATTCTGAAACCGGGTGGCAGTGGAGACTTGTCTGAGTATCTCTGTGAACGCTTCAGCTTGCTGGTGGTGCCGTCTCTCATGTCACTGCGCTCGAACCAACGATCCACTCGTACCGTAATGGCAGCTACTAGCAAGACAAACCCTGGTGCTGCTGAGTCAACCAATAACATGTCTGCGTTGGTAATCGGCAATCCTCTGCTGCCGGGATCTGTGACGGAACAGTGGGGTTGGGGAGACATCCCACACGCCGAGCAGGAGGCCGTGATGGTGGCGGATATGCTTCAGGCACAGGCGCTCGTTGCTGCTCAGGTATTACTGTCGAGATACCAGGAACGGTGTGAGAGAATCAGTTGAATATTCACACCATAATGCTGTTTTATATTTTCTTTGTGCCTCAGACAAAGTGCTATCAGTGCCGCAGGCTGCGTAGCTTCAAATGCAGGCTTGCTGGGAAATAATGTACTGGAGAGTGTATAGGAGGAAGTGGTCATGGCTAAATTAAGGATAATTTTGTCTGTCAAAATCTTTGTGGGTACGTCATGACTTTAGTGGGTAACCTTATGGAAGAGAGTCTTATGTGCTCAATGAGATCTCTGGTATGACGATTTTTTTCCCATTATATGTTTAAAGTGGTATCTGATGACTTCAATGTTGATATGATATACATCTCTCTGGTGTTGACACAGCATAGAAGATGTTTTCAATAGACAATGTTGTGAAATTTGCCTGGAGGAACTGAGGAAAACCATAAAAAACCCTCAGTCAGGCTAGTCATTCTCCCAGCTGACATTTGAACTGGGCAGCTCCTGAATAAAAGCCAGAAATGTTACCACTTGAGCCAATTTCTTGATCAGCATCATGGTAGTTTCTGTTATGGAGACTATCTCTTGCAAGGTAGTCTTATTTAATTGTGAGATTTGAAGTTGTCATGGCAGTAAATGAATTTTTTTTGTTTAAATTCGCTTAGTGGGGGTGGAGTCTAGCTGGGTTCACTCAGCACAGCGGCCACTGATTGGCCCATTGTACCTGCCCCAGGTGATTATGATGATGGAGAATTTGGTAGAATGAAGATTGGCAGGGGAAATCAAAGTACTCGGAGAAAACCTGCCCCAGCGCCACTTTGTCCACCACAAATCCCACTTGACCAGACACGGGATCAAACGCGAGCCACCGCGGTGGGAAGCCAGCGACTGACCGCTTGAGCTGTGGCATGGCCTGGCAGTAAATGAAAGTTACTATCTTCATGAACATGATGCCATGTAGTCTGGGAGAGAGGTACCAACATTTTGTAGAAAGCTGCTACTGCCATCCACATGGTAGAAGAAAGAGATGATGTAGGTGGCAGTTTCCCCTGAAACACTGGTACCTTTCTACCAGACTATATGGTGTCATCTTCCAGAAGACAGTTATCTTAATCATTCCAGATTCATATATTCCTGAAGATGGAGGTAGTAAATTCCTCTGATATGTTTTTACCATCTTACCAAACTATACAGATTAACATGCCTGAAGATAATATTTCAGTTTTTCTAGAAGCCTACATTTCATCATATGTGTGACTGAAAAGTTCACTTGTTTGTGTCACAGTCCAGAGATTATGTATCCTGAGTGGCAGTTTTAAAATGAGATATTTGAGAGGAAACCACTTACTATGAATGTATGAGATCTGAGATTCTGACAGTGGTGACTGTGAGATTACTGTCTCATGGGATGTGATGCATTGCAGTCTGACATTGTTACCAACTTTTGGAGAAGCCTGCTGCTTCTACCTTCAGAGCACAAGAGTAAACTGTGCGTGAATGAATGATGTGTGATATAGGGAACCATGGATCAGGACTGGGGCGAGAGCAGGCCAATGAGAAGTGTAAAATGAGTGGGCATCTGTGGCCCTGAGAAGGGCTGAACTGATAAGGAGCTAAGAGTGAAGCAGGGGGAGTGGTGTGAACTGAATGGAAACAGATTGTACTGAATAGGTCAGATCTGCAGTAGGAAGAGATGTAAAGGGTAAACTGTAAAGAAGGCAAAGAGAGAAAAGGGAATCTATGTAGGCTACATGGCGTTGAATCCTAAGAGAAGGTATCTTCATTTACACTTATCTTTGAAAGAAAAGAAGTCTAAACCTATGGAGGTTTAATTGGGAATTCCATTGTAGATGTCAGTGCAGTTCTTTGGCAGACGTATTCCAGTTGTGTTTGGAAACAGGCCATGTATTCAGAGCTTTTGTGGTGACAGCTTTGACTTTAGAGACATGACTGTTGCAGGCTAGCAAGGAAGCTGTTTTGCGTCAGATTGGTGAGGCAGAATGCATCCATTTGGCAACCCACATGTCATGGAAACTGTCAGCCATTGTTCTGTCCCCTGGTGGGGACATAGTAGAGTCTCAGCATCCAAAAAGATTTTTCTCATCATCAGCAGCTTCAGCATCAGGTGGGGTGGTGGGACAGACTTCCACAGCCAGTGGGGTTCCACCTGCACCTGACCAGGTACATGACCAGGGCGATGAGGAAGGTTCAGAGGTGAGGATGTGTGACATACCATGCTTTAGTTTGTGGATGTCACCATACCTACTGTATCCACTTAACCCATTTTGTCATCATGGACAGAAAATTTCTAGATAGAATTTCTGTGTTCTGCCAAGTATATAGAGCAGTGATATCACTTTATCATATGACATATCACAGTCGAAAAAAAAGCTGTAGAAGCTAAGAAATCAGTGTCATGAAAACTGAGGGCTTTCACTTCTAAACTGAACCAGCTGAGTTACAGAAATCCTGATATTCTCACTGCAAGAGTGAAGAATTCAGGGTCCTACAAATTCAGACTTTCTCATCACTGAAGTGAAGAAAACAAGGACGTAGCACTCAGAGAGTTCATATTAGTTAAGTGAACAGATGAGGACTCTAGGTACCAAGGATATCTTGCATATAAAGTCAAAAAATTAGGGTTGTATTCAGGGATGACATACTGCATGGTTGTCTACATGCTGAGTACATCTTGGGTCATGCACAATCCACTTATTTTCATTGACAGTCAAAGGGTTGATGTCTGTATTTATATATTTATTTTTTGCTGCTATGCATACTGATAAACAATCGCTATTTCCTGACAAATGTGTTCGTAGCTATATTTCACCTCTGTTGGATCATTGTATGTTGTGAGTTTCTGGCTGAAACAGAGTGTTGAGAGTACCAGAAAATGTGTTTCTGAAAAAAGATGCATTGTGTATATCCATTTTTCTGATGCATTGGGGATACTTGTATGAATAGATTTTTATCACTTTTGATACTGGAAATTCTTATTATGTAGCTGAGTCAGTAACGTTATTTTTTCTTTCTGTAGTTCAGTGTGTCATTTTAATATGTCTTGTACTGCTTTATGAGAAGTCTCCCACTGTTCCCAGTTCTTTCTGCTGTCTCATATTTTTTCTTCGCAAATAAATTAAATAACCCATCATAAGCACTACAGAGTTTCTGTTTCATGCAATGTTTCAGAGAGTTAAAACATCTTGTCTGCAGGTCTCTTCCACTATGGAAATGCCATCATTATCAGAGTTCCTGCTAACAGCTGCAGATCTGTTGAACCTGCATCTGTCTGCTAGGCTTGTTGTCATCAGCTCCAGTCATACTCGTGATCATCATGGCTGGGCCACATCTGATGGCATTATGACTCTGACACGTGCACTGCTGGTTGCAGGAGCACAGTGTGTTTTGGTCTCTCTGTGGCCTGTCCCTGATATGGCAACCAAAATCCTGCTGCGGGCGTTCTACTCTGCACTCCTGCAGGTATGGGATCTGATTGGTTGCACTACCTGGGAACATTAATGCTTTAGCCAGTGTGGGGACATGCAGAATCCTGCTAGTTTCATATTTCAGTGATAAGGGTAGTAAAGGAAATTCTAAATTTATGATTTTATGAGATGTGTTATCACATCATTTTGTGGATAGTACCTACATTTCAGACAAACTTGCTTCCTCCATCTTCAGTGTAAAAGGGTACCCTGGATATATAGGCAGCAGCTTCCTCCAAAACACTGGTACCAAGTTACACTAATATCACATTCCAGATGACAAAAGAATACAAGATGTCAGTAAGTAGAAATTATGTAGTGATGAATTTGAGGAACACAGTGAGAAATTGTAAAGTTCTGAAGTTGTCACGGTGGCAAATGTAAAGTTATTACCTTCTGGCATGTGACATTACATAGTGTGGTTTTGGAGGAATCTGCTGCCCCTACCATGAAGGTAGCAGGGAGGCAGTTCTGTCCTGAAGATACAGATAGCACATTCCTTTCTACCTAGACTTCATATGTCACATCCCAGAAGGCAATCTTCAAGGACACATACCTGAGGACTGCACACCACAGGACACTAATGCAACATGTGCAACAGTCTGTGTTAGTTAGATCTTAACCAGTTGAATAAATAGAAAAAATAAATCAGCAGGTTTACATATTTAATGATCTGAGAAAGAAATAGATGTTCATTGTCTGCTACAGGATATACATCAGCAGTGAGTGAACTGAAAGATTAATTGTTTGGGTTACATGCACACCAAGTGCACTTCACTTGGTGCTTCACATGTAGCATAGTGGTAAGTAAAGCACCATGCGAAATGCTTTACTTGTAGTGTGTCCACATCAAAGGTGGTGTTTCACTACACACTGATCTTACTCAGTTTCAGAGACACTGCCATGGAATTATCAAAATTTTCTAGAAAGTTATTGTTATCAGAAAGGCATTCTTTGAAATTGAAAAATAGAAGGAAACATAACTGTGTTCATGAGTTAATAAACAAAGACCAAGTTTTTAAAAGTTCTACCATCTCTGTAGGGACTCATCCTGATAAGTTCAAAGATTATTTAAGAATATCAAAGGAGACATTTGACACTCTCTTAAAGAGACCTGAGCCTGACAACAGAGAAAGCATTTCTGCTGAAGAGCTGCTAGTCATAGCTGTAAGGTAAGAAAAACACTTTATTTACAGGAAAATTTTCAATTTTTTGTGCTCGTATTTTATCAACATTTTTTAAATTTAATTTCAGTCATAGACTGCAGCTCATAATACTACAATTACAAATAACATTTTTCGATATTGCTTCAAGCTGCTGTTAATGCAGATAGAAAACTGATTGCTGTAGAAATCGGGGCAGTAGCACATCAAAGGGATGGAGAAAATTTTAGATCATCTTCATTACTTCGTTAATCAGAAAGAGAGGAACTTAACATCCCATCAGACACAGAAGTACCTGGAACATCACTGAAAGTTCCATTTGTTATAATAGCTGATGAAGCCTGTCCATTACTACCATACTTAATCAGGCCATATCCTGAGCAAATTATGGATAATTCAACACATGTTTTCAACTGTCATTTGTCCAGAGGTCAAAGAAGTGTTGAGCATGCTTTAGGATTATGTGTAGTAAATGGCGTATGTTACTGAAAAGTATAGAAAAACGTTTCAAATGCCATTCATGTCATTAAAGCAATATGTATTCTTCACAACTTCATTCTCCAACAGGAATCTCATGAGCTAACATGAAATGACAGGACCTGGCAATAAGAACTGTGGACAGTTACAATATCAATTTGCAGAAAGAGCTAAAGGTGTGAGAGAGATATTTTTACAGTTTTTCAGTGGTATTGGGTCCGTTACATGGCATAACAATAATCTGTTATAAAGCTCTAGGGACAACAGTTAGCTCTCTTAAGTAATTAAGATTCAGTCAATAAATTGTACTTGCATGTTTGTTAGGAATAATATGTAAATAACAGTATCATGAATTATATATGCACATAATTAAATAGTCTAATTACAATTTTCCCCTACTGCTGCCATTTCCAGCCACAACTTGTGAGGAACATGCACATTCTTGTGCAAGGGATCCTTCAGATTCCATATCTCCCCTCTTTTAAACCCGAACTAATAATTTTCTCCTCCATTTAAAGCAACACAAATGAAGAACATACAAGGCAAAAACGAGTGCTGCTCTTTATGAGGTGCCTCACCTGGCTTAGCACTAGGCTTGTTGCATGGAATGATGCTTCTGGTGTGAACACTACAATTGAAAACAAGTTAGTTAATTATATCACCATGCCAAGCATTATGCTACATGTAAATCACCAAGCAAAGCGTGCTTGGTGTGCATGAGCCCTTACTTTTGTAGGTTACCTTACAGCACTGTCAGCTATAGACTGTATACATCAAATAGTAAGATGATTTGCTGACTGACAGATGAAAGAATCTGGAGGGAAGTAGTCATGGTCTAATTGAGGTAATATCCTGACATTTGCCTGGAGGGACTGAGGTAAATCATATAGATCCTTGGTCAGGGTAGCCAGTGTCCTGGCCAAGATTCGAACTGAGCACCTATCAAATGCGAGTGTAAAGCACAAGTGCAGAGATCAAGTTTGGATAATGTTTATAGGCAGTTATTTTTCCCAGTCAGCAGCTATACCAACAAACTTACCAGAGGTTACACATCAGCTGATATGGTATGTGTATTGACCTCATGGCTAAACCTGAGTGTGAGAGTACTGACAAGCACACTTTCTGGAAAAAAAAGACTTGTATGGTGTGCAAAAATGAACCATAATGTTGTCTTTTTACATGTTCTTTTGATAGGTAAATTTGTCCATGTGCTTAACTAATGAAGCGCTATGCCGTAATGGCATATGGAGGAGTGGATGAATAGATCCACAACACGTTCTTTTGATGTTTCTTATATTTGCGTCACCGGCCATTAGTATACTTGTAATATCAGTATTTATTAGCTGGTAAAGTTACTTGAGGAATTCTGTACTGCCTTAGGGGTCACGTGTGAGCCGAGCACTCGCAGAGGCCATGTTGACAGTGCAGCACACTAAACACTTCGCACACCCCGCCAACTGGGCCGGCTTCATGTTGGTGGGTGCAGATGTCCGCCTGTCCAACAAGGTGGCACTGATGGGGCAAGCACTCTGTGAGCTGCTCAAGAATCCAGAAAAGTGTCGTGATGCCCTCAGAGTCACCCTTCACTTGGTGAGTTGTGTCTTTCTTCCATTGTCATGTGGAGTCTGTTATTTTTGTATCATCTCAGCCTCTTCTTTTTTTCCAGCCCAAAGATTAGGTGCTACAAGTTTAACATTCATTTTCAGTGACCTCAAGAAAAATAATCTCAGTGTTGAATTTCCTCCATGTGGGGGTTTTCTCAATCTATTGTTCACAACTAATAATCCCCACAAAAACCTTAGATGGGGGTGCCACTGTACATAAGTATGCAAGGTTTGGTAGTCTACTCTGTTGCATCCTGTGTATGTATTGTGTCAAATTAAGTTCATATTTCCACTTGGATGAGTGAGTTGAACGTTGGAGATCAATACTGAAGTGCATCTTTGAAGGTTGTGGGAATATGAACTGAACTGAGTCCAAGAGGAGACTGTGTAATGATAATAGTAAGCACTTATGCTTTATGCAAAATGAAGTTGTGTTAGAAAATGGCAGTTTTATAGCAAGAATGAGTTGAAAAGTTGAATTTTAATTTAGTGCTCCAAAAATTGATTGGTTGTTAGATCAGCGTGGATGATGAGCTGGCTGCATTAGACAAGTCCTGAAAGCTTTGAAGCACTGCAGATTAGTCATTGTGTGTGCAGGTTGAGAAGTCGCTGCAGAGGATTCACCGAGGACAGAAGAATGCCATGTACACCACACAGAAAAGCATTGAGAACAAAGTCGGTCATGTCAGTGGTTGGAAAGATCTGCTCATGTCGGTGGGCTTCCGCTTCGAACCAGCAGCCAATGGGATCCCTTCATCTGTGTTCTTCCCACAGAGTGACCCTGAGGAGAGGCTGACACAGTGCAGCGCTAGCCTGCAGGCCTTGCTGGGTAGGTCCCATACCACAGCTCACTTCCTCCTCCTCCTCCAACTGTATCTGATTTATGTGCGTCTGTGAATTTATTGTGACTTTGTTGTTGTGTTAGGTTTTCTAATGTGCCCACATATTTATTTTTATCATTATTTATTTCTTTTTTCCAGAATGTTAGAATATAAATTCTAGTAAGCTATTGCATACTTGTTAACTGAGAAATAAAACACCTTGTATCAGAGAACTTGCAGTGTGGAAGGAATTGAGAAGTTTCAGCTGCTAATGAACTGTTCAGTTTGGTCCCCGAAGTGTGTTTCTTTGCATTCTCTTGGCATTTTGACGGTGTATGATTTTTCTTTCAAAATTTTGTTCAGTATGGGCTCTGTTTTTAATTCTTTTAATGTACAAATGACTTTCATTATAAGCTTGGGTTGCATTCCTGAACATCATTGCATATGTTGAAAAATCTCTGAACAAACACTGAGCATAGTGGAAAGGAAGCGGAGAATGACACACACTCCAGGCATGTATGGCAACTTCTGCTGTGACTGTGGGTAGCACTTTGATGTTCTCTTCATGAGAGTCAGCTTCATCTTCATTGCTTTTGTGATCTATGAATAGTGCAATTCACCATTCATCTCAAAAGTTTCATGTCAGCAACTCTGATTCTATTTTCAGCTTTTGTTTTCATTGTTCACCATTCATGGCCATATAAAAGTATCAGTACAACTATTATATTCTAAGGTTTTATTCTGCTGTATTTTTGGACTTTCTATGGCTTAAAATTTTTGGTGGTGTCAGCTGTCACTTTTATAAATGTAACACTTTTAATGTCTATATCATTTCCCCCTTCACATGACAATCAACACCCAAGGTACTTATGAATGTGGTCACTTACTGTATGATTATATATGACCATTTCTTTGCCACATGAGGACAGGACGCTGAATTGTTGTCATGTGCAGGTCTGTCAGGAACATCTCTATATGCGCTCTCTAAGCTGATGTCAAATGTGGAAGTGGCAGATGACATCATTGGAGTAATTCGGCAGGTGATTGCTCAGTTCAGCATGAAGAACTTGGAGACAGATAGTATCGAGGTTCCAATCAGTGTGAAACTCTGGCGTGTTCCAGGTTGCCATGAGCTGCTTGCTTCCCTTGGTAAGACTCTTCTGGGAAGCACTTCTGCTTCTTGTAACTATCTGTATGACTAAACACTGTGCCATTTTGGTAAATAGGGAGGTGTAATCAGAACATGTGTGAGTTCTGCTGTTCCGACAGGAGTGAAAACCCCTATGAGGTCATAGCATGGACTCAGAATGGACAGGTTTTACATTTACTTTTTTCAATTTCTGAACATTGCAACCATGTTATTAGCATGGCTCATTCTTGAGGTCCTGACTTCAGATCTTGGCCCTGAGAATCAGCTATCCTGATGGAGGTTTTCTGAGGTTTCCCTTAGTTCTCCAGGATAATGCCAGATTGAGCCCCCACTTTCCATAGTTTGGTAGATCAGTACCAGTGATCTGGAGGAATTTGTTGCCAGATGTTCTGCCTGGAAGAGAGACTAAACATGTGATGGTTCCAATGAATTATAAAGCCATGGAGGAGAGATTTGAAAGACGGGAACTGGGATTATAGTGGGATGTCTGCAGGAATAAGAATAATAAAATTGCCATTTGCTGGGATGTGACACTGAATAGATAGGCAGAACTCTCCTGAAGCTGGAGGCAGCAGTTTCTCCAAAACTTGTCAATCAAACTCACACATGTCATAATATCCCAGAAGATTGTCTTCTTGATATTCACTGTTGTGAGAACATCCAATCTTGCATGGAATAAGAATGGCTGTGGTTTCACTTGTGCAGGATTTGACCTGATGGAGGTAGGGCAGGATGAAGTGACGCTGCGAACTGGGAAGCAAGCCAACCGCCGGAACATCCAGTTTGTCTTGCAGGCCCTCCTTGCTCTGTTTGGTAAGTAGCAATATTTTGTTAGCAGTGAAAATACTGCAGCGTGTAGACCCATTGCTAGGCAACGATCACGAAACAAGTAACTATATAACAGCGATTGCCAAGTAAAAGCTTTGCAAACAAGCATGTTTGCCTGGCAATGAGAATGCAGCAATAATGGAAGAGACGTTTTCTACGTGGTCCATGCCAAGGTGTTATAACAAGGACCACTCAGCAGTTGCAGTCAGGAGTCAGGAGTCCCACGGCATAGAGGCAGGTTGGAATACCTCCACTATAGCCCTGTGAATCGTATGAGGTGATGATAAAGTAACCCATTGCCTGGGGTTATAACTTGACAACCCTGTTCCTGGGGGACAAATATGGGGACCTGGCCCTTCAGGCTGGAGGAGTCTCAAATCTAAGGCAGTAAAATATGGTCATGAGTCCTGCAGGACTTGGACCCAAGAATGACTGCACTGGCAAGAGCCAGCAGCAATTGTAAATGACAGACCGGTCCTCTTGCCCGAGAGGACGCACCACATCAGCAAACCCTGAACTGACTGACCATAATAAAAATTTTGTCTTGGACCCCAGGTGGGGGCTTGACACTAAGAGAGACTGGCCGGCTGACCATAGATCGTAACATAACTTTGACTTTCATTTGCAGTCAGTTTAGAGAACTGCTGTGGTTCAGTTGTTGTGAGCTGTTGCTGTTAAAAGCTGATAGATGAGGCCAGGGACAGTTCAAGAACCCAGAGGAATGGGAACTGTAAAATGTAGTTATGCACTGCATCAAAGAGTACAATAAATCTGGTCATCTATCCAAAATCCATTTATAGTCACACTCCATCATGTGACAATATGTAGGTCATCCAGAAAGTAAAGACAATTTGGTGATCAAAAAATAATAAATGAATGAAATTAAAAAAAAAAGTAATGTCATTACTGTAGACATTAAATAATTTTTCTACATAATCATGATGAAGATTCAACCACTTCTCATATCATGTGACCAGTTTCTGTATGCTTGCATTGTACAAATCTGCTGCCAGTCCAGTGAACCAGTCTTTAACTGCCTTCTTCACTTCTTCATCACTATCCGTGTGCTTGCCACCAGAACTGCTTCGAGTGTGTGGACAGATCAGAATCACAGCTCAGATAATGTAACAGAAATAGTAGGATGGTTAGTGTGTGGGAAGAAGTGGTAGTAGCCTCTTCCAAGGTCCTGTTCAAGCATTTGTCTGGAGAAACTGAGGAAAACCTCAAAGAACTTTAGTAAATGTCTCAAACTAGATTTGGCATCTTTCAAATACAAGCCAGAAACATAACTGCATAAGCCGACTCAGATATTTTGCAATTTACACTTATATTATGCTGGTACTCTGTCTTATCATCAATAGATGGCAGGCTTGTGCTCTTCTATGGTCTCTTTTTTCCCTCCTTCTGTAAGTCACTATGACAAAAAGACATCCTTTAGAGGAGAAATGCTTGTCAGAACAGTGGAGTAGTGGGTATGACATCAGAAAGTATTGCTTACATTTTGTTATTTATTTTCATATTTTTCTCCGCCTGTATCTGCTTTTCCTTCATTTCCTCCACCTTCCTCTTCTGCTGCTACATCTTTTCACCATCTTCCTATATCGTTTTCCTCCTCCTGCCTTTCATCATCATCTACTTATATTCTCTTCACCATAGTTGTGGATGAAGGACCTGAAATGGTTAGGGCATTCATTTTTTTTCCTTTCCCAATGGCATTCTAGAGCAGAGTTCCCCAAACACCAAAGAAGCTTGCCAGAGTTACTGTATGGTCCTATTTCAGCATTCCCATTGAAAACTTGCCTGTTGGTGTTATTTTTATTTTGAATCCACTTACGACCTTGTACATGACAGATATGTGATCATTGTTTTTCATATTACATGAGCATTCAAGGTTCAGTTGTTGGTTTTCCAGCTCTTTCCCATGGGGTTCTGATAACTGAGTAACTCCTTCAACAGGTACCAAGCATAAGAAGCTTGAGAACTGGTGGTCTTGAGTATAAATAAAAGTCAGACAACTTCATGTTCGTCTGTTCTGTGGTGTGAGATGAGGCTCTTGTTGCATCAGTGTTCTTTCTGTTTGTGCAGATACACAGGAGGCCCCAAAGAGCCTAAGCCTTGGTTCATCCAGCTCGCTGGAGAGCCTGACATCCCTTGATGGTGACAATGATGCAGTGCGTGCCAGGTCACCACCCCTCCTCACTTCTTCCATGATGATTCCCCCACCTCCACTTCCTTTTGTGTCTCCTCGGCCAGCTCCACCTCCGCTACTGCTTCCTGGTCACCGGGGATCAGGCGGTGCTTTCACCAGCTATGTGCGGCGGCGTGGGGAGCCAGATGGGCGAACAGCATGTGCAGGAGAAACAGGAGGAAACAACATGGCCAGTACTAAGACACCTGGAGCGGGAAGTGGCAATACTGCAGCCTCTGCTGTGGGAAAGGTACCGTAATATATCGTCCTGTGTCAATAAGCGGTAAAGTAGCTGGAGAAGGAAGTGGCAACACTGGAATAACCAGCATGGGTGAGGTGACGTAGTGAATACTTGCTGTGCCAGTGCAATCCAACTGTACATCTCTACACATACAGTGAAAATCTGCTGTTATGATCCTTAATGCTGAAAAACGATTGCTGTAGTATCAAAATGCGATACCTGTACAAACTGCCTGAGAAAACACATAATACATTCATATCTTCCTTTCATGTCATATACATGATAAATGTGAACATATGAAGTGCACACATAAGAGTTGCAGTTGGTAGAGGGAATTGTAATTGAGATTGTTAAGACTATTGTGAACTCATCCTTTGCAATAAACTTTCCATTCACATGCAACTATTTGCTATTGGATGATGCAGATTCAACATTCAACAGTGCTTATTACCATTGACATTTTATCACCATTTGTCACTGTTCTGTACAGCAACTGTATTGTCAGTGCTTGTGGAACACTCTGTATTTGTTGCAGGTTGTAGGTCGACCTGGTGGTGGTGGGGAGAGTGATGCAGCTTTCACACCAAGCCCCCCTGTGGTTGCAGCAGACAGTTCACCCTGTGTTGCTACTCTGACACTTACTCACCAAACACGTATTCGAACCTTGTACAGTGGAATTGGGGATGGTACATTGCCACCAACAGACAACAGTGTTCCTGGCCAAATTGTACCACCTTTACATCATGGTACGTGATCTTCTAGTCAGGGAGAAGTAGCGAATGAACTGTTCATCAGATATTTGAAATGTCACGTCTTTATGAATATCCTGTAGTGAAGTCTATATTATAGAAATGTTGTGTTTGAATGATGGTCAGTGGCATGTGGGGGGCTCTACAGCATGTCCCTACATAACTGAGGTGATATGTTCCAGAAAATGTGTTGTTCATATCATGAAATTCCAAAATATGAACCCCATTTTTCCATGAATTCCAATGTTATAAGTGCATATCCAATATACATAAAATTTTGTGGTCTCCAGTTGTAATAAAAACGCCTTATTACACAACACATATAATAGTAGGCACACCTTTTGTTCTTTGCTGTTTGCTCTTGAACTTAATGCTAACCTCTTTGCAGACATACTGAATAATGGTATTGTCACAGTCTAAAATAAGGTGTGAATATCAACCACACCCTCAACCATCCTTGTATGTTAGCAACGCATGTGCATATGTGTTCTGAATTTCATATCGGATTATCAGTTGTAAAGTTTGGCCAAATGTGTTGTTTCTTTGCAGTTTGCATTTAAAAACATAAATTTATACCTCATTCTTATAAGGCTGAATTTATGGTACACACCATGAATTTTATTATGTTTTTTGTACTTTTCATAAGAGCAAGATTCCATAATCTGTATCCAAAATGTTGATAACGATGCACCAAACTACATGGTGTCACATCCCAGAGCACTGCAGCTGCAATATTCGCCACTGTGAGAACCTCACCTCACTTATAGTAACTATATATGTAATGTTTTGCAGGTGGATCATCAGCATATCACCGTCGCCCAGACTCATCAAGTAGTGCGAGCTCTGCCACTGACTGGGAGGGCAGTGGCCATGCAACAGTACTGCGACGTACTGGACAGATACAGTCTCACATCAATCACCCACTCCCTCCCCTCCCTCCACCCCGGCAAGCCCCAGCTCCTCCAGTACCACCCCCTGTTGTTGATTCCTTACATCCTCTACCCCCTTCTGGGCTGTACAACATGGTGAGCAACCTGACAGCTACCGGAGGCTTTGAGTCCCAGAGCTCTGACTCTGACTTTGGTGGCAACTGCCCACCAGTGAAATCATCATACAAGAATAGTCGAGGTGGTACAGTGGCAACATTGCATAATTCGGCAACTTTGAAGTTGTCCAGTGGAGGCAGCAGTAGCAGCAGTGTTGGTGGTGGCACTACTGGCACAGCCAGTATTCCGATGTCTGCTGCGGATAGGCTGAGTGTTCGAACCGAGCTGTCCAGCCTTGGGGGCACAGGCTGCAGAAAGCCTGTAGCACTGAACCCTAGTGAAGAAGCCAAGGACTCGAGACTGCACTACTTTCCTTCTGACAGTGGAGGTGACGGTGACCTCTCAGCCCCACTGTCAAAGTCGTTTGATGAGGCTGCAGACGTCATCTCATCCAATAGCCCTAGTGGAGGAGGCTTGGCATCCAGCAGTATACAAGATCAAATCATCGCGACACAGTTGCGGCGCCTCAATCGAGAGCTAACTCCCACCATATCCGATGTGTACCATGAACGCAGTATTGGGCTAGGTCTTGCCCCTCCTCTGTCCAAGCTGCTGATTCCATCCAGGGGATTGCAAGGAAACTCCAAGGATGTGGATACCTCTGGGAGTGATGCTCTACTGGACAAATTGGGTCTGCTTCCAGACGAGAACAGCAAGGCCACAGATGGCAAGTCTTGGCTCTCATCCACAGCATTGCAACAGTTTGGCGGAGATCTCTCAGCGGCTGAGCTGGAGGGAAAGCAGAGGAGTGGAGGCTCCCCATGCAGTGAGCTAAGTAGACGTGATGAGGGAGATGGACGGTCCATTGCTGATTCACAGTGCAGTGCAGGAAGTTACAACAAACCGATGACATCCGTGCTGCAGCGAGCAAACTCAGTCTCTGTTATGTACTTTGCACAGGACTTGAATGAGACTAAGGGGCAGCAACAAGCACCACGTGTGGTCAGTTTTCTGGAAGATGTGTCGGCCTTGAACACAGACAGACAGGATGATACAAATGTGAAACCTCCACTGAGGATTGCCAGCTCTGCACCCGTACCGCCGTGTCCAAGATCCAGAGCTTCCAAGCAGCCTCCCCCACCTATACCAAACAGCAGGACTGCCACATCAGCAGCCCCAACCAAGAAGTTTCCTTCGCAGTGCTGACCAATCGGTTGCAGACAAGTATTTGCTTTGGTGAAACCTGAGTACAGCGAGGTATAAAACGTAAACGGTGTGGTGGGTTTGTGGCCTTTGCTTTCCCCATTACTGGTCAAGTTTATGGTTCTGCATGTTCGGTGTCCTCCACTGTGCCATTAGTAATGTTGTGTCATATTCCCACGGTGCTATGAACACAAAAGACATGTCTTTCATATTGTTCTTCTGAGGACCACACAATTTATAATTGTCATCAGAAGGAGATCCATTGGAATCATTTTGTGGTGACTGGGAAACTATCCTATAGACAGTGAAACTGCTAGTTTATAAAATCCAGGGGTGGTTATAATTGGTTCTGTTTGTATTCATATTAAAAATTTATAAATAACTAGGGCCACAGTGTAGATGTGAAGATAATACTGCAATGACTCTTAGGAAAACGGGTTGTGAAATGTGAACTGGACAGTGATCAGTTGCGGGATTTTGTGAACATGCTGATGAGCATTAACCCTTTATAGCATTGGGTTACTGTATGTATCGCCTGCTTTAACACAATCATTTGCATGCCACATGTTGATTAGACTGGCTTGGCTTGCAGTAAACTGGCATAGCTGAAGAGATCAGCTAATGATTAATCAATTAGTATACCATTTTTGTCTTCTGATGGCATCAGGTGTGATATGTTAATGTTTAGAGCAAAGAATGGGCTTTTTAAGAGCACTACACCTATTTCAAGGTCATATGAGGCAAATGTCACGGACTTTCCTGTACAACCAACCTCAACATCTTCAGCTGATGGTACTACAACAGAGCTTGGCAATCAGGAGGTTAAAAGCACTGTATTTTTCACACATAGTGTGTTTATGAATTTCATATGATTTTCAGAATCATATGTGATTATTTTCTATACAACATTAACCAGTTGGTCACTGTAATGGAGATTCAGTGTTTTCTTTGAGGTAGAAACTGAATTTTTAAATATTTAGATGAGCTTCATGCTTCAAAGTGTTGAAGTTCCTTAACATGAAGGAATTACATGATCAAATGAATACTCCCAACTTCACGGTGAACACTCTGCAACACTGGGTCATTCTGTTATCCCTGTTGTATTACATCACATTACTGCTACACTGTATATAAACATTTCTGAAAGAAAACCAGCCTTGTAGTGGTTGTGTATTTAAATGAACAGATGTTATTTCCAAGTCTCGCTGTACTCTGGTTCTGCTGCAGTGGAGTTGAGTTCTCAGGTATTTAATGTACATGGATATATTTATTTTTTTTTATATTTGTGGTATGCTGTGGAAAGGGTTGGTAGCTATTTTTATAATTTTCTGTGTGAAAGTTGTGCCTATCCAACAGATGAGTACAGCTTTATTTGTGGCTTACAGAGAAGTTGTAAAGAACTGTATTCTATAATGTACATAAGTATTATTTTATTATTATAAATACTTGCAGTTACACATTCCAAATACATTGGCTCCAAGTTACATCTCAAACAGGACATTTATGACATTCCTTTTTAGCTCTCACTTTGCCTGGCTGCAGTACTGATACATGCAACACGATTTGAAACTTGGATTACATTTCAAGATTACCGGCATCTGGGCTGTGCTGCCATACAGTGTGATAAGGAGGTACTGTCTTCATCTTCATGGGAAAGTACAGAAGTGACATAGGGGGAAGGAGGGGGAAAGAACTGGAACTGAAAGCAGGCTGGTGGGAGATGATGGATCCTAAAAGTGGAAACCCACCTTCAATGTCTGCTGTTAATTACATTTACATGCCCTACAGGTACATTAAATTTAACTACAATCCATTAATTTTAATGTATTGGTTAATTTGGACCCTATTGTGTCCAAAGACGAGGTCAGCGCGGAGATAAGAGCATGAATAGCATCTGTAAACATGTCATTATTCCTCCAGTTGTGCTATATGGATGCAAAACATGGACCCTTACAGAGTGTGACAAGAACTGGCTTCAGGCATGGGAGAGGAAGGTCCTTTGCAAGACCCTTGGCACAGTCTGTGAACAGGGGGAGTGGCGCATGAGGACAAATGATGAGGTCTATAAACTCTATGGGGAGCTTGAACTTGTCGTGAAGGTTAGAAAGAGAAGACTGCAATACCTGAGTCACGTGGCGAGGGTGGAGGAGGATAGGGTTCCCAAGAAGATTCTTGATCAGCATCCTGGGGGCAGGAGGATATCTGGCAGGCTGAGAAAGAGATCGGTATTACATTTCCTCCATGTAAGATTTTCCTCAGTTTCAAGTTTGCTCACCCAAAGAAAAGGTAAAGTTGTCCCTGTGCTTAACTAATTAAGCACTATGCTGTGAAGGCGTATGGGGGAGTGGATGTACATGTTCACATTTTGTTGACCTAGGCACTAGTTGGAGGTGTGGTCAGCTTCATGCATGGGCCACTTTACCACGGGGGAAAGAGCCCCCAGTACCCACTGAACAGGTTGGGTGGACCCCAGAGCCAGTCTGGATGACATGGAGAAGTGAGAATTCTTGCCCTCACTGGGACTCGAACCCTTTGGTTGTCCAGCCTGTAACCAGTCGCTATACAGACTATACTATCCCAGCTCTTCTGTATATATACATAAGGCTATGTATGTGTATGTTGTTAGCTCAACCATTGCTGGAATAAAATTACAGCATTCATATTCAGTGGAATAGTGACCTCGAGGGCTATAGTGCATATCAGTGGGAACTGTAGTTAGAGATGGGAATTGTTAGATTTCCCTGCTGGAATTTCAAGTTTGATTGTACAATACTATACTGACTTTGCAGGGAACTTCAGCTGCCTCAAGCACCTAGGTCTCTACTAGGTTCATTGTGCACCCCTGGTGTTATTAAGAGCTATCCTAATCAAGGTCCTTGTGACGTGTTGGCCCTAACCATACAGATCTTAAGATCTCTTTCTGTGCAGAGCTTAAGCACTGAACATTCATGTGGTAGCTTTCCTCTTTCTGTCCACATTTCCTGCACATAACCTACACAATTTCCTGGCCAAGGCTAATAGGTCCATAGACAGTCCCTTCAGTGAACAGATCTGACCATCTGGCATTATACTAGTAATAATTTTGGTAATTCAAGTTACTGCTGTCGTGGCATTACACTATCAGTAAGACAGTCCGTAATTTTTATGCACATCAAAATTGTCTTGAACACTGCCCTGGATGGTTAGCACACAATACTTTCTTGTTACTCAGGCTAATAACTTTATTTTACAGTCTTTTTGATTTCATACACGAGTTCACACATGGACACATTCTCTTCCTCAAAACAACTTCAGATGTCCAGAGACTGTGTCCACAAGGTCGACAGGTCCAGGGCCAATCCCCAGCACAGTTTTGGAGCCTGGAGCTACCTGGGTGTGTCCAGCATCACATACAAGACTTGTGATGAGCCCCCACTTGCGAGCCTCGTGGGAAAGTTTCAGTAACTCGTCCTCTGTTTCCACTTTGAGCACTACCTTGGCCTGTCCACACGCTTGCCACTGCCTGAGAACAGTGGGCTGGTGGCGCAAGGCCCGTTCATATGCCATGACTGCTGCATGGGAACACTGAAAACCAAATAACATGCAAATACCAAACAGAAAAATAGTGTGGTAACATCTCTGACTGGGCCTACTGATATAATGGGACTTGAAAGAAGCCACAGCTCGGTCACCAACATTAATAACTATTGAAATTTTTGCATACGAAGTGACAATGAACATACATGAATACATAAACACATTAATGTGTTATAACAGAAACATCTGTTTGTGTTGTCAAAGAAACGGCTGCAGAGAGTAACATACATAATTCAAGGCACTATAAATTACATGTCATTAACAGTATTTGGTTAGCTGTTAAGAAAATATAGAAGGGGAAGGCTGGCGAAAGGCACCAAATGCCACTTACAAGGCATACTCAACATTTTGTGTGTGAAATTAGTACGATCAAATCTAACCTACGCATAAGTAAAATGAGAATGTGATTACATGATTTAACCCAACCCGGGGGCGCGAAATGACGGGAACCGAAATCTCGGGACTGGTTTAACTGGGATTTGTTAAATCAGGTCAGGTTGGACTACAAACTGTAATCTGCAATAACATAAATTCTAGACATCTCACGATCCACGTGCCGCACCTGAGCAGCAGCTTTTCCTTTTCCCATTTTCAAGTCTGTTCGAACAACGAGAACCAACTTGAATCTATCATCATCACATCTGAAGGGCTGAAACACAGTAATTTGTAATTAATATCCTTCCGAAACACAATGCACTTCTGCTAGAAAAAAAACAACCGCTGTCATACAACTAACCTCACAGGACGCAGAGGAATTTTCGGAAGAAAATAGTGTATTTTTACCACGTAATTTGTATCGACCTTTCAAGAAAAACCAAGCTAGTGAAACTCCACCAAAAACGCCGATTAAGAACGAAGAGTTTATGGCACTAACCAAACTCTCATCGTTAAAAATATTAAAAACTGCCATGATAAAAAACTAACACACAAACTTCGGCAGTTCGCCAGTGTGCGAAGTTTTCCCACAGCCACTCTACGTTGAGATGTGATCCGTGGGTACGAGTGAAACTCTGTACCGCTCGGTACCATGGATTAACTTGGCAGTGAAGGCAAGTGTATGTAGTACTAGGACACAGATGAAACGTGCCACGATGCTGTGCACTTCAATTAAACCATGGCACGTAGTTATACGCCGCATGTGAAACCCATGGAATGCTATAGAAACGTGTTCGCTATTTATTGTGGTCACATGACGTACTAGATAAGGATCGATAAGGATTCAATTTAGATTTCTGCTACATGGATACAGTAACACAGGCGAAGCCAAAGAGGTTGAATGGGGATCGTAAGGATCTTGCTTTTCAAGTTGTACCGGAGTGCACTCCGGAAACTGCAGTGACGGAGTATTTCGTCTCGAAATTTAAGGAGAATCTAGCAAAGTATGTAAATTAATTCTTGTTAGTTACCGTCATCATTTTTTCCAGTATTTAAACACGATTAAGATGTTGCCTAGCAACGGGTCTCCACACCACAGCATTTAAATGTAAACAGCAATAAATTGAGTGAAATAAGACTTAATTTTTATATGAGCATATATATATATATTAAATTTATGGCACCTATCACGCCATATATAACATTAATTTCTTATGCGGTTGATGTGAATCTACTGGGTGACAGTATAGATACCATAAAGAAAAACACAATTGGACCGAAGAGAGATGAAGTGATGGCAGGTTGGAGAAAACTACATAATGAGGAGCTTCATAACTTGTACTCTTCTCCCAGTATAATTAGAATGATCAGGTCAAGAGTGATGAGGTGGGTAGGGCATGTAACATGAATTGGGGAGACGAGGAATGCATATAGGATATTGGTGGGAAACCCAGAAGGAAAGAGACCACTGGGAAGACAAAGGCATAGGTGGGTGGACAGTATTAAAGTGGATCTTAGAGAGATAGGATGGGATTGATCTAACTCAGGATAGGGACCAGTGGAGGGCTCTTGCAAACACGGTAATGAACCTTCTGGTTCCATAAAACGCTGGAAATTCTTAAGCAGCTGCAGAATTGGCAGCTCCTCCAGAAGGCCTCAGCTCCATAAGTAAGTAAGTAAGTCATTTCCTATATATCAGGTATTCATAGTGTTTGTCTATTTCATACAATTTTGGTCATTTATACTTTTATGTTATACTGTTATTTCTCTTGTGTGTGCACTGTCTGAGATCAATCTAATTTATAAGTACGTTGTAAGCCTGGAGTGGTCTGTCGGGATTCAGTGAGTAGCCATGGCTGTGTGAGTGGGAGAAGCAGGATATTGAAATAATGTAAAGGAGATCACGAAGTAAGAAAAGGTAAAGTCATTCTTGTGCTTAATTAGTTAAGCACTATGCCATGAAGTAATATGGGGATCTGAAGGCATAGCTAGAGGAGAAAAATAACTTTGGTCTGAAGGGGGAAAATAGAACATTGGTAGGAAATGTCCTTAGTAGAAAGTTTCAGTCAGATGGGTCTTTGTTTCAGGAAGAGACCAGAATGGGACTGGCCCCCACTGTCACCAGCCACAGAGCTTGTGGCTGCAAGCAGGGACCTGGAAGAGGCTGACAGGAAACTTGAGCAAAAGTGGGATGAAGGGAAGGAGAAGGGGAAACAGGTGGACAGACGGCGGCAGGAGTTGCAAGACAAGGAAGAGGAGCTCAGAAAGTCCTTCATTCACTTCAATAAGTTTGTAAAGGTGGACTGTTACTTTTTCAAAGTGTTATTCTGAACTGGAAATAAAACTCACATTTGAGACCACAGCTTCTAACCACCTAGACTCTCCCCATTATAATTTGATTTTAACATTTATTAGCCAAATGTTGCACTATTGTAAATGGCACGTGTATAGGGTTCAGCTGGCTGAAAATCGCATTTTCTTCAGTATTAAGCCATTCACTTCCAAACCAACATATTAGAGTTCTACCTGCTGGATCAGTCATTTTTCTATGAAAACTGGATTTTAAATTTATCAAAAGAGAAATGGAGGATAAGTGAAATACAATCAATGATCACTGAATGTTTTCATTCTTTCAAGCTTCAACAAGCTATAGTTAAATTTTCTCTGTATTTGAGTGACATCTATAAGAGAAAGCAGCATTTATATACACAGTCTCAACAGCCTGTCCTTGACAGGATCGACGCTGCGATGTGGTGAACATCAAGCCAACAGGTGACATGACAGCAGTGAATGTGCTAATACCATCACCCTCAAGTGAAATTTGACTATCTACTATGTGGTAATGGAGGATTTAAAATTCACGACCCCCATATGGTATGATAAGGTAAAAAAAAAACATCCCTGTAACAGGCCATTGAGGCCGATAGGGTTCTGAAATGCCGAGGCTTCCACACCTTCTAGACAGTCAGCTCACAGATGGTGCTGAGGCTGTCAGCCTTGTATGCTGGCTGCCTTTTACCCCCAAGAAGATTCCTGGTACTCATTTTTGTTACGACGCTGAGTCGACTCCAGGGTCATGATGCGGCCTGAACAATGAGGCCAATATAATAATCCAATGACCTAATCAAGAATCGAATCCATGACCTTCTGCCTTGTAGTATAGTGCCTCAACCCACTATATTACTGCATGCCCCCAGATGACATGGGGCTAATGAAATTTATTACCAGCAATGTTAGTAAGAAGTGACTTGCAGAGAACGAAGGAAAATCTTGAGCTCCTTTCAGCTATTATTCCAAAGAACAGTTGAAGTGTATAAGGGCTGTGAATTAACTGAATTGTAGTGTAACTTGTAGAATACTGTCTCCTAGGTTGATGCCATGCAGTCTGGTATAAAGGTAGTAACATTTCAGAGCATCCTGCTGCCTTTACCATCAGGGTATCGTGATGATGTAAGCAAGAGATTCCTTCAGATTGCTGGAACCTTTCTACCAGACTGCACGGCATCATCCCAGAAGGCAGCAGTCTTCATATTCAGAGCCATGAGAACCTTGATGCTCACATAATAGGAGACACTTCTGCCAGGTAGAAAGAATCACTTTTGTTGGAAGTTGACTAAGAATTGATAAGGACACACTGAACTCCATTAAAACTTGCCAGCCCTAAATAGGCATTCAGCCTACCACTGAAGCAAGTTATTTCACCCAGAAAGTGCAAAACCCTGAAAAGAAAAGAATACTATGTGCTTGTTTGGAATAATACCACATGAATTTGGAGCTTCTCGACATAAGACTGCAAACTTCTGGGACAATGGTATACATATCAGTAGATAGGTGCCCATCTATCATACTAAATTACTTAGCATCATATCCCAGAAGATTGTAGGCCTAATCCTTGCACACATCAATGCATTTGAGAAGGAACAGCTTCAAAAGTGCAAATTATGTAGTTCTTTTTTAAATAATTTCAATTTCTTTTATCCCCTAGTGTTAGAATTTTTTATTCTGCTGTCTGTCAGTATTGGACATAGTCCCAAATCTGCTCAAATGCTGAAAATAATATACAGAAGTAAAAAGTGATATGAGCATGGGGTCATAGGTTACAACAAGTTGTTTCAATTTCAGGAGAACAGAGCGAAGCGGGAGAGAGCAGAGAAGAAAATCCAGGAAGAGAAGGCAGTGCAGGAAAGGCAGCAGAAGGAGATTATGGAACTGCAGGTGAAGGTAGAGGGCTTAACACGCATGAAGGAAACTCTGGAGCAACATGTGAATAAACACAGAATATATGAGGTAAGAAGAAAACTGAACCAGCTGGCCCAGTGGTATAACTCGCCACTTGTATTCGGGAGGCACTCGGCTCAAATGTCTGCCCAGACATCAGCTGCCTGACTGAGGTTTATCATGGTTGTTTTCAGTCCCTGCAGTTGAAGCACTATGCTACAAGCTGGAAGGTTGCAGGTTCAATTCCCGATGAGGTCAGTGGATTTTCCAGTTGACCTACTCTTTCCAGCTGCACAGTGGGTCTGGAGCTGGCTCAGCCTCTCACAGAAATGAGTACCAGGAATCTTCCTAGAGGTGAAGGGCATCCAGCACATAAACCTGACCGCCATCTGTGATCCGATTGTCTAGAAAATGTGGGAGCCTTGACATCTCACAACACTATAGGGATAGCTTTACCCCATTTTTTTAGCTTTTACTGACCATGCTGTAAAATAATTGAACAAGAAAGTAACACACTATACATCACCACACATACTCCATCTGTGAGTTCTGTACATCAGTCCATTTTCTTCTGACACCCCAGTAACCCTGAATATGGCCATTGAAATATGCAGTGAAACAATGAAAGAGTTTCAACATACAGTGCTGCTAAAACCTGAAAGCCAAAGTTACATACAAACTGCAAAAACCCAAGGACAAGAACTCATTGCCTTCCTGCTGTATTTTATAGTATGTGGCATTTGCTCATGTATTTGTTTGTGCAGAAGTGGCCCCATGTCTTTCAAAGATATAGCTAATGTGCTCATGTTCTTATGTTGTACTAAACAGGACTATCTGCAGAGTGTAGTGGCTGATTCAAAGGAATATTCTACTGTCTTTGACATTCTGAACCATTATGAAGCTCTGCATGCTGCTCATATGGAACTGACTGAGCAACAAGAGGAGGACCTGGACACCCTGCAGAGAATCCATAGCAATATGGTCAAATCAATTGAGGTAACTCAATATCTGCAGCTGGTCAAATTGGTTGGCACAGTAACACTTTTAACTTGTATTTCAGAGATGACTGGTCAAATCTCGATGAAGGCATGAGCCACCCTGACTGAGGTACTCTGTGATTTTTCCATAACTCCTCCAACTTGCAACAGTACCTCAAATTAGACAATGGCTGTTATTCTCCACATAATTTTTATTTAATTTTTACCAGCCTGAGGTACTGACATTGTTAAATAAGCAATAATAATTAATTACTAATAAATAAATAAATAAAACAATTAATAAATGAGCTAATGCATCTGTTTTCAGGAGATAAGGCTGCCTGAAGTTTCGTACTAACAGAATAATATGTTCTGTGAAGCTGCTTACTTAATAAATAATAATTAACCAATTCCGTGGAACAGGATCGTTCTTGAGAAAGCAGTTGTAATTAAAGTACTCAGCAAATTTCCTGCATTTTATGGAACCAGAGGTTCATCACTGTGTTCACATGAGCCCACCACTGGTCCCTATCCAAAGCCAGATAAATCCCTTCAACACCTCACATCAAACTCTGTTTTCAGACACCTTCAATCTATTTCTTCTCATAGGGGGAGAGACCAAGTTGCATGCCCATATGAAGCAACTGGTAAAGTTATAGTTCTGCATATTTTAAATATTTAAATTTTCAGACAGGAGACAGAAAGACATAAGATCCTGTACTGCATAGTAACAGGAATGGAAATTGGTATACTCTTAAAAATTTTTTGAGTGTGATTTTTATTCGTTACTGTCATTCCAAAATATGTTTTGCAGAGCATTTCTTAGCTATCTTTATGCAGTTGAACCCTCATTTAATGTTCCTTTATTTTTCGTTTTCCCTCCTCTGACATTCAGTTTCATTGATTCCAGGTCAATCTCAATATTAAATTTTGTCCATTTAAAATTTATCCAAATTTGGTGTTCAAATCCATTGCTCTCCAAAGGAACCCTACTGGTGGTTTTATTGTGTTATGATCTGCTGTAGCCTGGTAATGAGGCATGAGCAAATACTTAGGTTTCCCAAAATTGACTTTAAGATAAGTTTATGTAAAATAATTACAACATCTTGTTAGGTCAATTTAACAGTTGGAAAAACTAATACTGATGTCATTTATTGAAGGAGAAGTCACAGGTCATGTTGGGGCTGAATAACAAATTAGCAGATTTGCAGACCCACTATGACCGGTCCAGAACTGAGGGTCTGCATTGGGAGACAGCACTGAGCAACATCAAGGACACAGTCGTGGAGAAAGGCCTAGAAATTGACCAGGTGATGCCATGCTTGTAGTGAACAGAATGGCGTCTGTCGCTGTCTTCCATACATGTTTCCACTATGTGTGAGTCATCCAGCAACCAAGCCTGTCCATTCTTATCTGTTTTCACAAAGCTCCTTCTCCACAATTTCTTTTCCATGTTTTCCCTTCATTTAGTTAGATAGCTTTCCCAACCTGCTGTTTCCTTCTTGATCTCTGTTGTCCTGTGCTCTGTCTACTATAGGAATGAGGGTGTGTCATCATTAGTTAGTGATGTACACTTATATCATCCATAAAATGTTATTATATTCTATTTGAAACATGCAAGGGCTATTCAGAAAGTAACATCCAGTGAGCTATTAACAAAACAAGCAATGAGAAAGAAACATTTTATTATATACAAAAAATATGTACATACTTAAGCTACCTCTCAACATAGTCACTACCAGAATTGAAGCACTTGTATTGGGAAGTAAGTTTTTGTATGCCTGTAGCAAAGAAGTCCACCACCTGTGAGCTGATATAGTACATTTTGACACCTTCCATCAACTCCTAATTATTGTTGAAGTGCTGTGATCACAGCCGGTCCTTCAGGTAGGTAAACAGGTGGTAGTTGCTCAGAGCAAGATCAGGGTTGTAAGGAGGGTGGTCAAACAACTCCCAGTTGAAATGCTCCAGCACTGCTCAAGTGCAAGCAACTGTATGCAGATGCGCATTGTCATGGAGGAGCGCTTCACACCTTTTGTTCTAAATGTGTGGCCCTACGCAATTTTTTTCTGTGGTCTAGGGGTCAGAGTTCCTGGCTACACATCCAGAGTTCTGGATGCAATTACCGGCTCTACAAGATTTTTTCTGAGAAGTAATGGGTCTGGAACAAGGTCCACTCAGCCTCGTGATAATAACTGAGGCGCTGTTTCAAGGAAATAGCTGCTCCAGTCTAGAAAACCGAAATCAACGGCCATGGAGATTTGTTGCGCTGACCACGCGACACCCTCTGTCCACTAAAGTTGGCACTAACTTCGCCAACAAGTGGTGGTTGCTTGGTTGGTATAGTTCGCTTGCAGACTAAAACCACAGAGTTTTTTTTTTCTCCGCAGTACACTTCTAACTTTACTGTGGTTCCTTGCTGCATGGATTCCTGTTAGCTTTCTGGCAGACAAGGTTTGTTTGAACTTTTTCAGCATGTTTGGTGAATGTGTGCATCCACTGCTTTAACTGCTCTTTGGTTTGACAAATGAAATCCAGGTCTCATTACCTATTACTTGTACAGTGTGATCAAGAAATTCATCACCATCTTTGTGGTATCACTCTGAAAAAGTCAAAGCCGAAGCCATTCTCTGTGTTTCATGCACACCCATGACCATTTTTGGAAACCATCTTGCACAAAACTTGTGATAGCCTAGCATATCTGTGATAATCTCATAGAGAACAGTGGTGAAGATCGTCACTCACTACAGATGGCCAGCCATTTCACTCTTCACTGTGAACATTTGTTTGCCCATCTTTGAACATTCTACACATTGTCCTACAGTTCCTTCACTCATTACACTTTGGCCATAAACTGCACATGGATTTCCGCAGCACTCATGTTGTTAGCATGAAGGAAGCAGATATCAGTGTGAATTTCGCAGCTGGTAGAATTATCAATTATCTAATTCTGTAGAGACAAGAACAAACACTAGGTGACCAGTTATGTAATGGGTTACAAGGCCATGAGTCATGTGATGCTACCTAGCATGGGCAATCTCTCCTCAGTCCTACATTAGTTGCCTAAAATAAACAGAGGTTACTTCCTGAATAGCCTTTGTACTTCCAGAATTCAGACTTTGGTGGGAAATTCAAACATACATATACTGAGTAAGATTTGAGGCTTTCACGGCGGTGACTATGAAGAAAGCAGTCTTCTGGGATTTGGCACCGTGTATAAGTGGTGTTAACCGACGTTTCGGAGGAACATATCGCCTCCATCTTCAGGGTCTGCTTTTACCGTTCTCACGATCTTGTCGCTTGCAGATTTCTTATACTTTTTCTTCTACCCTGAAGATGGAGGCGATACGTTCCTCCGAAATGTCGGTTAACACCACTTATACACGGTGCCAAATCCCAGAAGACTGCTTTCTTCATACATACACTGAATTTTCATCTGTAAGGTTGCTTACTCAGGGTATAATGTAACCTGCTTCATAGAGTAAATGGACTTTATTGGGTGTTTCCCTTTTATTTTCAAGTTCAGAACCTTCTTTTAAATCCTGTCTTTATTCAGTCTTAGAACATGTCCATACCATGAACAGAATTAACTGAAATAAACATAAATAGAACTAATGTAAATTCTTTATTGATTTTCTTTATAGCCACTATGAATGAATGAATGAATGAATGAATGAATGTATAAGGGGTGGGCATCCTCGGCCCTTGCACCGCAACCACAGTGATCTATTTTGCCTTTTATAGCCACTAACAAATTGCATTGCTATATTCCATTCACTTATCAGACAATTTTCCCTAGTCCATGCAGGCAGATTCTGAAATATCATAGAAGGCAAAGTCAACTAAGCATCTTCAGAGTACATGGCATCACCTCCCAGAAGATAGTAATCTTCATGAAAATATCCATCAGTATAGTTGATACTAGGGCCACTTTAATCAATGTAGGCAGCTGATCAGGACCCTCACCCCACGAGGATCAGTACCATCTGATTAAAGTTTCCGAATGTATCTGTGGACATTTTAGTTGATGCTGTAGTAAACTGCCATTAATTATGCCAGATGTCACTAGCATCCATACAGCCAAATAGTTCTGCATTGTGTCCTTAGATACCAGAAGCACAATCAATACAATTTTGTATTAGTATGAAATTCTAAAGTTTTGTCTATATATATAAGCAAAGAGAGTGGCATGTATAGCACCATGATCTTATTGTCTGTTGTCGTAGAGCAGGCCTGATTGGAACAAGGGCTGTAATATGAACTTGATACCTTCCGATAGAAGTAATTCATATTACTGTTTGGTTGGTCTGGGCTGTTGAGGTTGTTTTCTCGTTTCTTTTCTCTCTCTCTCTCTCTTTTCTTGTGCTAAAGGTGAGTAGTTGGTTGAGGCACTGTGCTACAAGCCGGAAGGTCGTGGGTTCAAGTCCCAATGAGGTCATTGGATTTTTTTCAATTGACCTAATCCTTCCAGCCGCACTATGGACCTGGGGTCGACTCAGCCTCTAACAGAAATGAGTACCAGGAATTAATAAAATAATTTTCCTGGGAAGTAAAGCACGGCCGGCACGTAAGGCTGACATCCTTACCACCATCTTTGAGCCGATCGTCTAGATAATGTGGGACCCTCAACGTCTCACAACCATATGGGCCTTCATGGCCTGTTACAGGGATAGCTTTACTTTTTTTTTTTTTTTTAAGGTGGAAACATAAAGCTGGAATTTGTACCAGCAGATCTGCCGGCGCCAAAATATGCCACTCAAGCTAGCCGAGAGAGAGACAGAACAACAGCTGATACACATTAAGCATACCATCCGGGAGCTGGAGAAGGTTGTGTGCACTGCACGTCGACATGCCAGCAAGGAAGCAGCTTCCAATGTAGCCAGTCCCTCCAGCACCCAGAAATGAAGAGAGAAAATAGTTATTTTTACAGCTGTCATCATCTATTCATCACAGTGGCTGGAAATTCATATTGGTGTATTATAAAATACATGTTGCCTTTTTGTAATATTGCATATTTTGTTTCCCTCTGCTGAACTGATCATTAACAGATCAGACATCTCCATGCAGAGCGCCCTACAGTTCTTCAGGCTCAGGAGTCACATTTCTGGGACACGAATGTTTTCTGCTGTGGTTCAAACTCCTCACTGCTGGTATTCACCTCTAAAAATTGGTGGAGCGTTCACGTTAACCATGTCAGCTCAGCTAAAACTTAGAAAAATAAAATATAAATTGTTACTTTCATAAATACAAATCGCTCCGTCCAATGTGACACGTAATTTTTTACTACGTTAAAACTTATCTCCCTTACATGTTTCGGTCCTTAAGGGCCATCTTCAGAGGGAACATCATTACAAACTGGAAACTACCATCACAATAGGTGTTTTGATTTAAAATACATACACTTATATCCTATAATACAAGAAGGACGATAGGAGTACGGACATGAACCTACGTGGTTTAAAAAATTTTAACTATTGACAATAAAGGTTTTTTAAATAACATCTAGAAACGTTTAAAAACTTTACAACACCAGGAAGCTGCTGTGATTGTGAAATGTTTGACTTTATGCATACTGTGCATTATAGGATATAAGTGTATAAATCAAAATACCTATTGTGATGGTAGTTTCCAGTTTGTAATGATGTTCCCTCTGAAGATGGCCCGTAAGGACTGAAACATGTAAGGGAGATAAGTTTTAATGTCGTAAAAAATGACGTGTCACATTGCACAGAGTGATTTGTATTTATAATTGTTAGTGTGACGGACCAGAATGAAACAAATCAAATGTTACTTTCATGGTTCAACTTTTGCCACATACTGGCAAGAGAAGCTATCAGATAATGCATTGTCTGTAGCCTCAAACCAACCAGCCTATCACAAGCCCTTAACCAGTTCTTTCAGGCATATGCTAGCTGTTTGTGAGCACATGTGCAATTAGAAGAAATGTGGTACAATGGGCTTGTGGGGAAGAGAGTGCATGACATTCCGAACTACCATGTTAACACACTTCAACTGTTTGCATTCCTGTGAAATGTAAAGCACTGCATGGGTAACACCTCTGAAAGGGCTGTGCTCTGCCACTCCCTCTGAAGGATTAATAAATAGGACATATAAATTATTTTAATAGCAGTTGTATGAAACATCAGTATTACATATCTAATTGATGATTTGTTTCAAATTAAAATTTAACATTTTGAAACAGGCTGTACCTTCATAACAATATTCAAAATGAGCAATAAGTGTCCATTTAAGTAAGATTATGGACGATTAGTATCTTATTTCAGATGCTCAGTGTCAACCTAATTTATAATTTGAGAATACTATTCATGTTCCCTGTTCTAGTATTATTATTATTATTATTATTATTATTATTATTTAAGAATTTCACAGATGAACTCTCAATCATTTTCTGGTTTAAGAAAGAGCCCATTTCCCTGTGAATACAGTATACAAACACTCAACTCTTACTTGTACAATACATTACATCCCCTGACTCAAGAATTAGTTAGAATGACTGCAACAGATGTGGAGTATGTCATATAAATACAAAAATATATGTAGAGTACAACTCAGGTTTTCCCACAAGAAAACAAAATGGTTACACGAGGCTATTCAAAAATACATCCACATATATACATCAATACTGTCAACTTATGCTATTTACACAACATTTAAATGGATGGGTAATTTTTTTAAGACAATAAGTATTCATCAGCAGAGTAGAATGAGTGTGTTAAGTATTGTATTTGAAAATAATATGCACTTTTCTGAAAGCATGAGAGGTTAAAAGTTGGTTTATGGAGGTAATGCTTGTGTCTTGTGTTAACACTGTGTACATCTGCATTTGTTTGAAAATAGTCTTTGTTATTTGTGATGAAGTTTATTAATGAAAATATGTATTCACATGGAAGAGTTAAGATCTCTAGTCTCTTACATAGATCTCAATAAGAATTATGGAATTTGACACACAATGATTTCAACAAATTTATTTTGCAATCAAGTACCTTTTTGCTGTAATATGAATTACCCTAGAAAATGATTCCATGCTTCATTAAAGAGTGAAAGTAAGGAAAATAGAATGATTTGAGTGTGTCAGTGTTACTTATATGCAACATGGATCTAACTGTATAACATGCCCCACTTACCTTTAGAACCAACTGATCCATATGGTTTCTCCAGTTTGATTATCAGTTTGTAAGCCCACGAATTTTGTGTTTACTGTCTCTTCTACATATTTATTATTATATCCAATGTTTAATGGATATTGTGCTACTTCTTTGTTATAAATTTTATTACATTTGATTTATCTAGATTCAGAGAGCTTGTTTGCAGAAAACCATTTACTCATTTGAGAGAAAACTTTGATAGTAAGCAGAAATAATATAAATTTTTACTAGCAAATATGGATATTGATGAGATGTTTAATATAGGAGGGAGGTCATTTATATAGATTAGGAAATGCAAAGGCCCTAAAATTGACCCCTGGGGAACTCTGTGCTTTATTGTTCACTGGTTTGAGTAGGTACTTTGGGTTGAATTTGGTGATATTATTTCAATCTTTTGTTTTCTGTTAGGATCTGAACCAACTTTCTGTTGCTCCTTGAATGCCAAAAAAAATGTACTTTATTAAAATTTCCTGATTTACACAGTGAAAAGCTTCTGCCAAATCACAGAATATTCCAACATGCATCTTTTAATTTTTAATACACTGTCTGTTAGCTTACATGCTGTATTTTCAGTGGATATTCCTTTCCTGAAACCAAACTGTTCTGGGACTAGTCTGCTAATAATGGCTTAACTTGTTGTGCATAACTTTTTCAAGTGCTTTAGAGAACATAGTTAATTGTAAAATTGGCCTGTAGTTTGACATACCAGTTTTTTCGTCTTTTTTCATACAGTGGCTCTATTACGGCAATCTTAAGATCTGGCAAGATCCCTGTGAATTATGGATGATTACAAACTTGGTGGATGCCCAATCTGTGGTCTAGTGGTCTACAGATCCAGAGGTCCCGGGTTCGATTCCCGGCGCCACCAGATTTTTCCTGAGAAGTAATGGGTCTGGAACAGGGTCCACTCAGCCTCGTGAGGATAATTGAGCTATTTCAAAGAAAAACGGAACCGGTCTAGAAAACCGAGATTAACAGCCGTGGGGATTCGTTGCGCTGACTGCGTGACACCCTCTATCCGCAAAAGTTGGCACAAACTTCGCCAACAAGCGGAGGTCGCTCGGTCGGTATAGTTCGCTTGCGGACTACAGGCCACGGAGGTTTTTTCTTTTACAAATTTCAGTTAATGAGTGACTGTGTAGAGATGCGCCAACTTTTACAATTTTGCTTGTCCAAGAAAGCGACTTCTTCACAAGCTAACATTTCTGCACCACCTCGTCACCTCGTTATTTCCAGCGGAAAAACAAAATGCACGTTTGTAATCGGTCATTGCGGGACGTCACTTAGGTCACGGAAGCGCTAGCGTCGAGTACGGAAATGTAGTCGCAACCAATGGTAAGGTGATAAACAGCGGGTAAGGTAGTATTCAGTGATGTTTCACGTACAAACCGAATGGATGAAATTAACACATTGATCATTACATACAAATCTATAAGTGTTCCTTTTATGTTTCATCTTCCCTCTTGCGGCAACATGCTATGAATGAATGAAATGTCTACCCGCAAAGGGTTGAAACAGAAATGGCCAATTAGCTATAGTTAACGTTCTTGCTAGTACTGTACCAGACATCAAAGCTGCTCGACAGAAGTTCAGCATATGGGAGCGGAAAGGCTGGTTCCGTGTGTTTTCGTAACAGTTGATGACACATAATGAACTAGTTTCTAATATTTAGCGCATTTTACGATACAGTAAACAGTTTTCGTACGTGTATTTTGTGATCTAGGTATGATACTATAAAATTTATGTAAAATAATGAATTTGCATAGTGAATATTTGCGTCAGATCGTAATGTTTGGTTATATGCCTGATAATTTTTTCTTACTATTATAAGGCAGATATTGTGTATGGTTAATCCCATTTCAGAAGTCGGTATCTTTTTTATGTAGCTCACAAGACGAAACTAAACAATGGCTCTTGGAAATATCCATCGGAAAAAACATTAAAAGAGATTTTCCAAATATGCCACGCCCCATAGGAGATGCCCCCGGAACGGGTAGGAGCATCATAAGTAAACCAGCTCGTGGATGGCTGCATCCTGATCAACTCATAACTAAAGAAGGAATTACGTATGCAGTAAGAGTAAGTTATAATTAATGAAAGTTGAGTGGTAACAAGATACATTCATTCTTGATTTCACCATGCTTCTTGTGAAACCCATCACCCAGAATTTTGGAACAGAGGAAAGGACTTGACTTACTTTCCAGTGTTGTGTGCTAAATGCTGTGTGGTACCAGCAGAAGTCTGGGGATAAGTAATTGTTTTGAAAGGATACATGGAAAATGAATGTAGAGCTCTCTCTAAATCTCAATTTTAAATTCTTTGAATTGAAGAGGGTTTAGTCGAGTGTGTGAATATAGGTATGTTGTAAGAAAGGGAGATTGAGCAAGTTGACTGAATCAGTAATGCTTTGGACTTATGTTTTGGAGGCATCTAGTTTGAATCTTGGCCTGGGTGGATACTGACCCTCCAGACTGAAGGTTTTCATAGTTTTGTCCTGTCCCACGAGACAGATGCTAAGGTCATAGCTGAGTTACTGACAGCCTTATTAAACGAACTACACATAATTAAATAAAAGAAGCTGAATAGACTGGTGAAGTACTGAGTCTAAACTTGTCTTAGGTGAGTTCTACCTGATTTAAGTCTGAGATAAATTCAAGCTTGCATGGTTTTCTTCAGTGTCTCCAGGAAAATGCCAAGGTGGACCTTAAAAAGGGATTCAGCAATTTGTACAAATGTTGTGTATCCACTCATCTGATTCTGTAGAATCTGTTTACATTAACCCTCTGTAGCTTGAAGTTCATCTAAGTAATATTTATAAATTCAGTTTGTACCTCACAGGAAGTGCACATCATCCCCATGACAAGTATCAACCAATTAATGATGTTTAGGGAAATAATTGCTGGTCAATGTGAGAAATTTATAAAACCCATAAATACTCTTTGTTAAGTTGGACGCTGTCAATATTGTGAGGTAATATTTATACCATTTTAGGAGTTGGTTCTGCTCCCTTCTTCAGATCATTGGCTGTCATTATACCGATAGATTTTTATTATTGTTATTTCCTTTAATTCTGAGATTTTTGGTGACAAATGGGATCAAATCCTAATCCTAGCATCATAATATAAGAGCTCATACATTGTTCTTGATTCATGGATGAAAGAGGGATGTTGTAATGAACGTAAAGTAAATATCATTATGTCAGTTATTATGAAGTTTTATGTGTATTTTTAAATGTATCTGTCAAGATATCCTACAGAACACAGGAACAGGCAGTTAGGAGGCCATACCATTGCTCATGTGGTTCTGGCTTCTCACTGCAGTCTCAGGTTCAATCCCACTTTACTTAATATGACATATTCCACATCCTACAGTCATTTTAACTAACTTTGGATCCATGGAATGCAATGTAATGTAATGTAATGAGGCATATGATAGAAAAGTGTCATTTTAGCAGTTTGTTCTTTGAGTTTCTTTGGTTTTCCCCCTGCTGTGTATCTGTCACACCCTCTGAAGTGTGTAATAGCCCTCAGCAGACAGCAAATTGTCACATCCTTGGGCTTAAGTTGCAGTAACAATCTTTATGCCTTGTATTGTTTGCCTTTCTGTGCAGTCAGTGTCCACCTGAACTTTTTTAAATGTTAGTAACACTTGGTATGGATTGGATTGGTCTGGCTTAGGATAGGGACCAGTGGAGGGCTCTTGTGAACGTGGTAATGAACCTTCGGGTTCCATAAAATGCTGGGAACATCTTGAGTAGCTGCACAATTGGTGGCTCCTTAAGAATGGCTCAGCTCCATGAGTACGTAAGTAACACTTGCAGTTTTATCCAGTCTCTTTAAATTAGAGTCCGGATTAAACAAAAATATTTACAGCAATACCCTGCATAGTCTGGCTTCAATCAGTCCAGATTCACTATAGTCCGGCTTTAAAATTTCAAAACAAACCAAATTTTAATTGAGCAAAATAAAAATAAATTCTAAAAAAATAGTACACAAAATTATTTTTAATACACAAATGATCGGTTTTTCCCTTTATACATTCAGGTCTCTTTTTGTGCTGTTTATTTTGATGTGGTTTTAAAGTTATGCGATACGATACATATTTCAATTTTTTTCTGAAGTTCGCCATTGTATATGTACAGTAGAACTTGGTTATAACGTCATCAAAGGGACCTAAAAATAGTGTCGTTATAAACGAATGTCGTTGTAACCGAAATGTGCACTTCCACAGTAGCCTTATGTTAGTCACGTAAAAATCTACCAAAAACCGAGTTAAAATGTTGCATTTTTTTAGTGAAATACGTAGTTAAGTACAGATTAACGTAACATTAACGTGGAATTGCCCAAATGTGTAATATCAAAGACATATTACAGCGCTTTTCACTGACAATACACACCGCACTAATACTGTATATTAAAGGTAGGCCTACTCACCAAATTACAGTAGATTACATCAATTGTTGTGCCTTACTGTACCTAGATACGAGTACAGTAATCAGTTATCTTCATCTGTTTCCTGTTACTTGCCCAATACACACTTTCTAAATTACGTTCAATGTCCATATCAGAGAAATTCGGGAATGAAAATGACGTTACATACGAGGTTGATGCATTTGTGCATGTCGTACTAAGCAAGGTATAAAAACAGTTGCTTTATGAGGAATTAGTTCGTACCATTGAATATTTGACGCAATAGACAAGGTGTCGCAGAAAGCGATGTTGCTATAACCAAGTTTTACTATATGTACCTATGCTTGGGTCGTTCATTCTTGAGCTCTGACAGTTGTCACTGGAGGAGGTGGGGAGAGCTACATCATCAGAAACGTTATCAAAAATACAAGAAAAGCATGGCATGAATTAACGGCAAGCAATATGAGGGCGGTATGGAAACATTCATACCACATTGTGCAAATGATTTCATTGGTTTTGAAACTCATTTTGCTGAAGCCACTAATAACATAGTGGAAACTGGACAGCATATTGGTTTCAGTGAGTTAGACTCCGTCAACGTAATTGAGTGCATCAAAGCGAACACTAATGAACTAGATAATGAAACACTTATTAACATAAATGAAGAACAGGAGGACAACTTAGAGAACGACGACTGTGTTGAAATGCCTGCATGAGAATTAACAGCTGAACAACTATAAAAAATTATTGGAATGGTTGAAACCTTGTCAGAGCATATTATGGAAGTTGATCCCAATATTGAATGTAGCCTTACAATTGCTGAACAATAAACAGTGCAATTCGTTGCTACAAAGAAATGTATGAAGAGAAAAGGCCAAAGAAGAAAATTGTGCAGACATCAATATTGAAATTTTTAGAGAATAAAAAATGAATTGCAAAGAACATGAATTTCTTAAAATAATTTCTAATAAAGACATTTGAATTTATTAATTTCGTTTTATTTATTGAAAAATGGAGATTTTTCTTTTTTGGAACAAATTATCATTTTTGTATGTATTTAGTTCCTTGATTAGTCCAGTTTCAAACAGTCCGAGATATTGGTGGAACCGATTACCTGGACTGTGCGAGGTATTGTTGTATTTGAATAATCAGCTTATTTGGGTTTTAGGGAAGTTAATGGTGATACTGTTTCACATTGTAAATCTGTCTCAAGACTTTTATTGTTTTGTTATTCCAGTACATCGGATGCTTGGAAGTTAACACTTCTATGAAGAGCCTGGACTTTGACACACGATCCCAGGTTGCCAAGTGAGTACTGAGTAGCATCCTTAGAATTCCAGACCTTTAAAAACCATGGGCTGGAGCCACAGTTACCGTAATATTTTCTAGTAATCTACTGCAGAGCACTCATGCATTATTGACATTTGGGTTATGGAATTTCACCCTTGCAAAAATTATGAAACCTGACCATGAAACTGAACAAGCTGTCTTAAGCGGTAACACTTGTGCCTTGTATTTGTGATATGCCTGTTTGGGATGGTTGGCAGCATTGTTGCTGTGCATGTCTAATTTCAGACTGCAGTGCATTACTCATATCTGTGATATCTGGGAAGAGGTCCTCAAGTTCAGATGCAAACAGCGCACCTAGAGGTGCGGAGAGAATCAACTACTGTTATTTGTGGTGGATAAAAAAGTGTGTGGGCTGATAGAAGCTGTGTAAGAGTGCAGTTCCACTTGAAGAAGCGTGGGAGCGAGCTGAGTAGGCTGGTTTAGTGGTAATGCTGTAGACTTCTGTTTCATAGGTACTCAGTTTTAATCTCAGCCAGGACATTGGCTAACCTGACGAAGGTTTCTCATGGTTTTTCTAGGCATCTCCAGGCAAATGCCAGATTAGTAACTCAAGTAGACCATTTGCTGCTTCCTTTCAAATCCTTTCCAGTTCATCCATCATCCTACTGTTTGATGCTGTGCAGCCTATATACTGACAACACTGTAAAATGACACACGAAGAAAACACAAGAACCAGTGGAAAGGTAGGGTTTGTGTTACAGAATTCATAATTATCCCATTTTCAAGCACATTTCCTGTTTTTAATGTAGGATGTGCTTTGATAGAGAAATCAGAGGACTTACACCACATGATCTTGCATGTTGCACTGTGCTATGAGACCCATCGCATTAGTTTCACAGACTTGTGTGTTATTTCATAGGGAGTGCATCAACAGAGTATGTGAGGCTGCTGGACTTAAAACTGCTGATAAAAAAAGGAAGGCTGAGAAGCGTGTTCAGCGTGCTATTGCAGAGCATCCAATCATGGAGCATGCTGGGGCAAACGTGAATCTGACAATCTCAAGCTGCGGCCTCGTACTAACAGCGCTAGAGTCAGGGCGTGTTATAGCACGGCATGATATGCCTCGCATTTCATTTGCATCTGGCGGTGACACGGTGAGTACTGGTATCTGGACCCTTAGTGCATGTATCATTATTTTTCTGAAGAAACTTATGTAGTTTCATTTAAGGGATTATCTCCGTAAATGACGGGAACCTAATCAGAATCATTGGAGCTGTTCATGAGAAAATTGCCATTTTTTGTTTGGGGGCCTATTTGAAGGGGTTCTGTTTTTGCAGCTGGCAAACTCATGAGGCATCAGGCTGTGAAAGGTATATTCTTGCATGTTAGATACAAATAAAATCCATCGGATTGTTCAAGAGCTAGTGAGGCGCACATTCGGACACACAAGGTGGCTTTCTAGAACCCACTTTTCCATATTCTTGGAGGGGCTTGAAACTCGTAAGTTCATCAGAATTTCAAAATCAGTTTTTTCACCATTACAGTACTTTCTTATATATACTACATATATGAGGAAGCAAGGAAAGAAAAGATGACACTCCAAAATGTTTTGTTTTCTGTTCCTTTGTGACAGCGTTAATATCTAGACAGCTTGTCGGTGAGTGGTAGGATGATTGAAAAATTCAGAAGAATCTGGAAGGAAGCAGCCATAGTTTAATCGAGGTACTATCCTAAAATTTGCCTTGAGAGACTGAGGTAAAGAAATGAAGAGCCTCAGTGAGGGAAACCAGAGTCCCAGTCAAGATTCAAATGAAGCACCTCGAAATACAAGTCTAGAGCATTAATGCTACACCAGCCTGCTTGATCAGAATGTAATATTGAGATCCTGGTCACCATCAAAATGATGGCCCCTCTCCCGAAAGTGTCACTGCAGCTGGGTGACTGGACATTGACCCTGATGTTACTTTTGTCTGCAGGACACACTGGACTTCGTTGCATATGTTGCAAAAGATCTGCATGACTGGCGAGCCTGCTATGTGTTGGAGTGTGGAGGAGGCTTGGCACAAGATGTGATCACAAGCATTGGACAAGCATTCGAACTTCGATTCAAGGAGTTCCTCACCATGCCTTCCAATCAGTCAGTACCATGCTAGTCATTTGGTGTCCACTAGAATTCCTTAAAAGGGCCACTCATTAATATTATGACTGTTATTATTAATGTCTAGTTGATGAAATTTTGATTTATTGAGCAGGAACTGAAACCTATAAAATCATGCTAGCATGCTAATTAGTCTGTATTGTATTACATTCAGTACACAAACCCCAAAATCTTTAGATTACTTGTATATTGTTAGCTGAGTACTGGATACTACTGTGTCCATCAACACCAGATTCTGGGAATCTGGATTTGAGTTTATGTAATCAGCTATGGTTTAAATGTGGCTTAAAACAAAATACATTTTGATTTCTCGTTCTTTCAATCAAGATAAACATGTGGAAGTATGTGGAGATATTGTAACACAATACAGAGAATCAGAAAACACTATCTCATTTTTGCCCTGAAGTGAATGCACAGACATAGTATTAAATGAAAAATGTTGATTGGGTGGCATGCTTCAGGTGTGCCTTGAATGGTGCTGACCAGGACTACTACAACGACTTGCCAGGTAAGATTCCTCCAGAAGCTGGTCCACCTCCAGTTCCTCCTCTGCCAAACCTGCACCCTGCTCTGAGTCTTGCCTTTGCGAGTACTGGGGCTGTGGCCACAGCTGTTACGAGCACTGCGTCATGTCCAGCCACCAGCGAGACTGTCACGCGGGATCATCAGCACCCTGTGGTACAGCGAACACAGAGCGATAGAGTTGCTGGTGGTGCTTGTAAAGGTAAGCACTCTTTCAGATTCCAGAGTGTATTAGTAGAGTACAGGATTTCTGAACAGTGCAGATATTGAAATGACATAAAGAACATATTTCATTGTCCTTATTTCTGTCCTTATTCTCCTTCTTTTTCCCTTTCATTTCCTGCTCCTCAGGAGCCGGGATAGTGTAGTCGGTATAGCGACTGGCTACAGGCTGGATGACTGAGGGTTCGGAGTTTGAGTCCTGGTAGTTACAAAAATTTTATCTTCTCCATGTTGTCAAGACTGGCTCTAGGGTCCACCCAGCCTCCTATCCAGTGGGTACAAGCGGCTGTTTTGCCGGGCGTGAAGCTGGCAACTCACCTCCAACTAGTGCCGAGGTCAAGAAAATGTGGATCTATACACCCACTTCCCCATACTCCTTCATGGCGTAGTGCTTAATTAGTTAAGCACAAGGACAACTTTACCTTTCCTCCTTCTCTCTCTTCTTCTCCTTCATGCACTCCATCTCTTTCCCCCTCTCCTTAAACCATCTTCATCTCTCATCCCTTCTTTCTCTCTCTTCAGCTTCTCCTCTTGCTCTTTTCAGTCTTCTTTCTCTTGTTTCCTCTCCCTCAGCATCAACTGTGATTTCCTTAAATATTTTATTCAACACAGTTTTGGAGGGATTGGGAGGGATGAGGAATCAAGCTTGGATGTGTCACCATTTGTGGGTTTACTGGAGATCAGTGGAGTAGTAATGGCTGAGTTCTTGTGTCCCCATCAGAATTCACAACATGGCTTACAGACATAAATGTATCAACTGTCTTTGAAGATTACCATCTTCTGGGATATTATCTGTAGTGTGATGGATAGGTACCAGTGTTTTGGAGGAACGTGTTACCTTCATCTTCAGGGGAGAAGATGGAGGCCACAGATTCTTCTAAAATGGTGGTAACTTTCTACCAGGCTACATGGACTCGCACAAATCAGGTTGGTCTAACACCGTATTTTAATACAACCAAAATATAACACTGAGTTGAACTGTGCAAATAATGATATAAATTAAATTCAATTATTTTATAAATAATTTTATAACTTAATTTGTAATATGTACCCATAGTAATTATAGTTAACAGTTCAGTATTTTATAGCTTTAATTTTTGTACATGTGATGATTTCTCCAAGTTGCATAATTCTAACATAGTTAAGAAACTCAATTGAACAAATGTGGTTATGAGTTGATTACTTATTTGTTATGTTGATAGTTATATATATTTATTTACACAACAGGATGCATTCCTTGATGAATAACACCCCAGACTTCCATTCTAGAGGTGCTTGATCTGCATCTCAGGCAGGACACATGAAAGAAGTTTCTGTGATTTTTCTAAATTCCTCCAGGCAGATTTCAGGATAAAACATTAACTAAGACATAACCACTTCCTTCCAGATCTCTTCCAGTTCATCAGCTGCCATGTGTTCTAATGTTGTGTGAGTTTGACATTGGCAGGGTAGTTAAATATCCAACTTTAAAATACCTGCAAGAAATCATTTCCCAGAAGACAGTAATCTTTAAATATATATTGTTAAATTGTAAGTTTACACTACTTAAATAATTATCAATACAAAACTTGTAAACTAGAAACTGTGCGGTTTGGAAGTAGACTTTATGAGTTCTGTTGAGAACTGCTTGTTTTGTTTATGGAATTGCTGTTGACATTACTCAATATACAGGGAAAACATGTCTGTGGTCATTCCATGCTCATCTGCTCACACCAAGTTTCATTTCTCAGATGGTTTTACGAGCAATTTGATCGATCTGAACTGTGAAGTTGCTCCTCCTCCGATGCCTGTGCCGAGACGGGAGCATGACTATGTTAATGATATGGTGATGAGCAGCAGTCGGGATGTTTTTGACATGCGTGAGTACCATCATGCATCATTAGGGTGTTGGTTAATAGTTTAACTCCAAGAGCTAACAGTTGTTTGTTTGGATTTCAGAGCCATTTAGCGTTGCTGTATCATCTGAGATTCTGGCACCTGCTTCCCAGAGGGTGCAGCTTCAACGGGAAGTTTGGTTCCATGGCCCTGTGAGTCGGCATGAGGCTGAGACCTTGCTTACACGGGTGAGCTGTGGGCTTTTTGGTGTCAGATTTTGTCATGTGAATGCCCTTTTTACAGAGGGCAATTATCGGTCTTTGATGCCATTCACTTTAATATACTGAAAGGAGAATGTCATTCATGTAATATATGGGTCTAGTTTTAGACAAGCTAGTGGAATGCCTGTTGAGAATTCAAGAGGAAAATTTTCTGTTTCCCATCTTTAGGTATGGTTTGCATATGTAACTCTTTCATTGATCCACTTTCATATGTTAACAGATTTCAGGGGTCACTGCAAAATCACAGTTTCATTGAATGTGCACACTTTGAACTTTAAAAGTTTTGGAAAGAGAGCTTGGTAGAATAAAAGGTGAAGTTGTCCCTGTCATGAAGACGTATGGGAGAGTAGAGGTATAGCTCCACCATTCTTGACCTCAGCACTAGATGGAGGTGAGTGGTCAGCTCCACATCCCGGCCACTTAACCCCGGGGGAAATCTCCTATGCTACCCAATGAATAGGAAGGCCCCAAAGCTGGTCCAGCCTGATAGAATAAGCGTTATAATTATAGTTTGGAGGCATCCTTTTTTCATTGGAGGTTGACCCTAACTGAAGCACTCCCATTTATTTGTCATCTTCTTATCTGGTAATAGCTAAGTGAAATTAGTTTCGCATTTGGTTTCCATGGAAACTACATGAAAACAGCAGTGTCATGCTTGAATTAATTATATAGAGATGTGCAAATGTATAGCATGTGGGGAGAATGCAGATATTCAGAAACGTGAACTTTTAGGTTCTGTGATAGGTAGAGAACTTCATGACCCTATGAGCGACTATCATTTTCTCAAGACTTGACTCTGCCCTGAGCAGTTATTGAGTTATTAGTGTTTTTGTTGATATCTGTTAATCAGTCTTTTGTGTTTCAGGATGGAGACTTCTTGGTACGGGAATCACAGGGTTCCCCTGGGCAGTATGTATTAACAGGGATGCAAGGGGGGCTCAAGAAACATCTTCTCTTAGTAGACCCAGAGGGAGTGGTAAGCACTTTATTCAACCCCTTCATTTCTGAATTATATGAAATTAATTCATCGTGCGGAAGTTGTGTATTTCTATCCTCATATTTGAAATCTGAAACTACTGAACAGACTTTTGTCAGTTTTATCAAAATCTGGTACATAGTATAAAATGTAGATCTTACAAAGGTCTGCAACCTTTTTGCATGTTTCTTCCAGTTCTTCAGAAACCTCACTTGAGATGACAGATGTTGTGTGTATCAAGTATACCTTGGTTTTTGTTAAACGTAATATCTGTGTACTGCATGCAGCTGTTATGATGTGCCACAAGATGAGTCATCACACTGTGATTAGATGATGTTAAATGAATTAGTCGTGTTAATGGGAGTGCATCAATGCCATGATGAGTGAAGTTGTCTATCTCATCTCTGCCCACAGGTGAGGACAAAGGATCGCATGTTTGAGAGTGTGAGTCACCTCATTAACTATCACTGTGAGAATGAGCTTCCCATTATATCTGCGGAGAGTGCTCTAGTTCTTCGGCGACCTGTGCACCGGAATCGCCAGCTGTAAAAGTAAGCAGAGCTCTAGAACAGAGTTCTCTGACTCCTGGCTATTGATGGTGCTGAACCCATGGGTGATAGATCCTGTAGAGTTGTTTGGTGACTGCCTTCACCCTACTTTGTCAGTATTTTAGTTTTTTGACATGAATGTATGAGAAGTTTTGCTGAACGACTGAGCACGGATTGTTTAGTGTGTTTTGAGATCTGTGGCCCTGTGTAAACTGTGAAGAGTCGAGGCATATCATAGTGGCCATCAGCTCATTCACTACCAGACATGGTATTCCTTTCTTTCTCACTAAATTCCAGCAGTACCATTGACAAAGGTGGCAAAATGCATTGACTTCCAAATACAGTGATGCCCCCATTTAAGGTTTTTTTTTTCTGGGGGGGGGATAACAGTGGTTGTGGGCACTAAATTGTTAAAAATCTGAAATATGTGAAATTTGTAGACTTGGGATAACTCAAACTGATGTTAAAGAGGACAATGCTTAAATCAACGATCATTAAACAGGAGTTCCATTGTAATTGTTCATGTCTCTCATAGATGGCATTCAGATGTGTCCAGATTTTCACATTATGGAATGAATATAAGGATGCAGATATTGTGTGTTTATTTAAATACTCATTATTACTACCAACATAGACATTTGTCATGGCTGTAAGTGTTGATTGACTCCGGAAGAAAATAAATCTTTGGTATAAATTTTCATATATACTAACTCAGAATTTTATTATTTTATTGNCAGGAAAAGTGATAATGTGGTAGTTTTTCCATTTGCTTTCCACAAATTGTTTATACAAATACAATAATTGTGGATCATACATTTTTCTGTGGTACAGAGGAAAGAAACTTTATAGATAATGAGAATATTTGCTACTAAGTTCTGAATGCCGTTTAAGGATGTGGCTGTCAGTATATGACATTTTTCTTTTGTCTCGAAAGCCTAATTTCCAGTCTCTGCCATCTGTAATTCTTTGGCCTTATGTAGATCATTTGGTATTCATTTCTTTACAGTAAAATACTGCAGACCACTACTATGCTGGGAGGTTATGTGTTGAGCGCTCAACTATCTTGCTGTAAGTCTGACAGACAAGGATACTAGGAAACATGAAACTTTCTGTAATGACTGTTCTACATGGATGGTGGTTGGCTGTGATCAGTGATGAAGCTGTAAGATGGATCTGAAAAGTGCTACTGTACATGTGAAATTAGCCATGCTAGCAGTATGTCTGTCATCACAACGTTAAGACTGGTGAGGGCACTTTGGTCGAGAAATAAATAGAGACATTGTAAGAAGTGTCCTGAGGGGTTGCAGAAAAGAAGGGAGAAGTATACCTCGCTTTTTGTGTATATGGAAGTCCTGCAAATTAAGGAACTATCTGCATTTATCCTTAAGAATGTTACTAGTTGTAATGTGAAAGCAAGAAAATAGTTTGAGTAATTGGCAGGTGGGGCGACCACTTATATTCTCCATCTTTTAAATGTAAAACAGTTAGAGGCCCACATATGTAAACATGTCAGTAATTGGAAGGGTTCAAACATTTGTACAAACCTGCATTGATAGCAGAACAGTAAACATCATCAGCAGCAGAAGTAAAGGAGCTTTGATGTGTATTATTCCTTGAACCACCTGGAAAATTGAAGTTTGGAGTGTTCTGGGATGTGACGCCCAGTAATTTGGTAGAAAATAACCCTGAAAATAGTGGTAGCAGACAGCAGTTTACTCCCAGACACTGGTGCTGCAGTTGACTGGATAAGCTGATCGCTTATTCAGAGGTTATAAGGAGATAAGACATCTAATAGTGTTTATTGTACTACACAGTCCATGAACAATGCAACAAATTGTTCCTTCTTTCTTACACTCACATTGAACACATGTTTCGGCCCTAAGTGGCCATTTTCAGGTGTCTTACTGTGCTGAAACTGCTACACTACACTGATATTGTCCATTTGTTGCATTTGCAACTGCACGCTTCATGGATTAAAACTTCATACTGGTAGTCAGTTGGTATGTGCTAAAATAGCACACGCTGTTGTTCACTTAATTTTGATCAAAATGAAATTAAAATTTTGTACTAAAATTTTCTATTATAATTTCTTTTAAATGTTGTAAAATTCTTATTATACCTCACAAGGGGCTACATATACTTGTTTTGATCTGTATCCTTTACTTCAGATGTGTAATGCGGAAGCTTGTTTTTCTATTCGCAAGCCCATTGTTGTGTTACATCTGCAGTCTGTGATTTTGCTTTTGCTTTTGCGTTGTTCCCTCTAGCAGCGTGTGGTGTCATCTTCACATGATATACATACCAAGTCTTGTGACTGTCAGTCCAGGCATTTCAATAATATTCTTGGTATTACCTGAACAATTTGAGAGGCAGTAGTGTTGGTGTTAGTGATGAGAGGGATATATGATGTATGCCATTGAAATTGGCTCAGGTGGCATGATATATGTACCAAGTTCCAAGACAATCGGTTCGGGCATTTAAGTATCGTTAAGATTATTACCACGACAGTTTGAGAGGCTGTAATATTGGTATTACTGATTGAAGGGTTTTATGAAATATGCCTTTGAGATGGCTTCATGTGGCACGATATGCATACCATATTTCATGAAGACTGGAACAGGTATTCAAGCAACATTAAGGTATTGCCTCAGAAATTTGAGAGTCTGTAATGTTGATATTACTGATGTGAGGGATTTATGAATTATGCCATTGAAATGGGCTCAGGTGCCATGATTTGCATACCAATTTTCATAAAGAATGATTTAGCCATCACAGTTAATAGGGATGAATACTCAGACAGCAAAGTGATCTCATAAGTCTACTTTTACCTTTTCAGAATAAGAAAAGTAGGCTAAAAATACTCTGGAGGAATGGAAGATCTGTGCCACTGAACTGGCCTTGGGAAGAGCTGTAACACAGTTTGATAAAATTACCTTTGTGTTGACAGTTAACATGTAACGTCATATCAGCACATTATGTCTGGCAAATGATGTGGCATATCCTGTAACTCAAGCGTTTTAAATAAATTACAATTTGAAGAAGGGTACTATCTTCTGGAATGCAGTTCCATGTAATCTTATCAGTGAATTTTCCACTGCAATATTGAATAGCAGAGCAAAGCAGTATATCATTATGCCATCTGGTGTTGCCTCTGTAAACCATATACTCCTTATGAAGACTGAGGTTTGTGCAGTAATAAGTCCCCTGGGTAATGCAAAATGAGCAACAAACCTGGCAAAGCTACCCAAAAGAAAAAGGAGATGCAACAAAACAAGAACTTGAGTTCTCTCTATTGGGAAGCAAGAAACAAAATGGGTTAAATGATCCCAAATGCAAGCCATTGGAAACCAGCCACCAAGTCTTGGGATTATGGTCTTACGTGATGTGACACCATATAGTGTGGTAGGTAGGTACCAGCTATCATGCCCCAGAAGAAGATAAAAGTAGAAAGTTCCTCCAAAGTGCTGGTATCTGTCTAACAAACTACACATCGTCGCATGTCAGAAATCATAGTTTTAATATTCACTGCTACTAGAACCTAAAGTCTCACATAAATTTATTTTCTGAAGCACATATGAGTAATGCGTGGAACTGAGGTAGTGCAGTTGGTATAGTGACCAGCTACAGACTGCACGGCTGGGATCGATTCCTGGCAGGGGCAAGGGCCTCTGGGGCCCACCCAGTCTCCTATCCAATGGGTACTGGTGGCTATTTCCCTGAGGGTAAAGTTGCTGGGGCATGAAGTTCGCCACTCATCTCCATCCAGTGCTGAGGTCAAGAATGGTGGAGCTGTACCTCCATTGCATCATCCATCTTCATGGTGTAGTGCTTAATTAATTAAGCACAGGGGTGACTTTATATTATACCTTACTGCTTAATCTGTGCTTTTCTTCCACATAATATGCAGAACTTTGGCAAAGGCATTCTTTATTATTATCATCTTAGGTTTCCTATTACACACTTAACTAATTGGTTTTTATTCATTGGACTCCAAAACAACTGATTTACGGGAGTGCAAATAAAGTGTTTTAAAAAGACACATTTTTGCATTCAAAACTAGCTGTTAGAAATCTATGTTGTTCTTGTGATTACAGTGCAGGGTACTTCGAAATTAGTTTACACTTTTAAAGACTCAGCTGGCTGTGAGCTAGTGAAGAGGCCACATTCTACATCAGTGACAAAGTGAACAAACTGAATGTCTCAGGATAAGGGGAACAGACTACTCATAGTTGTCTGTTGAATGCATATTCATTACTGACCTACCAGAGTGCATGGTTTGGTTAAGCAGGGCCCATTGCTTGCCCCCTTGGTCACCCCATGGGACTGGCTGCCATCTAACATGAGCAGCTTGAACTGGGAGCAAGTGTTGCAGCTTCTGCCATTATTAAGATGTCACAGTTGGAAGATTGTCCATGTTATGGCAGGACCCCACATAGAACATTTGTAAAATTGAAAAATGCACTCCGGAAAATATGTAATATAGTGTACTTTGTTTTGTATTTATAGCCTCCTAATTTTGAGGTATGGAGGAAGTGCTGTAGGCTTGTATTAAGGAAGAACTCTGTTCAAATCTTAGCTGGGATTCCTGCTATCCGGAGGTTCATGGCATTCATCAGTTCCTCAAGACAGATTCCACAGTATACCTCAATTAGGCCATAGCCACTTTCAACTGATCAGTCATCCATTCACACAGTGTCCCACCAACTGACAAGAATACAATTGCTGAAACATGTGACCCAGTTTAGAAGGGCTCAGTATATTTCTCTGTGCTGTGTATTTCATGATGTTATTACCCCTTAAAATGTTACACTCTGATCATTGTCACATTGCCAAGAAATGTAAATGGAGGTTCAACTTTGTAATAATATGTAATATCATTAATTGTGTATGCACTGAAGGGTAAACATTGCATTTTATTAAGATCACAGTCTTCTAGGATGTGCTGTCTCATCTTCACTGAAGATTTCTGAAGATGGAAGCAGCAGATTCCTCTACAAGTTACACGTTGGTACCTGTGTATCGAATTACATGGTGTCACATCCAAAAAGACCATTATTGTCATATTCGCCGCTGTGAAAACTTCAAACCTAATTGAATTTTATCGTTTTATAATATTTGCCTTATGATTACCTGAAGTTTATAAGAAATATTTTAATTAAAGCAAGTATTTGTTATGATAAGTATTACTTTGCTTCTCTTGGTCACTTTTGTTTTAATAAATATGTATATTTTTCATGTATGTACTGTTGTGTATTTTCTCCCTTTTTCTCCATGGAGTTTGTTGCCAACATGGTAACAGTTTATACTTGTATTTGGTAAGTATCCAGGGAAAGCAGGGAGGGATGAAGTCACGTGTCAGTGGCTAGACATGGGGTTTGGATTGCTAATTGGATTTATTGGACTCTCATGACTTGTAAATTGAGTCTTATATCACAACCAATGGTCAGTCAGCCAGTCTATCTTTGCATAAAGAACTCATCTGGGGCTTACAACCAGATTTTTCTTACTGGCAGACAATTGCAGATTTGTTGGTGTAGGACACACACTCTGATGAGATGGCGGGTCTGGCATTTATAAACGCTGCTGACCATTGCCAGCACAGTCATTTTTGGGTCCAAGTCCTGTGGGACTGGTGACAATATTGTACTGTCACAGATTCAAGACTTCCCTTTTAGTCATCTCCTACTTCTCACGGCTACAGTGGAGGTATTCAACCCCGCCTCCACACGGGGTACAGCTAACTTGTCTCGTTAGTGCTTGCTGTATAGCCTCAGCATGGACCACATAGAAAACACTGTTTCCAACAGTTCCTTTGATTATGTGCATCTGCTGCCATGGACAAATGTTTATTTAGCTGTTACCTAGAAGCAGACAGCTTCTCTTGTTAACCTATTTTGTCGTCATGCCCCAAAACATTTTTAGAGAGCAAATTGTAACCCCAAATCTGTTAGTGTAGTTTATTTTATGACACTTCAGTTGCTCATAGTGCAAAATTATCAGTAATGAACTATGAATTAAAATGTGGAAAGAAGCAGTTATGGCTTAATTGAGGCACTGTCCTGACACTTGCATGAAAGGACAGGAAGACCATAAAAACCTTAAGAAGAAGTGGTCACTTTGTTAATAATAAGGAAGAAACACAGTGACAGATGGTCGCTTAGGTAGTGCCCTGATCAGTGAAATATATTGCATAATTAAGAATAAAATGATAACCATAATGAAATTTAATGAAGAGTGTAACTAAAACTACAAAGATATACAGTTTCTTCTTAGAACTATTCCAGTGTTTTCTTATTCAGTAATAAAAATGTATGGATGCATGCCTATTTTGGTTTATTTGATTCTGTTTGATTACTAATTCCTTTTTTTAGACATTTATTTCATATGAATTCAGTTTATTATTTGTTTACCTTCCACTTCCTAACCCCAGCACCACGAAGAAGTGCAAATGAGTGGGCTACCTTATGTGATGGCCATTTTATCTTTTGATGAAAGAACCCTATGTACATATTAAATACTAGGCCCGAAAAGTAATTCTAGATGTGATGGTGAAAAAGGTCCCCATGCTACTGTCATGATTTGACCTTAGGCCATATACACTAATGACAGAACAAAATTTAAGCTAGTCATCTCAGACCTGTACATAGGAAACTGGGTAGCTTAGTCAATACACTGACTGGGTGACAAGCTGGATACTTGTGGAATCAGGTTTTTTTTTTGATTGATTGATTTATTTCGTCACTGTAGATCATTGTACATGATATATGACAAGTCAAGTTAATTCTATTCAATTCTATTTCAATTCCCAGCAGAACAAAATCATTTTCTCATTCCTGTGGTGTCCAGATTAGTGCTGAAGCCAACCTAGCCTCCAGTTCAATGAGTACTGGGGCTCTTCCATTGACATAAAGCCACCAACGCATGAAGACCATTCATTTGCATCTAGTTCTGAGAATATGAATACATGGAATTACACCTCCACTCTACGATATGTCTTCATGGTACAGTGCTTCATTAAACATTTGAACATATAAGTGCTGCACAGTTCATATGTTTGTAGAATATTGTAGAGTTTTTATTAGTGACACCACAACAAATTTCTCATTGGAATAGTGTATTGAACTGAGTATGATAGCAAGATGGGAATGATCAAGGGGTTCTTATAGATTTTTTGGCACATTACTTTTCCAAGATGGGACACACAAAGAGAGACTATGCAAAAGTAAGGTAGCTGCTTGTGGTCATAACTTCGAATTTAAATAGTGTCTATCAATCTTCCACGTGTCTTCCCAACAAAGATTGTGTATGCGTTTCTTGTTTTCTGCAATTTGCTAAATAAGTTACGCATTTCGACCTCTTGGGGAATGTGGTGACGTAGTAGGTTGAAGCATTATGCTACAAGCCAGAGGGTCGCGCGTTCAGCTCCCAATGTAGTCACTGGATTTTTCAGTTGACCTAAACCTAACAGCCGCACTATGACCCTGCGGTTGACTCAACCTCTGACACAAATGAGTACTAGTAATCAGTAATAGCTAGGAATCTTCCTGGGGAAATGTGGGGTAAAGAGCAGCTGGCGAGTAAGGTTGACAACCTCACCGCCATCTATGAGCCAATTGTCTAGAAAATGTTGGAGCCTCAACGGCCTGTTACAGCGATAGTTTTACCTTTTTCTCTTTATTTATACCTCTTTGTTTTAATCACTCAGAAAATGCTGGCTGAAAATTGCGAACCCTGAAATTGTCCTTGTCCAGTTTTTTGGTCGTAACATCTATCTGACTTACAAATAAACTGAACGTTTTCCGCCTTCGAAGACAGCTAGCAATCAGGGATCTCATCGGACTACGTTAAAATGTAATTTTAACATACCATGTAAACGTCAAATTTGGGTACAACTGGTTGAACTAGTAACATTCTTCAGGCTGCGAGGCTATCATGAACATTTTTGGACATCTACATGTCTTACATCCCTTAACTTCTGTATTCCAGATGTAAACTGTCCTTTCGCTATCCTCCACTGGAATTCACTTCCTATATTGCTCTATATAGTCAGGACCGGTCGCGACTGACGTATTTCGGAAAGCTACCTTGTTAAGTTGATCCGTGATTACGGATATAGAGTACTTTCCCGCTTAAACATAAGTAGAAGGGTGTTGTAGCTCGGTGCGTGTGAAAGTGGTGTTGGTCGTGTGTCAAGAACGTTTCTTCACAATTTAGATTGTGCCCAATATCGTAAGTTGAAGTTGCTTTTAAATTTGGCAATAGAGATGTTTTATGATAATTATTTTGCAGTAAATACGCTTGGAAATCAACTTGAATTTGTTGCTCTTTTTCACAGAAGGTACGTTGCTACTTTCGAGTATTTAGAATTTTTATGGAACGTCATTGTAAACGTACTGGTTGTTTGAGAAATTTTCCGTGTTATTTTCAACTACATTTACAGTGTTATGAACCAGAAATTATAATATAGTGCTTGTGATATGCATAAATCAGTGTAAAGCCTTTGTTACGTTTTATTTTTAAGTTGATAGACTGTATCCATTGATTTTAATTTATTTGCAATTAATAGGTTAAGGATGCTGAGTTCATAGTCTTTGCTAGTTTACAGTGACATCATCTGAGTTAAATCTGTTGCTCGTCAGATATTAAGATCGCTGTGGAAGAACACGAAACATTCATTATAAAAGTGTGTGCAAGTTTTCTTTTAGTAGAAATCAGCCCTCGTGCTATTGTAATATACTCGTATGAGAACAACTGCTACAGTTTGCGCTATGTGCGTTGGAATAATAGCGAGCTACATGTTGAAGATAGGCGAGGGCACATCTATGAAACTTGAAACCGCAACCGCAATTTCCGAGAATTGTTATCAACCAGAGTTGAACACGTGGAACTGAATGGAGCAGCACAAATTGAGAAAACGGCAACGCAACTCGCGGAAGACCGAGAAACAACTCCCAGGCAACTGGGCAAGTCAGTATTCTCATAGTTATGTTGCCGAGTGGTTTCCTAGTGCCAGCTGTTTTAATGTAATTGTGTAATTCATTTGCTTGTTTAGTTGGCACGAAAGGTTGATGAAGCTGCTAATTTTGTTTTTGTTCAGTTAACCGAGCAGGACTCTTGTATGTATGACAAGTGTTACCCAGATTATGCTAGGTAAAGTTGTCCGTGTACTTGACTAATTAAGCACTACGCCATGAAGGCGTATGGGGTTGGATGTATAAATCCACATTTTCTTTACCTCGGCACTAGCTGGAAGTGAGTGGTCAGTCTCACTATGCGGCCACATACCCTGGGGAAAGAGCCCCTGGTACCCATTGGATAGGCGGTTGGGTGGACCCCAGAGCCCGACTGAACGACACGGAGAAGTGAAAATTCTTGACCCTACAGAACCCTCGGTCATCCAGCCAGTAGCCAGTCACTATACCGACTGCTCAGTCCCGATGCATACTAACCCCAAATCAGGAGTGCGATATTCTGCGTTGTAACGCCGTGTATTTCGATAGATGTGCACTGACGTTCTTCCTAAACGTCTGTAAACTTCTAATAACTACACGGCATTACAACCCAGAATTCCGCTGTGAGAAATTTAAAACCAATCTTAAATAAATCAGTCCTAATAAATATCGGTAAATTATCGATATATCGTCTCCTGAGTATTAGAGTGTTGTCACAATTCCTTGTCTTTTTTTTTGGGGGGGGCGAACATGAGGTAATGCAGTTTCCTAATTTTCCGTGTGGTGTTCAACTGTCGCCACATATTTCCACAGGTTTGCCCTACTTACAAAATGTAAGATTTTAGAATGAGTTTTTTTAAGTCACATTTAAACTGCAGTTGGTCCCCTAACGTCAAACCCAGTTTCCCGAAAGCTGATGTTGAGGGACACAGCACACTCCCTTACTCGCTCGGCGAGTTGTCTGAATACGTCCGAACCACACAGAAAACAACTTAAATATTTTGGAGAAGTATTTGAGGGGAGGCAGGTTTCATTCCGTCTGACTTAAAAAATTTGGTCTACTTTACTTATGGAGGCTTGTGTTGTGAATGAAAACTCTAGACAACGCATTTTTAAACTGTGTTGAGATACAGCATGCCACGTATTTTAAAAGCACAATTCAACAATTCGTTGGTATTTGTGATCACAGTTCTTTAAGGAGTCCTGTCAGTATGTAAAGTGTTCGTTGACTCGGATAAATATTTAATGGTGTGTGCTGTGTTGTGAATACTCAATTGCAACGACTCCATAAGTGTTAGTGATAGTGTTAAGTGACAAGTGTAGTGACATCAGCGGCTGCAACAATCCGTTTACTACAGCAGTACTTATCTGAAAGAGGGTTTCGAAACTGGGATCAAGTGGAGAGGAGCAGCGCGCAAACCGTATCGTTAAAACCAAAACAGTGCCTTAGCTGCTCTTTCACGTCGGCGGTGAAAGATAAATGGCTTGAGTGTGTAAGGACGCAAGTAATTACTACACATTAAATTGGTTTTGATTAACATGCAGTGAATCTGTGTTTTGAAGCTGGCAGAACATAATTTAGCACGTATAGGAATTGTCAAATATATGCATTTTATTGCCACTGAAGAAATCAGTGCACAGGCCTAGTATTGACTTCGCATTTAACGAAAGTGAGAGCTGAAATGAGTGTATTAGAAATGGGTAGGTCTGTCACTGGCCGCCAGGCTTCGTGGCAGTAGCGTTATTTAGTGCGGCAACAGATTTCAAATGTTTCTTCGTTCGTTTATGCTCGTATTTATGTAGCGTGAATGCTTTCGCCTTCCAATGCTTGTCCGTTCTCCATTGTGACCAATATCCCCACAATTTTATATTTTCCCTTTGAAGTAATCCTACCTTTCCAAACGACAACAATTTAGACGCAGAGATTTCGATGTAATTTTTTAGCATAGGCGTCAGGGTGGGCGGGAAACATTTAGGGCCTAGTAAGAACCGCCACAGGTTACACCTAAACAGAAACACATCCCATCCCTTCCTCCTCGACAAGCAAGGAGCAGTATCAACTGAACAAGCCTCGTACGTTATGATTTGATTTCCATATTGAAAGAAATGTTGTTTCAAGGCGAAACGCTTACATTTTGAATCAAACTGAAGAAGACACGTTTTACCAGACGAATAACCAACACTGATTACGAAAATGAGATGTTTTTACTTCGTTATGACCTGTATTTCCGTCCTGCTGTATTTGTTGCGCTAATCAATAAAAAGAGACGGCAGAGACGTCAGAACGTACGGAGGCACGCGTACACGGTACACGGACAGGAACGTTTGTGCGTGGCGTGTTCATGCGAGAAATATACATTTAAATTCAGCTTCATGTAAGAAGATAAATCGTCACGAAGTGCACGAATATAGGTAAGTTTCCTGAAAGCCCATTGTTGTCATTCCGGTATGTACTGTTGCTGCGTTTATAAAATTTTTGTTTTTGTTGTGTTTTATGTGTTATCAGGTCCCGCTCATATCCTGTGCCTCACCGTGGCGAGCGGGTGACGCAAAGAACGGTGCATCTCCGAAATAGCATTGTAGCATTAGCATTGTCGCGCCAGCCGTCTACATTGTGCAGTCCGTTAGATGTGCGTGGTTATCAGCCTAATGTTTTGTTTGCCCGGCGTAATTTGCAGCGTTTGCGCGTCCGTGTATTTGAACTGCTCTGGGGATAAACGTGACGTGATTGAGTCTGTCGGGTGGAAAATTATAGGAATATAGCGAGAGGGAGAACAGGGGANTTTTTACGATACCACATCCCGCGAGACTCATCACTTTGATCGGTCTCAGTTTCCTTGAATATTACTAGCCGCCACTGCCAAGTCGTATCCATGTATTTCTTTTACGATATCGCACCACACCCGACTCGCATCACTTTGATCTGTCTCAGTCTCCGTGAACATCACTAGCCGTCACTGACAAGTCATCTTGCTTCTTTTTTTTACGATACCACATCCCGCGAGACTCATCACTTTGATCGGTCTCAGTTTCCTTGAATATTACTAGCCGCCACTGCCAAGTCGTATCCATATATTTCTTTTACGATATCGCACCACACCCGACTCGCATCACTTTGATCTGTCTCAGTCTCCGTGAACATCACTAGCCGTCACTGACAAGTCATCTTGCTTCTTTTTTTTACGATACCACATCCCGCGAGACTCATCACTTTGATCGGTCTCAGTTTCCTTGAATATTACTAGCCGCCACTGCCAAGTCGTATCCATATATTTTTACGATATCGCACCACACCCTACTCGCATCATTTTGATCTGTCTCAGTCTCTATGTACATCACTAGCCGCCACTGTCAGTTCGTATCTCCCCAGGGGGGCCGGCTCACGGACATTACACTGCTATTTTCTTTCGTTGTCACTCGGCCAAATTCAGAGTGGCGGAAGAGATGCGCACGCTTTGGCGTAGGTCAGTTCGTGCTACGTGGGGGAGTCACTGCTTAACTCGGACTCTTGCTCGTGTCGTACCAGAATTTTGGATTGGG